AACAGTGATTAAAGTAGATGTTGTGACTACCAACATTTTTGGTCTTCCTTTACAGATAATAAGCAAGTAGACCATTTTAACATTGATGACTTTACCCTCAAATAGTGCACTGTATCACTTTACTATATTAGAGACTTATTTTTTTTTCTTTAGAGCATTTTTAGACTATACACAGTACCTTGATAGGCTCTGAAGTATAGGACACGGCACAGATAAAGGAAAAAAAATATTTCTACATCTGCTTGAAAGGAGATTGGACTACAGCAAACATACAAAAGAGATCGCTCCTACTACACTTGATGAGCAAGGTTATCAAAAGCAACAGGTCAAAAAGAGGAGAAAAAGATGGTAAGAGGGCCAGCCAGGATTCTCTGATTTCTTAAGGCTGTATTTTGCTGCATCCAAACAGACATGTAACATCTGTGAATTCTTCCCAGTGAGCTTGCATTTTTAACTGAGGGGAGAGGGGGGAAAAACACATCCCCACTGCCCCAATGTATCAGTCTGACAGACACCTCAGCGAAGCGTAACCTACCACCTCACTGGATTTACACAGTATTTTTTGGCAATGATATTGCATTGCTGACTCACTCAGTTTGTGACTGGTAATAACTAACAATCCCTTTTGGTATTATTGACTAGTAACAACTTTCATCACTTCATACCTGTGCTCTGGTTATCTACCTCCCACATTAGCCATTTGACAAGGTTGGTTTGTTTATCGATGTCAGTTCCTTTCTCCAATCATGTTATACCTTCTTAACCTTGTTCTCCATGTATTGGATACCTATCACGTATCATGTTAACCTAACGCTATTATCAAAGTTACTCTTCAGTTGAAATATTGTTCTCCATTGCATTTAAAATATTTGTTTTTCAGTACCTCACTAATCCAGTAGCAAAAGCTAATAAAAAAGTATTAATTATAATTTTCCACCACCCCTGGCAGATGTGCTTTTTTTTAAACACTAATTTTATCTACTGTTTCCCTACAAAAATATCTGTGTCCATTAAACTTGTAAGCTTTTAGAGTGGGAAGGAAAAAGACATGAAAAATAAAAAAGTGAAGGCAAAATTTGCTATCTGCTCCCACTTATACCTGACTTGCCAACTGCTGAAGAGAATACTTTTCTTCTGCTGCTGTACCTATGTCCACCTAACGTTTAGTGAGGAAAGGAGGAGGAGAAGGAGGGAAGAAGAAAGTGCAGAAAAACTGCAAACAAACAACAAATAAAACCCAGATTTTGTTTTGTCTGATGCACAGTTCTCCTTCTTACACAGGAGCACAATATTTATTTCACTGTTATTTTCATGGCTGTCATCACGGTGGGACAGAATCCTGCTACTATTTCTAGGTAGTCCAAATCTTGATCTTTTTGGAGCTCCCATTATTGCAAAATGAAACATATTGACAAAAGAATTGCTTGCTTAGTTTTTCAGTATGGCTACATCATAATCCAGGTTTCCTAATCTCTATCATTTCTAAAATTCGTAATTAAAACTGTCATTACACAGGAACTTCACTTGCAATGAGCTATAATGCCTGCCTCCAGAAAACCCTTTACAGAATAGAGGCAAACACAGACTGCTTTGATGGTAGCTAAAGGCTTTAAAAAAATGAAATCTGCATGCTATAGCTTTGATTTAATAAAGATCTTTTAACTGTTTCTGTTTCAAGGCTGGATTTGTCCTCTTGACAAGACAAACAAAAAATGTTAGTGTATTTTTCATATTTAAAATGCACTACTTATCAGGAAATACAATCTGGTTCAGAGGCGTTACTTGAGAAAAGTAGGTTAGATTTTGCTCATGGAATCAACACAGCTCTGTTGATTCCCAAACGGTCAGAATTTACTTTTACAAAAATTTAAGTCCCCCGTATCACTATATTACGTTTGGAAAAGACCTGTTCATAACTGCCCTCATCCTCTGAATTCATCTGCAGCCTTTCACAATGTACTATTATTTTCCATTTGTTTCAAGAAGCATACAGGCTGCAGGAAAAGTTGGACCCTTTGCTCATGTGCCTAGAGGCTTTTCCTCATGTTTTTTAAGGCAAGACATGCTCCAAAACCCCCAACACTGCTCTCTGAAGGGCTGTGCAAGTTAACATACATAGCTTTAACACTGCCTGTTTCAATTTAAGCATCCGAATAAAGCTTCTGGCTAGGAAAATATGCATTCAGTATCTCAAAGGGCCCTGTGCCAGGGAAAGAACGTGGAATAAAACCAAACAGGAGCAAAACGAGCAGAAGACAGATGATCATCATGTTCCTGACAGAATCCCACCATCAAATCCAGACTGGTGTACGATCAGTGGGTTATTTCATGTGGGCAGCTGGTTTACATCGATGTGGAAAAAATAAGTGCAGCAGTATATGCAGCACCTTTGAGATGGTTTCCTAGTACCTGTCGACAAGTCCCCTTTCGCAAGGGCGAACGCTGCATCTCCTCCCTTACGAGCCTCCTCAGCCTGCCCCGCTAGTGCTTTCACGCTAACACGACACCGCGGGAGAGCGCAGCGCCGTCGCCCCGCTGCCGGGACACAGCAGCCTGTTCAGACCAGCCCGGTGCTCCGCGCCGCTCGCTCGGCGCCCGAACTGCGGCAGCGCGGGGCCGCTGAGGACGCCCAGCCCGGGGCGGGCGCTGCTCGCTGCGCACCGGGCGCGGCCCCTGCGCCAGCCGCGGAGTCCTGCCACAGCTGCAGGGGAACGGCACGCCGAAGCTCGGGGGAACGGCAGGAAGGCTCCTGCCGCCGGGCAGGCAAGGTTGGCAGGCAGCGGTGCCCCTGGCCGTGTCCCCGAGCGCACCTCGGCGTCCCCCGAGCCCGCCCGGCCCGGCGGCGAGCGGTCGCGGCGGCGGCGGCGTGGTCCGCGCCCGCCGCCAAGATGGCCGAGCGCCAGCACCACAATGCAGCCGGCGAGCCTCCCTCCGCGCCGCCTCGCCGAGCGGGCGGAGCGCGAAGCTGCGGCTCGGCAACCGGCCGCCGAGCTGGCGGGGGCTCTCCTCGGTACGGCCCCGCCGGTCAACGGGAGAGCGGCCCGCGGCCACAGGGCGCGGCGGCCACGGCGCCGGGGCGTAGAACCTTCTGGTCGTGCGGGTCGGGCCCGCCGCCTCCAGCCCAGCCCGCGGATCCCCCACCAGCCGCCCTGCGAGGCGCGGGCGCAGCCCCGCACGGAATAGAGGCCAAGATGGAGCCTCCCCGGCGCGTCCGTCGGGCGCAGCGGCCCGCGGAGGCGGGAGCGGAGGCTGCAGTTCCACCGCCGCCTCGCATTCGCTGTCCCGCCGGTACCTGCACAGGGGCGGCGAGCTTCGTGTTGGGAAGGCTCTGGCGTCAGCTCAGCGCCGGACCGGACTGCTGCGGGGCGGGCTCTGCGGGTGGACGCGGGCTCTGCGGCGGCCGGTACCGAGCTGCGCACAACTGATGCTCCGCGCTCTCCTCACTGTCTCCCTCTAGCTCCCACCGCTATTTAAGTAGTCGCCACCTCCGGCGGCCACGCCACATGGGCTGACAGTTTACTCCTCGCCGCAGTCCAATGAGAGCCGGGGCAGGGCCGCCCCGAGCCGGCCCCGGGGTGATGCCAACCCCTGCCCGCCGGAGCCGCTCCACGGGAGGAGGGGACCCTGATCAGGCCGGGGCGGACCCAGGCGGGCCCCCGTGCCCGCGGCAGCGGGCCAAGATTTCGCGCCCCGCCCCATACTGGAGGCGGCGGAGGGCCGGGTGCGGCGGGGGGCGCCTGGCTCCAGGCAGCCCGGCTTCAGGCAGCCCGGCCGGGGGCGAGCCAGCGCTGACCCGCTGCGGGCGCGGACCTCCTCGCGTCCCTCGCCCACCTCCCGCGGGTGTGCGCACTGGGGGGGGTTACTGCCGCGCTGCGCCGGCACCGTGGCTCGGCGAGAAACGCGCCGGCACCGCGGGCGCCGGTCCAGGCGAGGCCGGACTGCGGAGCGCCCGCGGCGCACAAAGGGCCAGGACGCTGGGCCGGACGCGCAATCCCGGGCCGGCACCCAATCCGGAGGCGGGAGCGTGTGGGCGGGGGCGCGGCCCTGCCAATCGCGGGGCCCGTGGGGTGTTGCTAGGCGATAAGGCGATGTGGTGACGTCTGGGGGGCCGGCCGGGGCCGCTGGCGGAGCGCGCAGCACCCGCCGCTCCCCGGCGGCGGCGGTCGTTCACCCCGGCGGAGCGCGGTCCCGGGGTTACCACAGGGCAGCGGGCACGCCGGCCGGGGATGCGCTGCCCCGTGCCCGGGCCCGTCGCGCCGCCGTGGCTGGCGGCAGCGCGGCGGGTCTGGAGACGGGGGCCGGGCCGCCGCGCTCCCGCGGGCGCCGGAGACTCGTTCCCCGCCCTGCCCCTGGTACGCCCCTTTCCGAAGGACGGAAAAGGGGAAGATCGCTCTGCGTGCAGGCACCTCTTACTCACTTTCTCGGGAGCTTATACTCCGTAGATTAAAGCAAAATAGTAGACAAATTTGAACTTTGTTCTGTATTACCTACGACTGCTACTGCAACACCAAAAAAGCCATCCTGCCTTTCGATCGGCAAAAGTGGGCCTGAATGCCGGGATGCAGAAAGCCCCTCGGCAGCGGGTAAAAAATGCTTTCGTCAGAGGCCCGGTTTCCATTTGTGCTTTTTGCTGCTGCCAGAGCTGCGTTAAAGCACTGCTGCTGTGCAATACTGATCGATTATGACCTTCTCTGGGCAGAACTTTTAACTTTATCCATATATTCCTCAATACTATAATAGCTTTTAACCCTTTGATAGCATAAATCAGCAATTTACTCTTACCTTTTCAGTATTGTGTCATCACCTGGAATTCTCTTTTTATATAAGCTCTCATTTCTTTGTACAAATCAGTTGCATCCACCTTGTCACCACTCTCATCTGTTTTTTAAGAAAAAACGATCAATTTATTGAATATTTTGGTCACAAGAGAAATATATGAGAATTTTCCCCCTGTATGTAGCACACACTTAGCACAACCTCCCCACACAGGATCCAAGCAATATATTCATGTTATTTATTCTTATTCTGCATACTTTGTTAATTTTCACCATACTTATATGCTTTGTTCTTACAGGTACTCTGAAATGAATGTACAATGATTGAACTACTTTTTTTTCTATGACAAAATTAAATAAACCAGAGCTATCATCTTTGCTTACCTACAGTTGCCTTAAGGAAACCTGTTTCTCAGGAAAACTGAATAAGTTAAAGTTGCAAGAGGTCTGCATGATCAGGCATGCCAGGTGACATACTCGGACAGATGGCCAGATGGATGGACACCCCCCCCAACCAACCACACAAAAAAATCCCCAAACTCCTCAAACAAGCAAACAAAAAAAAAAACGAAAAACCTGCAAAGAAACCTACACAATGGCATTTCTGAAGTCTGCAGCCCATGATCTTATATCCGTGATGCAATGAATAATGTTTTCCAGGCTCAGATGCAGCGTTACAAAGATTGTAGAACAAACTGCTCCACAGAGCACACTGCTTTTAACACCTGTAAATGCACAGAATCTCATAGCAGGGAAATACTGTGCATCTCCATGATTCAATACTAAACATGGAATTGGAAATAAAAATTTTTCAGGATAACCTACAGCTATTAAAAACTTTGGAATTTATACATCGTGTTCTAGAAATAACTAGTGAGAGCTGTAACTGGTGTGATCTGGGCCAAAATTCTTGTACTTGTTAGAAACCACTATGCTTTGAGCTACAGAAAGAGCTCATTCAGGGTTTGGTTCAAGGGAATGCATCATGTTGTTCCGGCTCATGAACAATGTTAAATGTTGAATTCAATGACAGGATTTTCAAGCAATTAAATCATTTAAAAAGAAGCTCATAAGGTCTCTCAGGCCTCATATTGGCTTGGTAACATCTCAATTAAATTTATTCCAGATTTAGCATCTGATTATAATATCCTAACACCTTTGTATGAAAGCAAAACATTTTCAGCAGGGAGTAGAAAAATAATTATTCAAATTCTCAAAACTATTACTACCACATTGTTAGATGCCAAAGAGAACAGCTGTTTGCAAAGAGTACCCCGAAAGCATTTCTAAAAAGAAAAGTGCTACAGAGAAAAAAGCACTCATGGATAAGTAGCTTCCTTCATTAATCCTGTTTAGATTTTATATGTTTTTAGCAGCAACTGAGAGGTATTATTCACTTCAGTGATATTACTCACAGAATCACAGATCCGCTTAGGTTGGAAGAGACCTCCTGAGATCACCTAGTCCAATCCCTCTACTCAAGGAGGGTCAGCTGGAACAGGCTGCCTAGGACCACGTCTAGCTGGGTTTTGAGTATCTCCACAGATAGACTCCATATCTTCCCTGGGCAAACTGTTTCAGTGCTTGACCATTCTCACAGTAAAAAAAAAGTGTTTTCTTGCATTTTTCATATGTATTTCCTATACTTATAGTAAAGTCCATCACTGTAACATCCCAAGATGGCTCAGCATTACTGGAAATGTTACAAAAATACACTGATTACTTGTTTCAATATCCTGGCATGTTCATAACGTATCTATATAACATAGGTATCCCCATTACATCACAATTAATTCAAATTTTCTTTTAGTTTCATCTGTTGTAAGACTTATTTATTACAGTAATCCTGTACAATTCTAAGTGTTGCTAATGAACATGTTTTTCACTGCTTTAAACTCTATACAATCTCTTGTTAAAGAAAAACATAATTACTGGTGTGGCAGTGGAACTTTAATTTTATACTCTTTCATGCTGTCTGAACAAGTGAAAAGAGCTACAGAAGATGAGAAACAATACAGATTCAGGTGTAATCTTTTTAAACCCCTCGCTTTCAAGTAGAAAGATAGCTGCCCAGGATTAACGGTTGCACTGTTAGTTATAAGAAAATGGGTAGGTTGAGGCAGACCAATTCTAAGCTTAAATCACATCTACAGTTTCTCAACAAAGTATTTGCTAAAGACCTGGAAGTCCTGCCTAAAGGCACAAGGCTTTACACATGTATTAACTGGGCATTTCTAAATCCATGACGCAAGCAATATTTAACATATATAATTAAAATAAATCAGTATTAACAGTGAAGACTGTAATCTCGTAGTATACACAGATTAACCCTTTATTTTAGGGTTCACAGTATGAGACAGGGTATTTCTCTGTTCTGGCTGCAAATGTCCCAATTCAACATGCAAAAATGAAGCCAATATTTACGTCTGATTTATAGATTTCAAAGTAAGGTAATAGCAAGTGTGGACCTGGAACTTGCTGCCAACAAAGAAATCAGTCTTTAATATTATAGTTGCGGATTTTTGCCATGTTAGAAGAGATTTTTGGTTTAATGGGATGAGCACAATATAAATTTCTGGATTTTAACTTCTGCTGAGCTTCCAGTCTGGTTCCTCTGACTGTCAAATCTGCAGCTGGCATTTCAAGTTTATCCTTGGATTTGATGTTTTGCTGAGATTCTTCAGGTTGCTCAGTTGAACGCATAACTTCGAACTCCACTGCTCAAAAAAAGAAAGAGAAACACTTTGTAGTTATGTTTGTATTTAATTATGAGACTGGATAGCTGAAAAGAACTGATTTACTATTTTTTCTCTAAATATATCACTGCCATCGTGCCACATTGTTGAAGTCTTATATTGAGTGAGTAACAGAACCGTTTCTGTACATAGGTGGCACAGAACTGTCCATTCAGGCTTGCTGATGGTACATTACATCATTATCTTCTGCTCAGTCTGTATGCTTCATCTGTACCTGTTTGTTCTCCATTAGCAACAAACTGCTTAAGAGAGGAGAAATGAGGACAGTTGGAAGGTTGGTATAACTGTTCAAGTCAAGCACTACCTATCTGTTCAGATGTTTTTAAATATCACATTTTACAGGTTTACTCTTCTCTCCACTGTGAGAGAACATCTGTATCAATCAAAGTAATACCAACGCACTGGAGAACACGATACAAAGTTAGACCTACCTGTTCCTGTGAAACAGTTCCTGTTTCCTTGTGAGACAGTGATGAAGCAGTTGGCTGCAAGAGTTTGATCTGTTTCAAGAAATCACCAGCAGCCATAAAAGCTGCAGCAAAACGTGTTTGGATATGCATGATCCAGAGGGCTCAAAGGCAAATTCTGTGGGCTTGACAAAGCTGCACTACTACCTTTATCTTTTTTTTTTTTGTTGTTGTTGTTTTTCTCTCACAGAGGAAGGCATTTACCATGGAAATCTTCATTTTGTTGTCTAAAATATCTGTGTGTACTAGAGAGAACTAACTCAGAAAGTAACATCTTTGGTTGGGAAGCAGAGAGACAAATCGGAGTCCATCCTGCAGCCTCTAGCACAATTCTCTGAAAACTACTATCTCCAACTATCTGAACTTTAATCTTATCACAGGTTTCATTAGGCAATGTAAATGGAATTGGTCAAACACACTATTCATTGTAAGCTATAGGTAATATTTACAGATGCTTGGCTCCAGCCAGTTAATCCTTATTTTTCAAGCCAAAGCAGACAGCAGAGGTCATAATATACTTGCAGTAACACACACTACAGCATTCTGTACTAGTTGAATTTTCTGAGTATGACAGACTTCAGTCCCAGACACTATTCAATCACAGAGCAAGAATAAGAGGTGCACCAAATGACAAAGAGAAATTATTAGTAGGATCAGGTAAATTTTCATAGTCAACAGAACATTGTAGAAAGTCCAAACAAAATTCTGCATGGAAGGAAATAAAAAATATTGTTGAATTATAGAATGAATTAATCTGTTGAGGGTTTATAGCTCTGTGCAAAGCACGACACTGGCTAGTGTCAAAACATGACACTTCAAAATAATTTATATGTTCAGGCTTAGCTTGAACCAGCTGTCCACTCACGTGTGTGCAATCTGCACTGAGTCAGCTTAGTGGCACGTGTTATTACAGGTGGCAAAAGCTCAGTGGACTCTTGTACTATTATTGATGCAAAATCATGTTGTACAGCTTGCCACCTAGTGGTTACCTACAGTTGCAGAAGGTATGAAAGAGGATGCTTGAGCCCATGGAAGACCTATGGGTGTATTTTCCTGCCTGGAGAAAGGACTTTAATCATTATAGTGCATTATCCTAGACCTCTAACACATCTGGCAGATAATAAAGCAGAATTTCACATCATCGACAGTTTAGAACAGTGCAGGCAGCAGTGTTTGAAAGGTACTGGATGGCAGCTTCAAAGATTATTTTGCCTGAACAGGAGCTGCAGCAGAATGAGATTACCTCTTGTTTGTGGTCTAAATAACAGCAATGAGCAGATCCATAAATAGCACACATGCAACACTGCTTACAGACAGTGTATTTTTTTTAAATACTCCCTCAGTTTTGAAGGGTTTTTTGTATTCAACTAAGGAGATGACTTTCAGAAAAAATGTGGGAGGCCGTAATCCTATAGATCCAAAGGCAAAGTGACCAAGTACCAACGCATCACATGCATCCCTCCCTCTGAAGTCTTCTGTATGATTGTCTCTTGACATTAGTAGAGATACTACAGTTTTAACTAGCAAAGGCTACTTAGTTAGGTATTTGAAACAGCAACAGAGAACACAAGCATTCTATGTGGCTGTTGTAAAGTTTTGGACTGTCAAAAATCTGTGTTAATGCAGAAATTTAAAACCATGAAGACACGAACTTGTAAGGCTATTTCTACAAAACAGAAAAAGACAAAGAAACAATATCCCAGAATTAGAAATGCTATTTAAAGTGAAATATCCCAAGAGAACACTGAATAAGGACCTTCATATGTTACTGGTTCTGATTGGGACTGTTCACACGTGTGAAGGACCTTGAATAAAATCAGCATAAATATGCACTGTGCAGTAAAACTTAAATGCAGTAGCTTGGTTTTCACAAACAATGAAAAAGCACACCTAATTTACAAGCCTGTAACTTACCTTCAGAAGTGACTTTGGCAACAAGAGCTAGTAAGACCATAGTTAAAAGCCTAAACTGCTTTTGAAAATTGACCTAAATGTTTAGTGTACTAAAATGCTTAACATATCTTCATTTTGATGTGTGTTAACTACAGTCGTAAATTAATATTCACAGATATTTTTTTTTTTTCAGAATTAGAGAGATACAGGTAGACATGTTGTATGAATAAAGTGAAATTTCCCCAGATGGAAAATTTCATTTAAGAAACTTATCACTAGATATTTGCTTATGGCTAACAGTGCTTCTGAAGGAACACCAACTCAAACAAGTTCCTATTCAGGAGAAGAACATTTAAGCGAAGAAAATGTAACTAGGGGATTAGTTAATATTTGTGAAACACTTCAAAGATGAAGTTTTATGTAACACAGAAAAGAAATCATGAGCCTTTCCCTGATTGGAGCAGGAATGAAGGCAGAGCCAGAGCGCTCTTTCTGTTTGTTAATATTTTACCAGATTCTTTCTCTGGCCAGCTTTTTACCCACATGGATTGCTCTTAGAACTGTCAGTGATGTCAAAGCTGTTGAAATTCTGCCTAGTGTGGAAACACTTAAGATAACTTTTGATCCATAAAGTATAGAATTTCAGATCACAGAGCTTTGCAACAATGAAATTTATAGTAAAAGAAACTCCCCCCTCTAAATTCAAGTAGTAAACCAGAAAAGTTACTTTGCTTCAAAGCAGCCCAATCTTATTCTTTGTTAGGTTACAATGTAATCTCAAATTAACACGCCCAGGACACAGTTCTGAGTATCTGTGGAGGTAGGGTTTCTCAAAATGTACAGTGGGATCACCCACCACAACTGGAGTCCGCCTCTGGCATGGAAAAAACAAAGTTTCATCTACCCTAAAAGCGTGTAAAACAAGTGACTAGTGGGGACTTTCTAAGTGCAGATATATCTTGCCTTACACTCCTCTTCCCTCTGCACTGACCCTAGCCTCTGTTGACCCAAGGAGATACAGCTGATCAGAAGCTTTTCACATGGTACCACAAAGCACCCTTCACAGTATTGGCTTCACTCTAAATGCAGTCTTACAGTTGAACTTTAATAGGTGATGTTTGCCTTTCTTTCCATAAAAACTAGTGTCTCCAGTAGCAAGTAAAAACTTTATTAAGCTAAATTACTTGAAGAAAAACAAATTCCAGTTTTCTAAACGTTTTACAAAGTTTCCCTTCCTCCTGCCTAACATTTATTCTAAAACCAAAGAAGGCCTTATAGCCCACAGGTGAATAGAGAAACCTTGCAGCATGTACAGAAGCTAATCACACGGCTGTACGCGTGTGCCATGATACAAATCTTCTGACAAGCAACTTTCTGTTGAGGATGGCCTGTCATCAGCATTCGAGAGGCGTATGCGATGGATCACCAACCCAAGTCTCCCATCTGCTCTCAACCTCTGGGATAGGGCATATAAAAAGGAAGGAAATACCAAAGTGTATTTCTTACTGTTACAGTCTATGTATGTAACACTGATGCTTTTAATATCAACCTGGCTTGTACCTGTCTACCTCTGTAGCAGGATCTTTTTCTTTCAATAATACAGAACAATAAAAACACTTGAACAAGGAAACCGTGTTCCTTCTAAGCCTTTTCTTTCTACTTACCCACAGAATTAACATACAAATTATTAAATCCATCTCATTCCTACAGTACAAATTAAAAATCCGCAGGTAGAGTAAAAAGAGGGAAAATTAAAATATCACATAGCCTTTTGACTTGTTTTGATGCTTCCACAAGTTCTGAATTCGACGGTGAAATTAATAAAGTATGTAACAGTCCACCTCAGCAATTCAGTGTTAACATGTAGTCATAAACACTCCAAAACATGCTGAGTTGTGTCATATGCTGGAAATACAGCAAATTGCAGGGCTTACTTGACATGCCACCCATTTAAAGTCCCAAAGGGACATTCTGTACATGAAAAAGAATGAATGAAGCTGTTCAACAGGTCCCGAAAATCACTCACACAATTGCTTCTGTTTCACCAGAAATGCCCATAAAACACAGCTACTGGTGTGACAGATTTGTACAGAGTTGAACTTGTAAAATAAATGTTTGAATAAGAAAACTAACTTGCTTGCTTTGCTGCAAATCATTTTTTGTTACTGCACTTTCAAGTCTGTGTGTGCGTCACTTGTATCTGAAAGCCTAATACCAAGTCGCTCCATCTTAACGATGGTTCTATCCACTGTAACCATGTGTTTTGATGAATGCATCAGGTTCGAGTGAGTGGTTTTAAACAAGAAATGCTTAACTCACTTTCCATAGCTCAGGCACAAAAAATAATGCAAGTCTGCTAAAAATCAGAAGCAGGACTCCTTGAAAATTTTGTATATTCTGCTCTGAGGTGACGTTCTTCCAAAAAAGAAAGATTTTGCTTTCACAATCTTGTTTCCTGAAACACAGAATTCAGTCTAGTAGAATTAACGATACCATTTGAATAGTTTCCAGGAGGAGAAGGCTAAGCAACATGAAAGAGTTTTTAAAAGTCCTGTTGTTGCAATGCATCATTTCAGGCCCTGCATATTTGAAAAAGAAGTTCTGCTGAAGTGTTGTTAGGGTAAATCCGGATGCAGAGATCAAATTAAGGTTGTTTGCAGGAAAACATCACCCCTTATTAGCGTTCCATTTGTTTCATGTTGGCAGTATTATTTTTCCCTTTTGCTATTTTCTAGATCCTCAAAAGTCTACAGTTAGTTTTGCAACAGAGGCTGGAAATTTCTAGACATTAAGAAACTGATGTCCTTGTAAGGCTGCCAGAGGCATTGCATCATGCATACAGCAGCATGAAACTGCATGGCACTATCAGTAATGTTTCACAGACATCCTTTTGCTTATCAAGTCAATATAGGCCTGACCTGAAATACTCTTCCTATTTCAGTCCCAGCCCGACAAAAAAAGAACATCAATCATGACTGTCAGCAGTATGTCCATTACAGTCCTACAGGTCTGTCAATGCACATTACTTTTTCCCTGCAATGCACTACTGTTGTGAATATATACACTTACAATCCAATCTTCGTTTTGAAAGCCCCTTTATTTTTTTTTTTTTTCTTGTGTGCTGCTAAAGATGGTTCATTGGATGTATATACTGGTCTAAAAATAGATGCAATGTAAGTTGGAAAGGTCCTCTGGGTGAAATGTCAGTGTTTATCACTCCCTGCTCAGAATGTATCTTGACATAACTTGTGTCCATTGTCTCCTTTCTTTTCACTTTTTTCTTTTCACTGTGCATCTCTGTCTCCTCCAAAATCCCTCAGCAGGTAGTTAAAAAGCAGCAGTCAGACCACCCACTGACTCTTTCTTTTCCACACTGGACAACTCAGCTCTCTAAACCTCTTCTCGTGTAACGTGTTCCAGCGCTCTACCCATCATAGTGGCTCTCCACTGTATTCCAGTTTGTCAACCTTTGTACCAGAGGGTCCAAATCTGGACACAGTACTCCAGATGTGGCCTCACAAGTACCAAATAGAGGAAAACAAACCACTTCCCTTAACCCACCGGTTCCATTCTTGCTCCTGCAGTCTGGTATGTGGTTAACGGCACACAAGTATCTATGTATGAAATTCTCTTCAAGTAACTCCTTAGATCTTCAGATTCTGATTACAGGACTGTAACATCAGTAGCAGTCATGTAAAAAATTCAGTGGAAGGGGGCAGAATCCACTACTGTACTTCTATTCTTCCAGAAGAGTCAAATACTGTGACTACTTTACAAAACATGCTTACCTTGGTCTGTGTTCTTCTGAGAACTGAGAGCAGAAGGGCTTGATCCCACTCCTAATGTTTGCCAGATGCCTTGGCAGAAACTATGTGTTCTAGATGAAGAAAGCTGAATCTGCTGGGCTTGACAAGGACTCTGCCTGAATGGCTGGCTTTGAATGATCTTTGAGCATGTATCTGCCTTTCGTTGCTCTGGACCTCGAGTTTCAATAGAGAAATACAGCTGAACCTGTTCGAATTCAAGAACAAATTTAAAGAGTTACATACTTTTCCTATCAGAGACATCTGAAAACTGGTTAAATCTCATAGTACCATCTTGGTCTTGGAAAGATAGAAGGTTTCAGCAAGAGGCAAGACAAAAGAAAATGACTATTTTTCATTTTTAAAGGTTGTACGAGAAGATTAATTACAACATCATGAAAGTGATTGAGAAACCCCAGTTTATTAAGATGCAGGGAACTACAGGCCAGTCAGTCTAACCACTGTGTTCAGCAAGACCATGGAGCAGGTCCTCCTGGAAACTGTGCTAGGGCACATGGAAAATAAGGAGGTCATTGGTGACAGTCAACATGGCTTCACTAAGGCCAAATTGTGCCTGATGAATTTGGTGGCCTTCTATGATGGCGTTACAGTGTTGATGGATAAGGGAAGAGCAACTGACATCATCTACCCGGACTTGTGCAAAGCATTCGACACTGCCCTGCACAGCCTTGTCTCTAAATTGGAAAGACATGGATTTGTTGGATGGACCACTCAGTGAAAAAGGAATTGGCTGGATGGTCGCACTCAAAGAGTTGCGGTCAACGGCTTAATGTCCAAGTGGAGAGCAGTGACAAGTGGTGTTCCTCAGGGGTCGGTGGTTGGACTGGCGCTGTTTAACATCTTTGTCGGTGACACGGACAGCAGGACTGAGTGCACACTCAGCAAGTTCACCACCAACACCAGGCTGTGTGGTGCAGTCAACATGCTGGAGGGAAGGGATGCTATCCAGAGGGACCTGGACAGGCTTGAGAGGCGGGCTCAGGCAAACCCCATGAAGTTCAACAAGGCCAAGTGCAAGGTCCTGCACAGGGGTCAGGGCAATCCCAAGCACAAATACAGGCAGTGCAATGAGTGGATGGAGAGCAGCCCTGCAGAGAAGGACTTGTGGGTATTAGCAGACGGAAAACTGACTAAGCCAGCAATGTGCACTCAGAGCCCAGAAAGCCAACCACGTCCTGGGCTGCATCAAGTGAAGTGTGGCCAGCAGGTCGAGGGAGGGGATTCTCCCCCTCCGCTCTGCTCTCATGAGACTCTATCTGCAGTGCTGGGGCCAGCTCTGGGGCCCCCAACTTAAGAAGGACACAGACCTGCTCGAGCGGGTCCAGAGGAGGCCAGGAAGATGATCAGGGAGCTGGAGCAGCTCCCCTGGGAGTACAGGCTGAGATTGTTGGGGCCGTTCAACCTGGAGAAGAGAAGGCTCCGGGGAGACCTTATAGCAGCCTTCCAACACTTAAAGGGGGCTACAGGAAAGATGGGGAAGGACTCTTTATCAGGGGACGTAGTGACAGGATGAGGGGCAGTGGTTTTAAACTGAAAGAGGGTAGATTTAGACTAGATATAAGAAAAAAATTACTTACTGTGAGAGCGGTGAGGCACAGGATGCCCAGAGAAGTTGTTGATGCCCCCTGCCTGCAAGGGTTCAAGGCCTGGTTGGACGGGCTTTGGGCAACCTGGTCTATTGGAAGGTGCATCCCTGCCCGTGGCAGGGGTGTAGGCACTAGATGATTTTTAAGGTCCCTTCCAACCCAAATCATTCTATGATTCTGTAAGTGTTAATAAATACTATTTTGTACAGGAACAACGTGTAACTTAAAAAAACACATATATTGTTAAGTCTTCCAGGAGATGACTGTTGAGTAACTGCAACTGAAAAATCCAACTGAGGGCAAATTATATTGATGATAAAACTGCACTGTACCTCAGTGGATGGTAATTCTGTTTCTTCTCTACAGCTGCTTGGAGCTCCTTCTTCCTTTAAGCTAGGACAGGCAATTAGAGAAGAGATGCTTGAGGGATGCTGTTGCTTTGCATACTGCAGTTCCTAGTAAGAAATATTGCATTAACACAAATAACTCATGGACTCTAAAAAGAATACATTTATAGCTCAGTTTGCTATTCTACTTCTAGATTTAAAAGAATCACTTATAAATAAATAAATATATTTTCCCTTCAGATCAACAGGGATAAACTACCGTCCTAATAAACCTCTTACTAAATCTGTTCAAAATCTGCATTTCTTGCTGCTGTTATTACCATCCTGCTAGTTACTCAAGTTTATATTGTCAGGGTCAGTCTTCACTTTTGTCTTTTCCCATGATTAAATTACAGAAGAAAAACTCCCAAAGAAGTCCCCCAAAATCAAATAAAATAAAGCAGCTATGGAAAAGTAATTTGTCAGCAACTAAAAAAACCCTAATCATCGCACAGTTTCACCATCTTTCAACATGTAGCAATTAAAGTGAGATCTGATGAAAAACAAACTGCTTCAGCCCTGTCAAAGGAGATGAAAATAAGCATCAGTGTTTTTTGCTATATATTTAAGGCCAAAGAAACAAAACATGAGACCATCATATACAGTAACTGACACTGAAATTCCTGTATATAGTAACATAGTAAATGACAGTAGTAAGTTCTCTCAGTTTTTGGTAACGATTATGATCTTGAACACAGGAGCAAATATAGCCTGGCTAGTAAGAGTGATAACCTAGAAGAAAAACACCCAAGCTAGAACAGCAGTATTTCAAGTTCAACCTGGAGCTCAGCTTCAGTGCAGGAGCTGAAGCCTCAGCAGGTATATTCCAGATAAAGAGCAGCCTGGAATGAGGCTACCAAAGATGCACAGCTTGAATATAAGAAGAGCTATCCTTCCTTCTAGTATGGACAAATTCCAGCAGTAACACAGATGATCCCAAAGGTTCCCAAGCTAGAAAGATCCTCAACGATACCCACTTCAACCATGACCTCAAAGCAACTCATGAGCTGAAAACGTTGGACTACTATTCCTGGAGTTTAGCACACCGTCTGGAAACTCAGTCAAATGCTACCTCTCCAAGAGCCACGGACACATTGTATTTTTAGAATCTATGTATTCTTACAAAAGCAAGAACAACCTTTAATGATTTTTAAAAGAACATTTGAGACACGAGATGTCAGAAAAACAACACATACAGTACCTAGCTCATTAAAAATAAAGCAAAGGAAGACTGAGATGGATGAGCAATGAATATTCATTGGTTTCAGTCTAAGAGTCAGCTAAGTTCTAAGATGAGTTGTGAAAGAAAGAAAAACTAAAGAGGTGGAGAAGAAAAAATACTGTGAAAAAAGTGGGTTTGATTTGTGGCAATTTTGCCCAGATCTGGAAATCGCTTTTACATACATTTAGTATAAGCATTTAGCTAATCATTTTCAGACCTCAATCCAAGCAGTGCACAAGTGAAACAAGCAGACTACAAAAGATCTACTCAAATGCTTTGCTGGACCCTAATTTTCTTTGTAAAAATCATTCCCAGTGTTAAAGAATTTAAGAAACAGTTCACTGAACTGAAAGTTCAAGTGAACAAAGGATGTCAAGCTTGTGTCTTTAAGTTAATAAGTTGTTCACAATCATCCTGAACAAATTATATATCCACAGGCATGCTGAGGTATTCCACAGTAAGTTCACCTTAAAAGTGAACAGTGGCAGACCACTTTGCCAGCACTCTGCACATTTTAACAGCTGCCTCACGTACTTCCTTCTAAAACCCCCCAAGAGGGAGATCAGAATCATATGCTCAGGACTGTCATCTAGGACCAGAGTTGACCTTTTCACCTTGCAGGTTTACAAGAAGTTTAAGATCCCCTGATCCAGGAGTAGCCTAGAACACTGTCCCATAAGATGTATCATTGATATGTCAGTGAGGCTATTTATTCAGTGCTCCCCGATTCTTTTCTCTGAGGACCTTCCTCATACTACAGGCTGCTAATACTTCTTGTGACACTGCTGCTGTGACAGCTCTTGATCAGGTCCTCAGACTGTCAATGAAGAGTTGCAGAACAGTGCTGCATTCCCAGACCTGTTCTCACAGAGCTTGAATAATTTGAGCCTTCCCAGTCTCAGGACTCACATGACTTTCATTGTGGTATGTCTTAACTAGTATTTTTGGTGTCCTCACTAATACTTTTGATGCCAAAAGAACTTTATTAAATAAAATTTGGTAAAATATACCAGATTCTCCAGCTCACATTGCACTTACCTGACTGACACGTTACAGTTCTCAATTTCTGTTATCTTAGACGATTTGCTATATCTAAGGATAAATAAGTCTCCATTAGCTCTGTAAATATACAACAGATGGCATTCTCAGTTTATCACTGCCTGATGGATGGTTTACAATGTTTGCACATACTGCAACCTTTAAAACTTCTCCATTGACTAATGAGCAGTAAAGAAGAACAGGGGGGTTATTTTCACTCAAGCAATCTGTTCAAATTTGGTTCTAATTGACTCTAACAGCACAGCCTTTCGGACTTCAGGCAACCTTTCTCTATCAAAGAGGAATACCCCTCTTGCTGGATACCTTCTGCTAGGAAGAAGCTAAGAGAAATTCAGGCACCTGTGATAGGATGTCCAAACACAGAGTTCTTCCCTGCCAGGTTCCCTCAGAATATATTCCAAAATCTTGCCATAGACTCAATCTGATAGATTCATTTTAGCCAAGAAACATGTGTGCCCATTTTCTTCCTCAAATATCTGCTGGTCCCGGTTGAAATACTGCTGCACACTTTGGATGTTTGGAGAGCCTTTTCCTTTCATATTCAAACGTTTGAGCCCTCCAAACAAGTACTACCTGGTTTTACTACTATTTTTTTATCTAAGAGAACAGCAATCCTGTGCAGAAGCTGGAAAACTGTCTGCCTAAAGACCTGATAGCAGAACACTGAACATGACCCTCTCAACACTTGTTCTCAAATTTAATTGCTGGATGATCTTTGTACTTCAACTTTTTACACCTTTTTCTTAAATCTACTAGCCCAGAAGTTTTTGCAATTAGTCCAGCTATCTGTCATAGGTATAATTATGTGGCTAATCTGAAGTGCTGTTTTGCTTCACGGGAAAAAAAAACCAAACTATTTTTTGGCAGAACTAAATGGCACATTGAAAGTGGGTCAATCCCAGACATACGACTGGTTAAATTAGTATCAGCTGAGTCACTTAACCTTCATTTACCTAATCTGTAGCACTTATTCTAATCAACTAGAGAGGTTAATATGGTTTTTTTCTTTATCACCATTCTTAACTCTAAGAAAAATCAATTATTAATTAGAATTGACTTCCACGGGCTCTTTTAAGAAACTCACCTTTGCCATTCAAACTGTCTGGCCAGATGGTTCATATACTTTGTAATACACTTAGGCCAACCAGATAACATCTAAAGAAATTAGTCATAACTTCAGACTCAAAAAACCATGGGATGGCATACTCAAAACATGTATGTGGTTACTCCGTCTTTTTACAACATGTCTATATGTAAAAACGTTTAAGGTTTTTTTTAGAATCTGGTAAAATTTTCAAGTAAATGACTGACAGCTGTGATTTCTTAGTGCAATCTGACATGATAGGATTATCTCATGTGCAGTTTCATATTATCACAGAGATCTTAGTATGTAAAAAGAGAAACATTAAACTTCCATCTCCTACATGCTCCTGGATGAACTTTAGTGATCCACAAAAAAGGCTTGCATTCTGTTCTTGATTTCAATTAAGAGAAATAAGAAAGCATGAAGAGAGAATTAACAATAAACAGGATCCTCCAGAGGATATTAGCTTTACTCCAGTTGATTTTTCCCTAAGGGCAAAGGAGATTGCAGTTTCAATCTAATAGGCTGGAGGGCAACTGCTTGGAAAGCAGCTCAGCAGAAAAGAAACAGGTAACCTGGAGGACTACAAGGTGAACACGAGGCAGCAACGCGTTCCTGAGGCCTTCGGCCAACAGCATCCTGGCCTGCATCAGGAAAATCACTGCCAGTAGGTCAAGGGAGGTGATTAGTTCCCTCTACCAAGCACTGCTGCAACCACGTTTAGAGTACTGTGTCCACTTTTGGGCTTCCCAGTACAAGACAGACATGGACATATGGGAGCAAGTCCAGCAAACAGCCACAAAGATGATCGTTGAATTAGAGCATCTGATATATGAGGAGTAGTTGGGGAAGCTGGCCTTGTTTAGCCTCCAGAAGAGATACCCCAGGAGCGAACCCTTCAACATGTATAAGCACCTGATGGGGATGGTGGGAGGAGGTAAAGATGACTGAGCCAGACTCTTCTCAGTGGTATACAGTGGAAGAAAGAGAGACAATGGGCAGATAGTGAAGTACAGAACACTCTGCTTAAGCATAAGGGGGAAAAACAAAACCAAACTCCAACCTTCACTGGGAGGGTGATCAAACACTGGAACAACTTACCCGGAGAGGTTCCCAGAGGAAGTATTTCCCCCGCTGAAATTGGTTAATAATTCTACTGGAGTTTTATACCTCAGAGCAACAACCTTACCCTTTCTGGAAGAACATTGTTTACTGCCCTCAAAACTACAATTCAAAATCAGCTGCTCTGACTCAATCCTCACAGGAACAAATCTGCTGATCGATTAAATAAAGTACATAGTGAAATCCTGACTATTAAAGTCACTGGGAGGTCTGCCACTAACTACTAGGGGAGCCAGGATTTATCCGTTTGTGTCTCTGATGAAAGCTCCAATTTAACTATTAAAGTTGTATTTTAATTACAAAATATAAGGGACAGGTTAATTATATATCCTGCTTTCATATATGGAAAACATGCTATTACAATAATTCCAATGAGGGTGCTTTAAAATCCCACCACTGTGGATATTTGGAAATATGTTCACTGATTAACCATTTTCAAGTTTATCTAAGAACATACTGCAAATTCTTCAAATGGCCTATCTTATTTAAAACTAAGCTTTATGAAACTCATACTTGTAATTCAAGATTGCATTTATGCTGCATTAATGCAAGTGTTTCTGAAATTCCTTGGAAGAAAATCACGTTGAAAAACATTAATTTCAAAGTCCCATCTATAACCCTATAAGTAAGTGGGGTAACATCTGGCCGGCAGACAGTCACTAATGGTGTTCTCCAGGGCTCAATTTTAAGGCCAGTTCTCTTTGATGTTTTTATCCATGACCTGGACACAGGATTTCAGTGCACACTAAGTAAGTTTGCCAATGATACTAAATTAGGAGGACTCATTGATTCCCCTGAGGGTAGAGAGACCTTACAGAGAGATCTTGATAGGTTAGAGCGCTTGGCAATCACCAACCATATGAAATTTAACAAGAGCAAATGCTAGAGACTGCACCTGGGACGGTGTAATCCTGGATATCTGCATAGATTTGAGGGACAAGAGGTTGGAGTGCAGCCCTGCAGAAAGGGATCTGGGAATTTTGGTTGATGGTAAGCTCAGTATCAATCAACAATGTGCCCTGGTAGCTACAAGGGCCAACCATATTCTGGGGTGCCTCAGGCACAGTGTAGCTAACCAGTCAAAGGGAGCGATTCTCTCACTATACTCAGCACTGGTGTAGCCTCACCTCAAGTACTGTGTGCAGTTTTGGGCTCCACAATATGAGGATACAGTGTTGGGAAAATGTTGCAATGCAGTGCTGCTGCACAAGCTGTTCTATCAGCTCTGTCCCCTGTATAGCCCCAGCCCAGGGCTGCAAGCATAGACAACTGAATAGAGCATCAATAAAATGTTGTAACAAAGGTAATGATGGGCCTGACAGTTCAAAGGATGTTGATGTATGAGAAACTGGCCCTTAGCTACCGAAGCAATGGGAGATCTATCATTGTGGCTACTAAGAACTGAGACGTACAGAACTTGAGGTAATCGTCCTTGAAGACTAAAAGAAAGAAGAAACAAAACAATGAAGTAGTCGGACTCCAGAACAAGATGTGAAACCCACTGTCAAGATAATAATGACTGATAAAGTATAATTCTGTGTATTTTGGATTAGGTAATGCTTTGTAGGTGCATAAATACATGTATGCGAACTCATGTAAGCTGTTACTCTCTGCGGAGGTGACCCAACGCTGCTGGACCTGAATAAAATCCTAGAGTAACCCACGACGGAGTTCGAGTCTCCTTTAACAACAGAAATATTAGAACGTGTCCAAAGGAGGGCAACAAAGATAGTGAAAGGACTAGAGGGCATGACTTACGAGGAGAGCCTGAGGATACTTGGCTTGTTCAGTTTAGAAAAGAGGAAACTGAGGACCTCATTGTTCGATACAACTTCCTCACAAGGGGGAGCAGGGAGGGAGGTGCTGATCTCTTCTTTCTCGTGTCCGGTGATAGGATGCAAGGGAATGGCTTAGAGGTGCATCAGGGGGAGTTCAGACTAGTTATTAGGAAGAAGTTCTTCACTGAGAGAGTGGTCTAGCACCAAAACAAGCTCCCCAGGGAGTGGTCACGGATCCAAGCCTGTTGGTGTTCAAGAAGCATTTGGACAATGCTCTTAGATACACGGCTTAACTTCTAGGTTGCTCTGTGCGGAGTCAGGACTCAAAGATCCTCATGGGTCCTTTCCAGCTCAGGATACTCTATGATTCTATGAAATCTTCCAAGGTACCAAAGGAAGATTTGATCTAAAGTCAGTAAAAGACATTTATATGCAGAATTTTAAGGAAAGTCATATTCATGGAATTAGAACTGGCTTAACTGATATTATCACTAGATTTCAGAGACCATATCTTTACCTGTGTTGTAAGCCTGTGCTGTAGATGCTTTAAAGCTGATAGCTGACACTGTGTTCTTTTGACAAGCTCTCTTGGAAAAAGACTACCAGAAGCAACGCAAACTGTGCAGCGCCTACAGCTAACAGGATGCCGAAGTCCTATAAAGGAGAGAACATACTGAGGAAGGCATTCTCTGTTGTTATTTTCTCATCGGTATTACATTCCCAGCAAGTGCTTATAGTAGATATAAATGACCCACAGAACACAGGTCTTCTCATTGCAGATGGATTCAATGCTATGTGGAAATGGGCCTTTTTTTTTTTTTTTTTTCATTTGCTTCATTGCCAGAGCAATTGTTGCATGGAATTTAAATGTCCACAGTGAAAGTGAATTCTTCTTACAGTATATATACTCTTATACTCTTGATTCAAGTTTACTCTATAGTAAAATTATTCTGCTTTCTCTTTCAGTTTCATAAAGCGTTGGTTTTTATTCCAACAGATGAACTACTTCTTTTCTGATCTTTTAAAGTCTTAGCTTAGCTTCCAGTTCCCACACTGACACCTAAGCACCTGGGAGTCCTTCATCTAATGTTCATCAATGAAAAGTTACTGCCTACAGACATTCACCGTTTTGTTACCACCTCCTACCACAGGATAATCTTACTTGCAACATTTACCAACAGAGTCTCACACAAACCATGCAGATCAAGAATCATTCAGGTCCAGCACTTTGTTTTCCTATTAAAACTTAGTTCTCTCCAGCTCAAAGGATGAACTGACTCCCAGGTTTTGTTCTAAATACGTAAGATAGCACTCTTCTGTAGATTAAATTTACCTTCCCTTAATAGCATTCTGAGTTCTGCCCTGAGTCTGTTTCCCATTTCAATCAGCTGCTGCTTCTCTTGGCCCAGAATTGAGATTTTTCTTGCTGCTTCCTTCAGTTTATTTTGCATTCCTTGTGGAGTGCATCTGACACCATACTGAAGACCAACACCAGGACCTATGTCAGGTAACTGTTGTCCAAGATCTACCATTTTTTCTTCAAGACCTTTGGGTTTTGGCCCCTGAAAATAACAGATAGTGCTTATAATGAATACTGTGGTCTGCAGGTTTAGAGATTTGTACAAACACACATTAGAATCCAGTTGAAGAAAAAGCATAACGTTGACGTCTACAGGCCATTTTTGAGGGTCCATTTTCAAGATTCTGTTAGAAATACAGGGCAGACTAAACCACGGAGCAAAACACTGTAACAGCCTGGGACACTCACAAAAATATTGTTAACTGTAAGTGTAAAATAATACACATAAGATAAACACCATATAACTGTAAACCAGAGAGCAGTTAATTTTAAGCTAAAATGTGGAAAAAACCCCACTGTACAGCAGATAGCAAGCCACAACAAACCCTTCTTTGTGTAGTCATCACGTGCACACACACATATGGGGTAGATATGACATAAAATGGTGTTTTAAAGAGAAATGCTGCAGAGTGAAAAGTAAAGATTCTACAATTGGTTTTGCCCGTTGTTTGTAAGGTACTCTCAGAACTGTTTCCAGCTGCCAGCCTATGCCTAAGAAGGGTTATGCACTAAGAAGAAATAAAAGAGACAGCAGAAATAGACAGGAAATGATAGTTCAATATAAGTGAAGACAGCATTAACTACAATTCCAGCATTTTGCTCAAGTTTTGACCTGCACATCTGCTATTTACATGCCTCTACATATAAAGCACAAGTAGTTCAGCATTTTGCGCTGAAGATGCACATCACTGCCTGAAAAATATTCTTGCTCTCACATCCAGCCCTGAGCGTTCAATTATAGTTTAGCATCATGAAGCAAAGAATTAATCTCTGGCACAGAGAATGTTCAGCTCCTATCTTACTGTCTCCGAGGCAAAGCCATGCTCTACTCTTCTTTTAAGGCTCTATCCCCACTTAAAAGAAATGTGAAGAAAATGAGCATGCATCTTGGACAGTAGTTTGTAAAACATTTTCTGCAACAGAAAAGAATAGTTGGTATAAAATTCAGTTTACACCTAATTCCAGAAGTGGCCAAAGAAAAAAAGTAAAACTATGTTGTCTGTACTGGTACACAATGATTTCCTACATATAATTTGACAGCAGGAACAAAAACATCTCCTTCGATATTCAGCAAAAAGATACAACTAAGATTAACATGAACTGCGCCTGGTGGGTTGTACACGTTTACACTCAAGGTTCCCAAGGCTCCGAAGTTTTATTTAAACACTGATATTGTTTCAGTTGCTAAAGTTCTTAGCTTTTAATGTATATCAGCACCTCTCATCCTTATTTATTACTTAGGTATTATTTCCATTTCCTTGAACTTAAGATGGCTACTGGTGAGCCTTAACAGTAAGATTAAAGTGTGAAACAGATACTAGCAGATTTTACAGATGATTTGAAAATTAGAACCCCCTTATTTTTTTAATTGTATTTTAACCTATCTTGCTTTAGACTCCATTTACTACACCATGAAATCACTGGGAGACATGAGGGGGGAGAACATACAGTGACTTACTCCTCACGCAGCATTAGGTATTTGTCCCGGTTTTCAATTCCTTTATTAGTTTTCTAAGAGACCTCTCATCAGAGTCCAGTAGTGACACAGTATGTACAGTTTCAACTCTATTTACCTTATTACAAGGTATATTGAAAGATTTTTGGTATTTAAAAAAAAGTTAAAATATGGATTTACAATGGAAAACTCAAAGAGGTGATACACAGCAGTCCAAGAATTTGCAAGTGGAAAAAAAACCCCAACATATCAAGAAGGGCTTGAAAGATCAGGAGTGACTTGTGACAGGAAATGACTAGTGAAAATTTATTGCCTAGAAAGAATGAGCACACGTTTGGTTGAAAAAATCATTGCTGGCGCTCGTCTAACCCTCATTACTAACTGTCCACATAAATGTATATTGCTTTAGTTCTTAGCATTTATTCAAACAAAAATAATACATTATTTAATTAAACATACACGCACATATATTTTAGGTAGTTTAAACCTCTTCATACCTTTTCTGTGTCTGGGTTTACTATATAATCCAAGTTAGTTGAGCTGACTTTGATATTACTCATAACAGTTCCAGTTGAAATTTTGTTTGTGCATAATGAACCTAAAAGAGGAGTATAATATGAATGTGTATGTATTTATACAGAGTATATGTATTTATACAGCTTTAATAGCAACACCTGCTTCAGAACTGTCTCATTCATATACATGCACACCACTTCAGCAGATGTAAACAGAGCTGAAGAAATATAAAAAATAGTAGTCTCGTATGCAAATATCAGACAGCTACAAAATACAGAAGTGACTAAAGATACATATTAGAAAGGTCAATTCATGGGTAAGGAGCACAGAGAAGTTCTTTTTCCTTCCAATACTGCATTATTTACTCACTCTTGGGAAACTGTCAATATTGAGTATAACAAAAATAATTAAGACACAGTAGCTTCTTTCAATCACAGTCGAAAAAAATCACCAATAAATGGAAGTTAATCCTGAAAAATTATTTAGTTCCAGTAAAAATGTGAGTCTGAACATACTGATGTATACGGACAAGTCGGGAAAGAGCAGATGACTCTCTGGAAACCAGAAGTGCCACCTAAGTTACTCTCCCATTGTCTTAAAAATTTCAGATTTAACATTATCATCTCTTCTAGTGACTGAATATGATCTCCATAGATTTTTAAAAGGGACATTTAAAAGGGATATAAGAAAGATTACTTAGGTTGAATAAGTCTTCCAGCCATAAAGAAAATGGTAATACATTTCTGAAAACTTAGATTTATCAGCTGACAAAGATTACTGCTTCTCTTGGACACTGCTAAACTCTAGCAGCAGTAAATCTTTTACATATTGGACTACAACATCTTCAAAAAACAGTGGACTAACTTTAACTGCTTGTGACAAAAAACTGTGGTTGCATTTGTTTATTTAAAATTAACAAAGCTTTTGCTTTAATTTGTTATTAATGCCTCATTATTAACAAATATAGAATATACTTATATTTATTAAAAACGCCTGCATACTTAATTAGCCACTGATCTCATATTACTGTACAAGTAACAGTGTAAAACTAATTCTGCAAACTGGTAACACACAGATCCAGTCACACTGCAAAATTAAAACAGAGAAGCATGACAGCAAAATGGTTGGCACAACAAAATGGCTTTCATCAAACCCATCTTATTTTTTCTGAAATACAGAAAACAATGCATGGTGACTCTGCAGTAGTTTGAAGCAACTAGAAGTTAAATGTTTACATAGATGACACACAGAGATGTAGAAATCAGCTATCCACCAGTACTTGTATAACTGGTGAAAGGTGCTAAACACAGGGCTACTTATTCCACAGAAGTAAAAGACGTCCTTGAAAAAGTTATACCCTGCCTATTTAAAAAACCAAACAAACCAGCACAAATCAGAGCTAGTTATTCCATTACCATTGATTTTCTTTCCCCTCTTCTCCAGACTTACAGAAGGCACAATGTTTATGAAGAAAAGATCCAGTTTTGTTTCTAAACAGGCCTGCACAAGAGCCAATCAAAACTGAATTTAACAAATTTTCAGAAATTTCCTACAAAACGTATCTAGTTGTAATGGACATACCTTCTGCAGGTTTTTGTTTTGTTTTTTCTTTAATGTTATCAGCTTTGACTTTCCCATGAAGGATAATAAAAAAATGTAAAAATGAAAGTGTAAGACATACTGAAATGATGTACTGAAATGTTACTGAAATGAGATGCTAAAAATCACTCAACTAACGTGTGGCAATATTTGGTAAAAGGATGCATTTGAAAGTACTATATATTTTTAATATTGAGATCTTTTAAAATTTTTAGCTTCCTGATGGAGACACCTTAAAGGCCACCCAGTAAGCATACCTACAAAGAAGGGTATCTCCTGAGCCTCCAGCTGTAGGAAGAAGGACAAAGAAACTGTGATAACAAACTGACCTTCCAGGAAAACAGGAGTTAGCAACAACAATACCTGAAACTGATGTCCTAAGCCTGCCTAGGTATCTACACCAAAAATGTATAAAAAGTAACTCACTACCTACCGAAAATGAGCCTGTCTGCAAGATCCTCCCTGCACATGATCTCCCAAACAGGCTGGAACCTCACTGGGGACACCTGGCTGACTCCCAACTCAGTAATGCGGATCATCTTTGAAGTGAGACTTTTTTCCCCATTGTCTACTAGCCCCACTTCTGGGAGCGGTTTGGCAAGTGTCATACCAGTAACACCTCACATAATATATAGGCATGTCCACAGGGAAAGGTTTGTAAGAAAGACATGGACCTGTCAAGTGGAGGCCCATGAAAATTATCAGAGGACTAGAATACCTCTCCTATGAAGAAATTTTTTATGATGAGACATTGCAACAGGTTGCCCAGGGAAGTTGTGCATGCCCCATCACTGGAAGTGTTCAAGGCCAGGTTGGATGGGGCTTTGGGCAACCTGCTCTAGTGGAAGGTGTCCCTGCCCACCACAGAGCAGTTGGATGAGGTGACCTTTAAAGGTCCCTTCCAATACAAACCATTCTGTGATTCTATATATTTGCTTCACTAGTTGGAATTCTGTAATAACTTGTAATATACATGTATTTGCTTTACTCTTGCAAGATATATACACATTTGCTCTTCCTAGTGGTAATTTTGTAGTGACTTATATGTGTGTGTGTGTATTTGTTTTTACCAATAATAGTTTTGTAGTAATTTGTAATAAAGAAATTCTCAGATTCTCAGACGTCTGTGTGCTATGGAATCCTGAGAACCGCACGGTCATGATCTTTACATACCCGTGGGTTGGGTAGCCCTCATAGGTCGTGACTGTGACCGCTACTTTCCCTTAACTGAATTCAGAGTTCTGTGGTGAGAGTTGTCACCTTGCTCTGCAAGCTGTCTGTTTTCTGTCAGAGGAAGAGGGGACATCATCTGCTCATCAAGACTCTCCATTTCTTTCCTCATTTGTGCAACAGCAGCCCGAAGGTTGGCATTCTGCTCCTGCAACTTTTTTATTTCCAAGGTAGGAGTATCTTTGCTCACAGAACTTGTATCGTCACACTGAAATATCTGTAAAATAGAAGTACAACACAGTAACAACCGTTCATTAATGAGCAACACATATTGTCTCCACACCACCACACACAGAGATCCTAGTATTTTCAATCCATGAACAGACTTGGGAGAAAAGAACAACGGGAAGAAAACAAAGAAATCTGGTTATCCTGGGGATTTGCCAGGGAAAAAAGTGCTGTGATGAGAACCTGAGATTGGGAAAGTGGCACAGATGGGGAGGAGGATGGTCACAGAGGTGACTGTCTTATCACTGTTGTTCTCTGAAGTGTGCGATCTCTGTCTCTTCTACTCATGGGTAACCCATCTCCTTGAAGAACTCCCTGGCTCAATAGCAGTCCCCTTTCTGACCTGCCAAATTCTTGAAAGTGCCTAGCTGGAAGATCACATAATCATCCAGAATTACTGTAAGCAATCTTTTCTTATCTGTGCACTTGTACGGTATTATTAGCATGCTCCAGTTAGGTAGACATGATCTAAGTCATACTCAAAATCAGTTACAAGCAAGATTTTCTAGGCAGGTATGTTCCTATCTGTCACTTAATTAAAGGACAAGAATGATGATTGTAGTACTTCTAGCATCCTCAGGGGGTCTCAGACCAATCGGGAGAAAGGACCGGCATGCTGAAGATACTGTACTATGGTGTATTTAAACTTAAATCTTTCTTGCCTCATTCATCTGAACTAGAGGCTAGCCAACATACTATTCCTTCTTTACGAAGACTCCTTGACACAAATGGTATTGATTTTAAATTTTTAATCACTTTTCCCCTTCTGTTTGTTTACAATTCATTCTGTGCAGAAAAAATAAGCAAAAAGGTTTTAGCTCGTAATTTTTTTTTTGTTTAGTTATTTCTTAAACAATGGCCCTTCACATAAAATCAAGAGACAAAAATGGTTTTGCTGAGATGGGTACTGCTCATCCTACAGGCCAAAAGTGCAAAACAGAGACAGAGTGTATTAGCAACAGAAAGAAAAGCATGACAATGAAAACAAAGTCTTGCCAACAACAGTAACAGTCAGTTACAGTGGAAGACAACAGTGAATGTGAACAGCAAAAGAACTCCTCCCCAACCCCAATTCTCTTGGTATTTGAATGATCAATTTGCAAATCAGTCCAGTTTGAAATCAAACTGGCAAAAACCACTTGCTCCATAGTAAGTTTTTGATAGTAGTCTACTTTTGTCTAATTTATTATTAAAAAATGTTTTCAGGAAGTATCTTTCGGAATACACTTTCTGCATTCAGAAACCACTAGGCTTGCTTAACACTGCTTTTTCTTATCTGCAGGCTCTGATAATACACTCGTAACTGCCCACTGTTGAGCATATGAAGCTGCCCAGTAGGGTGCACTGCAGCACAAACTTTACTTTCATTCTTTTGTAAAAGACCATTTTCTACTCAATGCACTATCCTTCAGCATGGCTTCAAACCAGCATTATGTTTGCGAACCTGAATGGCTTTTAAAAAATGTATTTTAATAAGTAGCAAAGAAAGGAAAGAGAGTTTGTGATACTAGAATAAAATACGTTATTTTAAACAGCTGTAAAATTAGTATTTTGAAACACTGCCTTAAAATTTGAAGTTTGCTACTTCAGATTCTACTCTGAATTGCAACTAACACAGAGTCTCAGGAACATTACAGAAATTAATTCTTCCCATTCTTACGTGCCATGATGGTGCAGTACATTGTTCAGTTTTGAAGCAACTGCCTAGATCCAGCTTGCTCCTTTTGCTAGTGAGTAATGGATCAGAGCCATAATGAAGCCTATGACACCTAATTTATGCGCATTCTGGGCTAGATATGTCTATATTTTGAATTAAACATATCAAACAGATGAACTGCTTACAAGAAGTCCAGCGGAAAAAATCCACAAGGTTGTAATCTCGGAATGAATTAGTCCCAGTCAGGACCTTAAGTGTTGTCTAACCTGTTCCTCCTCTTAGGGTAAAATACTGTGATTAAACGATGCTTGTATTGTCTGTTCTCTCTCAACAGTCAAAGCAGAAAGAATAGTCTTCACTTTATGCAACCTGTAGTCTGTTTTCTGTAGATCAACTTCAACCCAGGAGGAAGGGAAGGGAGGGAAAGCGGAGGACGTCAGTAGCTCAAGGACAAAAGGTGGAGATTAAAAAGAAAGAAAATAAATAAAAAAAGAAGGAAAGCAAAGAAAAAGATATTTTAAATCACAGGACAGGGACTTAAAGCATATCCCTTCTGGCTCTGTCAAAAATTGCCTTTACAGAAAAATAATTTGGCTTCATTGTCTCATCTTCTGTATGTGGAATGGACAATGCTGACTAATCTCTCAGATGCATTCCTACTGATGCCTATGAATCATTCTGGGAAGACAATGGTAAAATAAAACACCAGAGTAAATGCCTGCATTCTAAATTTCGTAAACAAGTGTTTCCTCTGTACCCATGAGTTTACTAGGCTACTGGTCATTGCTAATTGAGAATTACTGTTAGTCCATTGTGTAACAGTCTCTAAACATGTATTTAATTTTTCAGAAACAGAAGCTTGTACATAATTCCTGTATGTACTTTCTTCTATACAAAAATACTCCAAGTTTTCCAAGACTAATATTGTTCCCTTGATAGAAATCATGCTGTACTGTGATCTGAAACTCTTTCTGCCCTAGAGCTGCTCTAAGAGGGATATTTCTTCTTCTGATACAACGCCAAGAGAAAAGCAGTGGCATCTCTCAAGCTGACCTGACTTCACTGCAAGGAAGCAAAAGTCACAATTAGAGATTGTCCAAGAAAATTAATCTGGTCTCTGATTAAATATATTTGATGAACTGCTGTGCACAATATAGAATTACTGTTTTACAGATTTCTGAAAGAAGGCTTAAGTCATGCCTCCCCTGAGAAACACCATGATGGAAAAAATCGATAGCTCTCTATGCAACAGATGGCTCCTAACCAGTGTTAATTTGAAATTCTCACCTGCTCTCTTGCTGAAGACAGACTTTGTGTTAGATCCTCTGCTTTCTGATACCATTTACTTTCAGCATTCTCACAGAGCTGCTGCCAGTCCAGTACTGCTTGCCTTTTACTCTGTTCCAAAATCCATTCTCGCTCAGCTGCCAGAGACAGTTGTTGTTTAAACCTATGATAAACAGAGCAAAGCTGTTGATTTCAGCAAGACCAACACTAAGAATGTTTTGTGTTTGTTTTGTTTATTAAATCTCAGCCTTGTTTGCTGTCCTCATCTTCTTTCCTTGTTCTGTTTTCCAAATTATCTATTTTATTCTATACTACTCTATGTACTTTACTGGACAAAAGCATTTTAATTGCTTAGAGCTCAGCAGTCTCTAAGCGTCCATCTCTATGGGTATTTAGAATCAGCTTTGGAGGTCACCTCAGCTCAAGTGGAATAAACCGCTCTTCAACACCAATACTGCTCTTGGCAATACCGTCCACAGCACATTTCCCATTTACTAATAATGAAAACGAGATACAGAAGAGCTAGGAATGAAAGTTGTTGGATTGTCAAGATAAAATTCCTAGGCTCAAAGGCTGCTGCATATACAGACATTGAAAACACACTGTGGAAACAGAAGAGATAGAGGATGCATGAAGTAAGACAAACCTCATATTCAGAATTTAAGGGCTTTCAAGACAGGTTCAGTAGTCATATGTCTGAGCTTTTAAATCACAAAGCTGTCGAGACTTCAGGGCACTCTTAGGATTGGTTGTAAATGTCACTTTAGACAAAATCTCTACCATTCTGCACCTTTCTGGAATTTGGCCAACTGTGTCCTCAATTTATCTTCTTGTCCATGCATTGATTGAATTTGGAATGTTTTAGAGGCAGACTCCTTAGAAATCTCAATCAGATGAGAATCTTCGCTTGTTTTTAGCACTATAATTTCTTCTTGAAGTCTACATACAAGAACAATCCCCCCTTCCAGGTTAATATATGCTTGCTTAAGACAATTAACAAAACATGTGATGCAATCTTGGATATAAATCTGTTCAATTACTTTTTTTTTTTTTTTTTTGATTAGCAGCTCAGAGGGACTTTATCATGAGCCAAATGTATACTGTAAACCACGCATTTCCAGTCATACAAAACACAGGCCAGCTAAGCAATTCTTTAGTTTTCAGTGGCCTTCTTGGACTGATAGCTGCCTCTTTCCAGGCTGGCTATGAAAGAAGTTCATTACTTCTGGTATGTTGCTCCTTCTCTAGGTTTCCACACGCTATCTTTTCCACATGATCTCATTTCCTCGTTAAACCTTGAGGAGATGTTTCTTGATCATGTCAATCATAAAACTGATGTTTATATACATGTATGGAAATTTTGCTACAAATCTTCTTGCAGTAATATACATAGAACACCCCGGGATGGAAAGATCACCTGGTCCAACCCTTCCCGGGAAAGGGAGCCTAGATGAGACTATCTAGTACCCTGTCCAACCGTATCTTGAAAATCTCTAGCAATGAGGACTCTACCACGTCCCTAGGGCAGTTCTTCCAGTGATCGATTGTTCTCACTGTAAAAAAAAAATCCTTTTCTACATTGAGATGAAACCTCTCCCAGTGCGATTTGCACTCATCGCCCCTTGTCTTCTCTGTGGCTCCTTGTGAAGAGAGACTCCATCCTCTCTGTAGCCACACTTTACACACTAGAAAACTGTGATGAGGTCCCCCCAAGCCTTCTCCAGAGAAAAGACCCAACTCTTTCAGTTTTTCTATATAGGGCAGATTTTCCAGCTCTCTGATCATCTCTGTGGCCTTCTCCAGTCCATCTGTGTCTTTTTTTCAACTGTGGGGACCAGAACTGGATGCAGTACTCCAGATGTGGTGTCTGTTTAACCACAAATTACTGGGAGCTTTTCACATGAGTAAGTTGGACACAAAACTGGTAATTATGATGTTGTGAATTTCTTTCGTCACAGCTTATGAAACAAGATAAATCAAGTCACTCACTTTCTAATAAGAGCATCCTTCTCTCTTAAACAAGCACTGGGACTCCATTCTCTTTTGCACAGCTCAATTTCCAGACTTGTTTGTCTCATCTGGAGTTCTCTTATCTGCTGCTTCAACATTTTAAATTGTTTTATTTGGACATCTTTCACTGAAGCTGGCATTTCATCCTTTTCCTTGGCAGCATGAGCTAGTTCCTCATTCCTAGAAGAAGTAGAGAGACAGAATAAAGTGGGTTTTCAAGCAACACAACCACATTATTTTTTAGTACTGTCAATTTACTTTCTTATCGATATCATTTGAGCAAATTCAAAGAATCATTGTTGGAAGCAGTGGAAACAGAAATCAGTATCTGCTCTTCAGTGCAATAGGTTGTGGGGAGGTCTTTTCTGGTTGTTTTTTCAAACTAAGAATGCCACTATTTAGTTGGACTTAGGACACAGGATGAATCCTTCTTATACCACTGCAGAGAGTTTAACTCCAATTTATCACAGAACTTTAAGTTTGTGATTAGCACAAAGAACAACAGTATTTCACCTAAATATGGGATCCAGATGATCCTAAAAATGAAGTTTTTTCCCCTTTTTTTTTTTTTTTTAAAGATGACTCCTAGAGAAGATTTTTTAACAAGTGAACTACTCCATTCAACATACTCTTTTACCAAACTCAAAATATTCTTCACAGTAATTGAACAATTGAAAGACACCTATGATCAAGTGCTCCAAATAAGAGACTGTAGGGATCCATGGATGAGCACGTGAGTGAGCATGCACTCACACAAAAATAAGAGACCAGGTTTAAAGTGACACAGAAGTGAGTTGCTAGAAGAAAAGACCCCCAAATAGTACCTACAGAAAACTCAGATCTAACAGTAAATAAAAAAGGAGTTATGCAAGTAATAGTTGTGTAATGTTCTTGCCCTCTGAAGCTGACCTGCATATAAATTTTCAAAATATATCCAAAATTTCAAATATAAAGGATTAAAACAAAACAGAAGGAAAAGAAATTGAACTATGAGTAAGTCTTATTTCTTAAGTTTGAACTAGTGATGAGTAAAACATAAAAGAGAAACCCCCTAATAATACTCTAGTTTGAATGAGTTACTTTCTGTCACTGTATTCACAATCTGCCTGCAGCAGCTTGAAAAACTATAAAGTTGTGACTGAACACAACTGGACTTACTGGATTCAAATCAAGTGTGTGAAATATGAGCCACCAAAACTAGCCACACAATCTAGAAGTGGGATGAACTAAGCTTTTTCATATTTACCGCTTAGAAGAGGTACTTCTTTTTCAGTAAAGACAGAAGGTACCACTGTACCACTAAAACTTCTAAGATAAAATTTTATTTGAAGTGACAGAGGTTACATCCAGAAAGAATTAACCTGAATCCGTGCAACTTAACAAATATTTCATACAAAGAGTTACCTCCTCCTGTTGTAACAGTATATATTACTAGATCAATTAACTCATGTACACCACCCCAAGCTGTTGCTAAAACAAGATTATGTGAAAAAGAGTAAGTTGAAAGTGGCGTGGAATTGTAGAGTCTGTGAAAAGAAGTTTGTTTCAATCATAATCAGAATTGTACAATACCAAGCATCTTTCACAGCAACAAAATCGTTGGACTGGTTTTCTTTCTCCAGTTTCAGATTAAACATTTCTACTGTTTGCAGTGATTCTGTTGTTTGTATTCCACTCTCTTTGAGGGCCTCTAGTTCTCTGGTCAGCAGCTTCACCTTAAAATGGAGGAGAATCAGACTTAAGAATTCTAATGACAGCCTGATACAACCTAATTTTTTAAGACACAGTTGAAGTGTTAGCATCAGCTCCAGAAACAAAATAGTATAAAAAGTTGCGAGGTGTTTTCTTTTAGAGGGTACGAGGAGGTGGTTCTTTTGTTTGTGTTTTTTTTTAATTTGTAAGTGACATTTTGTATGGTATAAACATTAGATCAACAAAACACTTTAAAACACATTCCCCATAATCTATAATGTCTGCTGATATTCATATCCTCTACCTATACCTATTACCTACGTCAACGTGAACCCTGAATACTACCCCTTTCTATCTCTGCCTAAAGTTCCTTTCACACAGATTCTTTTATTCAGCGACTTCTTGGCTTTCCCTGCAGCTGGACTTACTAATACATGAGGGAAATGACTGCATATGACCTCTCTCCTTCCTTTGCTTAACACTTCCATCACCATTTCAGGTGTGAATAATATATATATATATATATAAATAAAATACATAACTCAATATACACAACGTTTCATAAAGAAAGAAAAAGATTTAATAGTATCCAGCACACACAGCACTGATAGCTATTACATCCAGATGCAGCTGCAAACAGTATTAGAGACACTTAATCAAGGACTCAAGCCTGAAAACTGCAGAGACTAAACGTTTCTTCTGAAGTACTATCAGAATAACACTGCGTATCACAGAATAAGCAATATGTATAAATTTACATTTAATAAGCATACGTGCAGTTGCAGTTTCTTTATTCATACTGAGTCATAGAATCATAAAATGATTTGGGTTGGAAGTGACCTTAAAAATCATCTGGTTCTACCCCCGGCCATGGGCAGGGACATCTTCCACTAGACCAGGTTGCTCAAAGCCCCGTCCAACCTGGCCTTGAACCCTTCCAGGGAGGGGGCATCAACAACTTCTCTGGGCAACCTGTGCCAATGTATCACCACTCTCGCAGTAAAGAATTTTTTGCTTGTGTTGTATCTAATATAATCCAATCCAATCCAACCCAATCCAATCTAATCTAATCTAATATTATCTAATCTACTCTCTTTCAGTTTAAAACCGTTGCCCCTCATCCTGTCACTACATCCCCTGATAAAGAGTCCTTCCCCATCTTTTCTGTAAGCCTCCTTTAAGAGTTGGAAGGCCGCTATAAATTGTCCCTGGAGCCTTCTCTTCTCCAGGCCGAACAACTCCAACAATCTCAGCCTGCTCTCATAAGGGAGGTGCTCCAGCCCCACAATCACCTTCATGGCCTCCTCTGGAGCTGCTCCAAAAGATCCATGTCCTTCTTATGTCAGGGTCCCCAGAGTTGAATGCAATACTCCAGGTGGAGTCTCATGAGAGCCAACAGAAGTTGGCCATGCAATCTTTATAGTCAAGATCACAGTAAGACAAAGTGCTCTTAGGTCCATTACTACAGTGATGTCCTACAAAGATGGCCCAAGACAAGGCAAGAAAACAAAACCAGAAACTAAACTCAAACTGTGCCAACAGTCAAGATGCAGGAATCGATGAATACCACACTAATGGCCAGGAAACCTTTTGCTACCCTAATAGGATTTTGGCAAGCTAAAGTTTGTAGGCAGAAGTGATTTATTTATTAGACAAAAATCAACAGAGCTGGAAAAAGATGGCAATCTTTTAGGCATACAAGCCTCCTTTTTGAAAACCTGGTCTGTTTTTCCCAGTGCTATCAATCGGTTTAATGAGAGGGTTTTTTTTCCCCCCCTCTACCTATATAACTCAGTTTGTTGAAATACTAAGCTATCAGTTAAACCACCACTGAAGTAAGTGAACACAGGCACCAGAAAACCATCCAAGTAATGTTGGATGATGATTACTAAAGACTGCACATGCAGTGAGTAAGAATTTGGAAGAGTGAATTCCTCATTACTAGCCCTAGAAAGATGACACAGGCCTTTCAAAGACCTATATATAGCTTTTAGTCACGGAGGAAAAAAACTCAGTCACTATGAATGAAATTAAGATGCATACCACAAATACCCCCGCTTCCTGCTATCCTGGAAACAATTAGTTCAATACATAGGTGGAGGAAAACCAGCAACAAAAAAACAGCCACCTTTCATGTGTTTCACACGAGAATGACTTGAGATTATAATAAACACATTCATTCTGTCAGTAAGTACATCATAAGTTAACATCACAGGACAGAATTGAGTTACCCATTTCAACTGTGTGCTTTTGAAACTCACATTCTCTCTTTTTCATTTCTGCATCATATTCAGCTAGCAGTTCCTACGAGGGGAGCAACAGATACGTAACACTAGTACAATGGTACCGACAGAAACATTGTAGCATCACAGGCTTTTTAAAACACTGTACAAGAGGTCTAATAATTGCATAATATTTCTCTGCTCTAATGAGAATCAGAATGTACTGAATGAATCCTCTCATCTGTTCAATGGTGGGTCCCCTAACGCAAATTGTACAGCAAAGGGGAACTTAAAGAAAAACATCAGCTGAATAGCATCCTTCACAAAATAAGATCAGATTCCATAAACACAGAAGAAAAAAAAAAAGAAGAAAAAAAAGAAACTTATTTTAAGAAAAAAACCCCAGCTCCTTACAGACATTAAAGTTCAATTCCTTTACAGACATCTGAGCATCTGTAATATGTCAAAGACTATCCATTGTTGAAATATCTGAACTTTCTTTTAACTTTTAGAGGAGTGGAAAAGTGCTACCTCTCCCCAGTGCTAAAAGTTGTGGGGTTTTTTGTTTGGTTTGGTTTTTGTTCTTAAGTGTGGGGTTTTTTGGGTGTTTTGTTTGTTTTTGCTTATTTGATTTTTTTTTTTTTATACGGTCACTTTGTTTAGCAAATGGGACAGAACAGTGTTGAGCTATACAAAAAGAAACTGAAGTTAGTTATTTCAGCCTTTTTTGCCACAACTTAAATTTTTAAATATAAAATAACAAATATTAACAGAAGTTAAATTTACATTATAAACACATGAATAAAGGAATATTTATTATTATATACAATCCACTAGAAGCAGTTACTACATCCATCTTCTTATACACACACACATATATACAGAATTAATGGTGATAAACATCTGACCATTTCCCTCTATTTTTGCAGAACAACAATAGAAAGAGTATTAAAGTGTAAAAAGTGGTCATTAATAAACCACGTGAAAAAAGATTTTAAAAGGACATTATAGAGACCTGGCATCACTAGTCTAAGCTTTTAAGCTTTTTATTTAAGTTAAGCAAAACAATTCACTTTTGTTACCAGGAAAAGTTTTGGCTGCAGTCAAGAGGCTTTTAAAGTCAATACGAAACTATAGCCTTCCTGAAAAGTTGTCAGAAAAATACTACCCTGTTTTCCACTCTGGAGATAAAGTGTCAAGAGGGCTGCTGGGAGATATGAAGTTATGAGAAAGACTTCCTCCCCTTCCCACTCCCCCACCCCACCCCAAACTGTTGAATTTTAATTTAAAGGAATATAATAAAAAAAAAAGGGAAAACAAAGATCTGTTGTTACAGGGCTTTACATTTCATCCCCAAGAAAAAACAGTACTACAGAATGGTAATTCTGGTGTGAAATTCCTCTAAAATAACACTGCAAGTTATCTACAGTCCAACACACGGAAATTAAAGACACCAGTGAACACATCACTGAAGTGAAACTCACTTGTCACAACAGCTGATTCACATGCGTACGAAAAACTGTTCGTAAGGAAGCCATGGATTTTCCAGAAATTAAACTGTTGCAGTGAGTGGCCATTCAGGTATCTAGACTGTATTAAAAAAGTATTTTAAAAAGTGTTTAGGATACTCCTTCCAGGAATTCTATTGATAAATCACAATTGAAACACTAAAACAAGAGGATGAAGTCACAAGGGATTTTGGCTAATTGATGCAATATCATTTGTGAGTTTAAGGGGAATGACTGCAAAGAGACCAAATAGCAAGCATGTAAGTTGTGCTTCTTTAAGTTGCAAGTCATAAACAATGGACATACCACAGTGGAGACAAATAAACAAGTTAAGAGAAAGTACATATTAGATGATGTGCCCTTAAGCTTGTGGAACAGCAGTTCTTCAGCTTTATCATTACAGTTTAACCACACAACACAAAATTATAACTTCTAAATCAAGCCAGTTATCAAGTGTTGTTCGAGTGAGAAGTGCTCATACTCCTTTGGGTAGGTTCATAAACTGCCTCTGGGGAGTTTACCATACTGAGGGCAGCGAGATTTGGATTGGCAGGTGTTGTGTACAAGATGTAATCGCCTGAAAATCTCTTTTATCACGTCTACTTATATTACATATTGGTTTGGTTGACAGGCCAAACGAATCATTCTAGTTCTGATGATTGAACACATTCATATGTAAATAATGAAAAGTAATTTTAATATTAAGTACATTTTTACCCAAACACAAAGGAAGGTTGGTTTTGTTCTTTAAAGTTTATCATATATATAGAGAGGTGGTGTAATGCCCCCAATAAGGTATCATAGTTAAACATCAAATTTCACTGTTAGTAAGATTATCCTTTTATGATGAAAAGACAGCAATATAAGAGGCAGAAGGAGAAAGAAAAAACAAAGTGCCTTGTAATTAGGAGTATGATAAAGAATATACATTTACCCACCTTGCCTCAGACTGCCTTTGCTTTCTAGACGCTGACCTTTCCTGCAATTTCAAGGTTAACAAATTTAGCAGTGTGCTGTCTACATAAAATAATCTTACACAATCTCAGATTACTAAACACATTCTTAACAGTTCCTTACAAGAGTCAGCTGCCAGACAAGCAACAGCTACTATACAAGTAGTGCATAATTTTCTGAACTATCATTATAAATCTCATCAATTAAAGCAAAAAAAGGCAAAAAATAAAAGCTTATACAACTACAGCGATGTTAAACCAGAACATTTGAATAAAATAAAAAAAAAATTAAAAATTGAAAAAAGGATTGCTAGATGGCACCACAGCAACACAATATTGTTTCTCCATACTCCTATACTTGTTTCTGACAAGCAAGCTCTCCTTACAGTTCTTGGATTATTCTCTCCATGTGATGTTTCATGTTCACATACTACACATGCTGATGATCTAGGGGACTGTTCCTAGAGCTATAAGCAAAAATAAAACAAATTTACATTAAAGAGCTTCTCTGGTGACCTAATGAGGCATACATATGTAAAAGTTTTTGAACAATAACACAACAAATACAGGCTGGGTGATAAAGTGGACAGAGAGCAGCCCTGCAGAGAAGGACTTGCGGGTATTAGCGGACGGAAAACTGACTAAGCCAGCAATGTGCACTCAGAGCCCAGAAAGCCAACCACGTCCTGGGCTGCATCAAGTGAAGTGTGGCCAGCAGGTCGAGGGAGGGGATTCTCCCCCTCCGCTCTGCTCTCATGAGACTCTATCTGCAGTGCTGGGGCCAGCTCTGGGGCCCCCAACTTAAGAAGGACACAGACCTGCTCGAGCGGGTCCAGAGGAGGCCAGGAAGATGATCAGGGAGCTGGAGCAGCTCCCCTGGGAGTACAGGCTGAGATTGTTGGGGCCGTTCAACCTGGAGAAGAGAAGGCTCCGGGGAGACCTTATAGCAGCCTTCCAACGCTTAAAGGGGGCTACAGGAAAGATGGGGAAGGACTCTTTATCAGGGGACGTAGTGACAGGATGAGGGGCAGTGGTTTTAAACTGAAAGAGGGTAGATTTAGACTAGATATAAGAAAAAAATTACTTACTGTGAGAGCGGTGAGGCACAGGATGCCCAGAGAAGTTGTTGATGCCCCCTGCCTGCAAGGGTTCAAGGCCTGGTTGGACGGGCTTTGGGCAACCTGGTCTATTGGAAGGTGCACCCCTGCCCGTGGCAGGGGTGTAGGCACTAGATGATTTTTAAGGTCCCTTCCAACCCAAACCAATCTATACGATAACTATAAATACAAGATGCTATAATTTCCTAAAGAAAGTCACAATAATTTTTTTTTCTTCTAAGTGAGTCGCAACCAATTTTATCAGCATATGCCATTTCTCAAAACTATACTTCAAAAGTTAGCGGCATACGAAATATAGCGGATCTGTTGAAATGTAGTGCAAGACTTCAACTTAAGTATATGAGTTCCTCCTCCACCCATACTTTTCTGTTGCATAAGAAGAAGTAGCAAAACAAAGGCTTCCAAGCAGAAATCTGAGCTTTTAGATACACTTAAAAATAGAAGCAGCTCAGTATCTTTTCCTCTCCTCCCCCCAGTATTTTTATCTGCTGTGAACAAAAACTGTTTCTCTGAGATACAGTGGAAGAATACCAGTGAGGCCAGCATTTCAAACAAATTTGAAGAGCTGATACTGCTAAGGTGACCAGTAAGTTCTGTAATGATACACTGAACCTTTTCAAGATTTGGATTCATCCCTGCAAGACTCAACAGGCTTGGTGCAGTCTGTTACATGGCCACACAGACTTGGACTGGTATCGTGCAGTTCTGCAACCTTCTGATTACTTTCAACTCTATATTACATTTATTTTATGTAGCTGAATGATGGCTGCATTTGGTTACATAAGGTTGACAGACATAACTGCAAACTACAACTGGATAGCCACAAAGACCTAAATGCATGTTCACTTTCATATGCTGCCAAATTTTGCATTTTAAATTTACACTTCACCTGAATTAATCTGAATTTTATAGCCAACTCTTATGCACATAAATGAAGTCTAACAGAAGTGTTGTCTCAGTGTAGTCTAGACAGGAGCTTTTACTCTTTTTTTCCCTTGTTCATCCCACAACTCTCCAGGGCACGGCAGATCAGAAGATTAATTGCTGTACTGCTCAGTGACTAGTATCCAGCTCAGTGTGGCAAAGAGGCAATGCTGGATATGAAAGACTCAAACTCCTCCTTCCATTCCCAAAGGATATGCTAGATGTAAAATTCCTGAACTGGCTTTAAATGAATTTGCATATGCTCCAGAACCACAGTAACATCAATCAGTTAGTGACCTTTGAGGAATTCCAGATCCATGTCCAGATCTCTTCTAATAACTAAAAAAAGTTATTTAAAACTTATCTAGCCATCTCTATACTATAAATGCAGTTTGACCCAGAACAGTTGACAGCAGTTACCATTTTAAACAGAGAATAATCCCAAAGATACTGCTATATCTGAAGACAGTAGTTATATTAAACAAGAATAATGTACAGACAGATTTCAAGAAATAAGCATTTATTTTCCCTGCTCCCCCAGGTTTAGAATCCTGTAAAGAATAAAAAAACATTAGCTAGAATGGTCAAACTAAATAAGTACGTTGCTTTAGCTATCTTCATCTTTTAACTGGTTGTATTAGTCATAAATCTTGGTCCTGTGACTGGATATGCCCCACCAGATTTTTTTCCTTCACAGAGGTCTATGAGAGAAGGTGGGACAAAATGTTTTTAAGAGAGCACAAAACCAACTCCTGTCATAAGATTAGCTTGCAATGGCTTAAAATAGTTCAAAGGCTAAACCATTTATGTGGAAACCACAGCAGAATATAGCAACTAATGTCTAGTAACCTTGGATAATATCATTGACAATGGTTGATACCATTATTATTTATCTCCTCATATACAAAGAAAGCAAGTGGATCTGGATATAACACGCAGGAGACATATCACAATACTTTCATATTTATCTCATTTCCCAGAGGTGTTTCAGCACTGAATAAAAAGCATTTCCCTCTGACAAATCCTTTTCTGCTCCCCACACTATGTTTCCCTTATAATCATATAATCTCTACCCAGTCATATTGTCTCCCCAACACACACCTTTATGTAGGGACACGCTGTATGTTTAAGAGCATCCTCACTTTCACTTAATGCTATCCTTTCTCTAACATTGCCAGAAATCAGACAAGTCATTGTGAAAACCAACATATAGGTGTAAATATAGCCTGAGTCGCTTCTTTTAGCCCTCACTGTTCATTTTCTAGCTGTTCCTCTGTCAGAATAGATAATCACATTTCCATGTTCAAAGTGCTCTCTACTGTATGATGTTACTGCTTTATCCCAATCCAAATATGTCTTAGAGAGGCTAAATTTTTCATTTCCTGCATATCTATTCTAAGGAGGTCATATCCCACCTGCAAAACCATTCCAGCTCTAATTTATGTTCTTCAGTGTGCTGTCAATAGTGATAACGAAGTTTGCGTCTTTTTATTCTTTCCTTGACAAGCATTTGCTCCACTTTACCCAGTTGTACTCTAAGATCACTAATCTCTGCTGTTTAGCATTTTCAGATGAGTGGCTATGACATCATATTGTTCTAACCCTTTATCTCTCCCCTAAAATTCTTAGGTTATGGACAAAATCTTCTTTCATTTTATTAAGTTTTTCATGCTTGCCTCAGAGTTGCTTTCTGACATCTTGCAGCATTTTCTTTTGACACAGGAACTGGCAAGCAGGTAGCTCTTTCCCTTCTTTCTGTTTCCACTGAAGGGCATCATTTAGCTCCTTCTCCTTGTGAAACACTACTATAGATCTGAAACAGGAGCTGACAGAAGATAATTAAGACTGATAACTAATACAAATCAAGTATCTCAACACTCCCAATTGATTGCATAGCTGATCATTAATTACCGGTGAATTTTAAATTTAAATTATAAAGTTTCCTGGACCATCAGGCATTGGCCACTTCTAGAAGCAGAATTTACTTTTATTTATAGTCCTGCATTGTCCAGGGGTAAGACTTCCCTACTTAGTTATGAAATGCCACTAAATTTTGGGGTGGGAAAACATAATTTTCTCCTTTCTTTATACAGATTGAAAACAGAGGCATAAAAAGATTTAGTAACTGTAAACTGCATGCATACTTCTCTTTTCTTGAAGACATTTATGAAAAGTCAAGTCACAGTCCAGCGTTGTCTTACATCAACAATATTAACTGCTATGTCCCATTTTTCATGTTCTCCCGCAATTACTCATAGGACTACAAAGCTACTGTTCTGTCCACAGTTAAATCCACCTTGAAGTTACTTTTCAGAATGGCCAACTGGGATGGGGAAATAGCTGTATTTCAGTAACATATTAAATGTATCTTTAAAAGTAAAAAGAAAACAAACAATATAGATGTTGTGCTTTTACTGGTAAAACTGTTTACTTGTTTCACTTCCATCTCTTCTTATCGTTTATTCTCCTTATTTGCCTCATATCTATTTATAAACTCCATAGAAGAAACAGCATTATTTCTAAGCACTGTGGTTGCTTTAAAAAAAAAAAAAAAAAAGGTAATTTCTGCTCAGATCTCTCCAGAGCTTTGGGAAAATCTCTGGAGTCAATACAGCTTCTCTCACTGTACAGTATTATTCTGTGTCAGTGGTTACACATAATCCCATCTGGATAAGCGCAGAGATGCAGAGAACAAATCAGACAAGCATGCCTTTCAAATGGTGGCTCTTTAATCTCTTTAAATGAAACAGAGATTTCCAGATCAGCAAACATGAAGCAATCTCTCTATGCTAAAGGATGCCACAATTTAAACATAATTTTTCTTCACAAACAAACTACACAACTCTAATTCTCCAGGATTAAAAAATGAGTCTCTGATCATTGGATGTGACAAGTATAAAAAAAATTCAAGTGTGATCTTCCCATGTACACTGAGTAACAAACAATGCTAGAGGACACAATGATCTGATGGTCTTTCAGTTCTGCTTGCCTAGATTCCACATTTATCCCTGAGGCAATTAAAATAAAATTGTGTTTTCTCCTCATATACCACACATCTTGGTGACAATCTTCAAATCATGCTACAGTGTAGAAAACAGAGTAAGTAGTATCTTCATTTGGGTAAGCAGAAATAGATTTTTTTTTTCGTGTCACTGTCATGGATATTCACGAACACTACACTCTACCCTGCCTGTAACATGCAATAATAAGAAAGATTTGTTCTTTCTGTATCTTCCTTTCAGCTACTGTTTCTCCAAATGCATCTCATCAGATGACCACAGTTATAAATATTAACTAAATTTGACTTCTTCTCCCCCTCCACTCCAACCATAAACACAGTAAAGATTAAAAGTGCTTATGAAATGCTTTCTGGACTTAAGGCACTGAAAGAAGCTATGGTCAGTCTACACCCATTAAGGTATCAAAATACTTTTCTAAGTGCCCTTTAAAAACCTGATGTATGCTTCATCAGCTAAAACTAGCAATACGTTATTAGACAAGACCTTTGTGTAAGGAATCAAAAACAAGACCACAACTCCAGGCTACTACTTCCTTGAAATCATCAAACTGAAGTCACAATTTCTCTTGGAAAGAGGTGGTTAAGAAACAACCTCTCTCTATAATTATCTTAAAATTAAAAGGCACCACACAGTTCCCTATAAAAACAACCTTCCTTCCTATCTCCATATATCTCACTTAAATTAACGGCACCAATAAATTGAAAGTGGCATTCTGAGGTGAGTTTGGGCTACATATAACATCGGAATCATTAGTTTCATATAAAAATATGAATGAATTACCCTTCTTGTAATTTTAAAATATTGTTTTCCATCACAGAGAGCTGTATTTCTTAGAAATGCAATTTAATAGGAGAGAAGGGAACATTTTGCCTTTGATAGCAGCAGTATTTATAATTGCAAGTTATTTTCAATAAGGACCATAATGGAAATAACATTGTAATTTTAAATATAAATCATACCAATTGACTGGATATCTTCCAGTCAAAAGAAGAACAGTAAACCTATATATGACAACAGTAAAAGATGATTTAGGAAACAGCATACATATAAGTAAGAGACAACAACTTACAAGAAGCACAGCTTACCCATACAACCTAAACAGCAAAGATACCCATTACAATCCAACCACTTACTTCAAGCATATCCAGACAGAGGCAATTGATAGGTACTCCTGTTCCGCCATGTAAGGGCCTAATGAGACTCATATTGTCTCTCTACCAAAGGAAAATGATGGCTTGGCTGCAAAACACACACAGTTGAATGTGGCTGCTAGATCTGGATTTTGCAACTGTTACTACTAAAATGCTAATTCAACAACAAGAAGTTAGATGCCATACCTGAGCTAGTCACTTTTCAACCAAATAAGGAGAACAAGATGATGCTGAAGAATGTTTCAGAGTAATACTTGAGAACCTTCAGACTTCCATACAACCTCTATTTGTCAGAGATGTGTAAAGATTTAAATGTAATTAAAAGTATAAAGAAGCTATACTTACTTCTCTCTTCCTTGTTATCCTTATCACATATCCTTATTGTACGAAGAATATGTGCATAACAGACCAGCAGAGCTAACAAACCAGGATTGCTTCTCTTCCTTCCAAAACTACAGAAAAGAAGATAAGAAATAAAATGCCACACAGCCAGTATGTTACATATCTCTAGCCACAACTGTTTTCCTTGATGAAGCAGTGACAGAACCAAGACCACCTGAGTATTAGCACTGCTGTTTCACTATGTGCTGCAAGTCATAATGAGACAAGCAATCATCATAGGCCACAACTTCGCTGTTAATTATTTGTGCCATAGCATTGTTGAAAAAAAAAGAAAAAAACAAAAAGAAAAAAACAAAAGAGGAAATCATGTCAACACAGTTCCAAGAAAAAAAAAATGACAACCAGTGATACAATTAGCATCACTTTTGCGCTGTCTCTTTCTTTACTGCTAGTTCCTGGTTTGCTACATACCTTTTAAGTAAGGTTAGACATATAAAACAGCCAACATACATCATCCATTATTCAATCTGATCAGAATAGATAAAATATAGCAGAAGTTGGGGGACAGGATAAGGACCTATAACACACAAGAGAAACCTGGAATGTCAGGTACTGAGCAGGGACACACCTCTGGCAAAGTATGGGCTGGGCTATGCTGCAGGGCACATGATAGCCTGATATTAGGCTCCACCATTACGCAGGACAGACAAGAGTAGAAGGCATAAGGGACTGTGTAAGTAAAAGACAAGGTATGGTGGGAAGAAACAATTGCCCCTGTTACTGAGAAATGTGTACATATTCTAGTGTCCAGTAATGTAAATAGAGGGCAACACACCATAAGGAACACTGAAACTGAGTCCCTAGAGCAAATATCCTCAGAGATGACAGGAAGGGACAGCCACATGGATGGAGGAAGGGAATTGCTCGATCAAGTACCCTGCAGAATGAGAGGTTAGTACACCTTAAGTGCAGAGAAGGAGAGAAAGACATAATCAAGTGGGAGTAAAAGAAAACTGCCAGTGGAACAACCAGCAGACAGGAAGCAGATCCCAGGAGGAAGGGCGAGAAGTCCTGTGGAGGGCCCAGAGGGTCAGATGCTCTGAGGCACAAGAGCGGATGGCAGGAAGACTGCCGAGGTCAACCCCCTTAGAGGAAGGCTGTAGAGAGGAGCACACGGTAGCGTAAGATAATGCTTGGGACTCAAAGGCAGCACAGAAGGCACCTAGTAGCAGGAAGGGTGCAGAAAGACGGCGGGTCCCCAGAGAGAGAAAAGGGTGCAAGATGCACGGGTGCCGCGTCGGAAGCTCTGAAGGACAAGCTGCGGCGCACCGCGACGATGTGCAACCGCCGTGCCCGCTGACGGCGCCGGCGCAGCAGCCCGGTCGCGGCCCGGCTCCTCCACGACTGGACCTGCGCGTCCCGCCGCTCACGGCTGTAGGCCGCGCCTCACGGGAACGACGGCGGGCAACGCCTGTCTGAGAGGCGGGACCGTCTCCATGGGAACCGCGGCCCCTGCCGCCCGGCCCAGCGTTGGCCCCAGGCGGGCCTGGCGGCGAGCGTCGCTTGCGCCCAATCCGTTCACTCGCCCCGGGCCCTAGCGCCGATCCACTCAGCACCGGCCCCGAGGCTTTCGGCTCCGAGCTGCCTCCCGCGACAGCCCTCGTTCTGTTGGGGCTCGCCAGTTCCCCAATCTGCCTCCCTTTTTGCTCAGCAAACCAGCGCTTCTTGGTTCTTCTCACTGTATTCACTTCCAGGCACCCGGTATCATATTCTCCTCGTGTTTTCCCCACTTCATCCTCTCCCTTAACACACAGCAGCTGCCCCTCCACGTTGTGTGAACGTGTGTGCATGCCTTTGTAGCCCCGGTCTCTTTCAGTAACATCCTCTTCTCCCAAAACACAGCTAAAACTTGTTTCATACTCTCAAATCTCTTGTTCACGTGTCTTCCCATATATTTCGTTTAGCAGACTAGTATTAAACAATTTATCCCTAATGCAGATCAGGAAAGAGAACCTTGGCCCATTTCAAGTGCTGTTAGGAATGGGAGCAAACAGGGAACAAACTTCCCATTACCTTCTAACTCTCACTGCATCAAGTGAAAAAATTTAAAAAGCTTGTAGAACAAGCTCAGACCAACTGCAACACAAGGTCATGCAGCACAGGTAAGTAAGTTCTGCTACCAAGGCATTTAATTATTCAAAAATGTATCTATCAACTAAACCAGACTACACTGTCTATGTGTGACTAAGCAAGACGTAACACATGAACTCAACATAAAGCATGATTTTCCCTTAGTCACTCTAGATGACTTGCTTGTCTGGAAGTCAGGAGGCAAATTTCCTGTAATGCTCTCTCACTTTTTTTTTGTTTCTAGATTACAGAAACAGCTCTGCCAGATGAGAGACCTTTCAGAAACCTGAACGTTGAATGAATTATATCTGAAGTACACTCGTTTAAAGAAAACATAATATTATCAGCAGTCCTTATATAACTCTCTTTAGGTCATCAGAGAAGAACTGTATTTCCTAACTCCATGTCACCTAAAGAAAGGAGGGGTTTATTTCCATCAGTAACTATTATTGAATATTAGAATCAGAACTAATAATTTGACTTTTGAAATAAATCAAGTTTCATTTAGCTACATGAAGTGTACCTACATATAATTTTAGAATACTACAATTATTAAAGGGTATTAGTTCATTTGTTTATATGAATCACCTCTGGTTTAAAATACAACAGTGAAATCTGGCCTCAAATGACTTTACAGATCTGAGCACACAAAAATTATGATGCAAGTCCCAGCGTAATTTATACTCCGCAGTGGGCCCCTCACAGCACTCATCAGTCAATACGTAGTAGGCGAATGTCTAAATCCATATACCATGCCGACTGGTGGCACGCTCCTTTTTCTTATGTCTTGCCCCACAGTTGGCTAACCTATCAAGCGCATTATCTTTTTTCAATGCTTCCTCACCATTTCCACCACCACCCCCCCCGCTTTCAAAATAGCTGTCATCTTCTGCATGGTACCTCCAGACAGTCCCTAATCACGTAATTAAATGCATGTTGGTTCTCCAAATGAGTAACTGATAGCTTCCAGCGATTCACTAGTGCCCGAAATGAGTACATTTTCATCTTAATGGTGAGTCAAAAAGATTACAGTCTACACAACATAGATTTGGGGATCAATGGAGAGACCTGTATACAGCTAAAATAAATGTAGAAAATGTCCCGGTTTCATAAATGGAAATGAAAGGAAACCTTTTTCACTTTTAGCAAAAATGAACAGGAATTTAGAAGAGAGAGACAGATTTTCTGTTCTTATCAAACACTAGTGAGTTCAGTAGATTTAGGCTAAAGGTAGATTTCAGCCACCTTTAGAACAACCTTCAGAGTCACATTTTCTAAATACAAGTCTTTGGCACTATCAGTGTCCTGTGAAATAGCAAACACCCATAAGCAGCTTCAGAAAGAAAGAAAATGGACTCGCCCTCTGAAAATGCTGCATTTTAGAGAGGAGAAGCAGAGTATATCCTGCCTATAAATATGCTACTAGGCTCAAAATCACTTTTAAGTTTCCATTCCAAAGGCTGTGCCCAACTCATCATGGCCCAACTCCAGAAGACAAGACTCTGGATTACACAACTGCCACCCTCATTCTTGTTTTTATGGAAAAGCAGTTCCAAGACACAGGTCACATGAGAGCCATGGCACACTCCAAAGATGCTTACTTGGACAATCAGAGCAACAGCTTTATGAGAAACATCATGCAGGGACTCAGTACGTGAATACGGACATAGTCCACTTTGATGAAACATAAAGATGAAAACGTGATTCAGAAAAGTCTTTCTTTCAAGTGCAGCTTTCTTTCATATGAATAAACTTATTTCCACAGAACTCTGAGGAATGTATTTAGTATACAGTATGCAAATAATAAGTATAAAAAGTTCAGGACTAACATTTTAAAGGTGATCTTCCAAATAAAATTGGCCTACTTCATAGCTTGCAAAGGACTCCAGAGGAATTGCTGATCCCCCTCAGAAATTTGGCTGCTGTTATTTAGAAACTAAATGGTACATTTAAATTCCAGTTTCATCCAGGCTAGAAGAATTTGATTTCCATGTCTTTCTTTTCCACGTCTACCCGTGCAACAACTGTGGGCTAATATTTTTGAAGACTATATACATCTTTGTAGGTGCAGTTCATGTTCCTCAACTGCATCTCTAGAATCATATAAAAAGACCTTATTTTCATACTTGCTTTAGAAACAACCCCAAAATTACCAAAACCTCAACTCTGAGTATTACTGGCCTTTCTGCAATAAAGATCTTACAAGGGCTCTTTGTACAACATGATTTGCTACGTTTACCTTTTGAATCAAAGACAGAGGTGTATGCATTGCATAGCACAGTTAGCCATGTATGTAAACATTTGAAATATTCAGTGTTACTGTTAACAATCTTAAAAATACTGTGGTGAAAAAACATTAATTAATACAACAGGCTCTGTTCAAGTGCAAATAAGAGAACATAGCCTTGAAAACCAAATATTTAAAAAAGCTTAGTAAGAATAAATGTTTACAGGCACTTTTAAGGTTATTTGGGACTCACTTACAAACTGCAGGAACAGCAAAGAGTACAGATGGGATTTGGAACAGGAAGCACCAACCACCCAAAACTGTTATAATACACAGAAGCATTTCTACAGTTCAGGAGGTGCAAAGGAAGACATTTGCTATCAGAAGCCCTAAGTTCCAGAGCAAGGAAGCTCTATCCTAATGTCAGCTACCCTCTTCCTTTTTATACTCCATAACAACAATATCCCAGCCACTTCTGCTTTTTTCAAAGCCCGATCAGGCAAAAATTTCCAGCATTTCTCTGACTGTCTTTACTGATATGAATGATATGAACGGCAAACAGTTATGGGACTAATTATATCACTCTGTTTTTAACGGAAACAATCTAGGAATCTCATGAAGCTCAACAGAGGAAAATGTATAGTCTTGCAGCTGGTGAGGAATAACCACACGCACCTGTACAGACTAGGGGCCAGCCAGTTGGAAAGCTGAGGGTCCTGCTGGACAACGAATTGACCATGAGCCAGCAATGTACCCTTCTATTCAGTACCCAGAATATCGTTAGCCTTCCCTGCCACAAAGGCGCAAAATAAAAAATAACAAAGTCAAATGAACTATGTAAATAAAGAACACATCAGGATCCTTATTTATTTGGTAGTTAGTGAGGAATTATGGAACGAAGGACTTTTTAGTGGAGGGTTGGTGGAATCCGACATCTATTAAGTATAACCCAATGACATTATACTTTCCTATTAAGAATCTCCTTGAGCAAGAAACTAAACTGAGACTTTCACAGTCTGCTCTGGACAAAGAATTTGCCTATTTAATGATTCCTCATAGGTTCAGTAACACTTTGAGAATATCTGTAACAAGTGGAATACTTACAGATAAACAATATGCAGAATTTTTTAAAAATTCAATTACAACTGTAAAGATTAATTTTTCAAAGTTCTTTTTGTAACTTGATGCCTTAAGTCACCGTGTTTTGAATTCCTTTTGCTGCACTTTAATATTCCCTCTACTCAGAAGTGTACTGCAGCATATTTAATGCTTGAACACATGCAACATAACTCCACCTAACAGATAGGGGTTTTGTGCCTTCATCTCAGTTCCAAATGTTTATGAGGTTATCCAGGCTGTGCAGGCTTCTGCAAGCACAGCAACCCTGTGTTCTGCTCACTTACACTACTGCTTTGTTGAATACTGAATCAGATCCAATGAGCTGAGTGATGATGTTGGGGGGGTGTCATTTACCCTGGCACATCATCCTCTACGAATGCAACTCTTTCAGAAAATGCATCCTTCAAAAACAATAGGAGCCATCAGCTACAAAAGTGAGACCACAAACCACTGGTCAGTTTACTCAGCAGGTGGTCTATGTTTATGGACATTTGCTTCTGAAAAACAGACCAACTGCAGTGAAACTCTTCTGCCTCTAAGAAAAAAACCAAAACAAAACTAAACTAAACAAAACAAAAAAAAAAAACCACAACCTTTTAAATGATGTGAGTGTTCTACAACTGAACACCAACTACAGAGCATCTGTTGCACTCTGATGACTAGGCTGCAGAGAGATGGAGGCTTTGGTAGGGGCAATGTTGAGAGATGTGAAGGACACATCAGTCCTCTTTTTTGACTATTTAACATGTTTAGTTAACACCTCTTTCCTTTCTGTAGCCTCTTATATCATTTGAGTAGCTACAAGAGACACTGATGGTTTAGGTACTTTGGTGACTTCACATTTGTTATTCCTCTCCACTCCTAGGCACCTCTGTCCCTCCTGAAAATATCTTCACAAAGTACACACCTCTAAGGTTTGAATTAAAAATTCTACTGGTGGCTATAAATTTCTATGATGTAGTGATTCAAGTAAAGTGCAGTAACAAAGCAGAAGATTTTGCAGGATGCAACTGTCCTCCTTGAGAAATTACAGTCAGAGGGTGGAGTCATGACAAATAAAACTGTCTCCATCTCAAAAAACGTAGTTTTTTCTGTCCTTTGGGACTGGCTGTTGAGATCATACTTCCTTTTCCTGGAAAACTAAGATTACCTGTAAAGACACGTAAAAATGTCTTCAGCTGCTAGACCCCACCAATTTGTCTGGGCCTCAGGCACTGCACTGCTTGCTTCAGAAGCTCCACAAGAATCAGTGTTTTTTGCTATTCTTCAGTTACCTTCACCTGGCCTGTAAGTGAATGGCCTTAAAATCGAGTAATGGTAGACAGTCAAAAACTGGTTTTACTGATCTTTAAGATTAGCGATGTATGTCTCACCGGCTATATCCTATCTACCCAAAACAAACCACCCAGCCTTGTTCATCCTTGCACACTACTGCAATGAATCCCTAAGCAGGTACAAATACGTACTACAGCAAAACTCAGTCAAAAGCCAAAGCAAATGTAATGTGCAGGGAAAAGAAAAAACTTCTATGGCATCAAAAGTTTCAGATTCTCCCTCTGTATTACCTGATTTCAGCAAGTAGCTTTGAAAATATTGGAAGCTACTAATCTGTTTAACAGCACAGTTCTCAGAGACAATACTGTATCCTACCCATCCTCTTCTAGTTAGAACCCTAATCCTGTGTATCTCCACACAGCTAGTAGGAATCACTGAATCATTAAGTTGGAAAAGACCTTTAAGATCATCAAGTCCAACTGTAAACCTAACACTACCAAGTCCACCACTAAACCATGTCCCTTTAGTGCCACATCTACACCAGGGATGGTGACTCAACCACTTCCCTGGGCAGCCTTTTCCAGTGCTTGACAACCCTTTTGGTGAAGACATATTTCCTAACACCCAGTCGAAACTTCCTGTGGCGCAACTTGAGGCCATTTCCTCTCATCCTATCACTTGTTACTTGGTCAAAGAGACCGACACCCACCTCACTACAACCTCTTTTCAGCTAGCTGTAGAGAGCACGAAGGCCTCCCGAGCCTCCTTTCCCCTAGCCTAAACAACTCCGGTCCCTCAGCGGCTCCTCATGAGACTTGCTCTCTAGACCCTTCAGCAGCTTCGTTCTCTTCTTTGGACACACTCAAGCACCTCAATGTCTTTCTTGTAGTGAAGGGCCCAAAACTGCACACAGTATTTGAAGTGCAGCCTCACCAGTGCCAAGTACAAGGGGACGATCGCGCCACTATACACTGGATTATATGCCATAAACACAAAGGAGTGGAGCACCTACTCCTGAATTTTGTAAGCTTTATGTAGCCTAAGGAGCGCTACTTTCTCTACTGCACTTCAGAAGCCCATCACAGCTTGCACAGATGCTAAATAATAGCAGTATCAACACACACTCAGCTTTATAATTCAACGTTTGTATGAATAGCAGTAAAGCCACAGCAGATCAGTGCAGAAAGTTCACTCCATCCGGATGTAAAAGGAGAGAGAGCTCAAGCAAGTGTACTTGCAGGTGGTGCTCCCTTGGTAAAGCATAAGGAGGGAAGCCTGTAAGTCATCTGCAGAATGCACAGTATCACTATCAAAATGACTAAGAAAAAAAAAAAGTAAGCAAGCTCGTAAGATTATTTCTTATGTGAGCAGACAATGAAGAAACTGTGATCACTCCCTGGACAACAGAAACGGCAGCACAGAACAAACCTCACCTACGAAAGCCAATTCGTACACTTACGTCTACTGCTCAGACGCTGCTCCTCTGGGCCGTCGGGGCAGCACGCCGCGCGGCGCCCTATGCAGACAAGGCAGAGCTCGCGCTGGCGCCTTGCGCGCTGGCCTGCCCGGCCAAAGGCGCCCACAGACCCCCGCCTCGGCGGGACGGCGGCCGCCCCCCTCTCGCGCCGCCGGGGCCCTGCCGCACGCGGCCCGGGTGCCCCTGCGCGGGCGAACCTGTAGCGGCGGGAAGGAGTCACGTGTCGGCGCTAGGACCCGGGCGCCCCCGCTCTGGCGTGGGAGGGGCGAGCAGCCGGCGACCTGCCGCACCAAAGCGCGCCGCAGCCGGCGGGGCGCAGACGGGCTGGGGCGGGTCCATCTGGGCGCACGGGGAGAGCGGGCAGCGGTGCGGCGCCAGCACGGGCATCCTTAAGCTGAGGCGCGGGACGTGACTCAGGTACTGAGGTGGAGCCGTCGCGCGTGATGCTGCGGAGTGCCTGGCTGGCGCCCGGGGGTGAATGCCACGGGGAGTGCGGGGGTTCCGGAGCCGGGTGAGCCGATTCCGGAACTCCGGGCAGCCCGAGGGCGCGTCTCTGCGTGGGGCAGCCCGGACCGGCGAAGGCGCTCGAGCGCGGCCGAAGCTTTGGGCGAGCGCGGCGCGGCTCCATCCCTCGCCCAGAGGCTGCTCGGGGCGCCAGTGGGGCGGTGGGCGCGGCACGGACTGTTCTCACCCCCCTGGGACCACTTCACGTGGGACGGCGGGGCTTCCCCCTGCCGGGCAGCGTTTCTCCCGGCGCATGGGGCCAGGCGGGCGCGTTTCTTCCCCGGGGAACCCGCGCTGCGGTACGGCTCGCCCAGCATCCCCGCCGCCGTCGGCCTGACAGCGCTGTCCGGGCGCTGAGCGGTGCTGGCGGCTGAGCTCCACTTGGCCGCTGCAAGGGAGAGCTGCCCCCCGCTTCCCCCTCTGACGGACGAGTCACGCCTAGGCGCGCGGTGCCGCCGGCCGCAGCGCACGTACAGTGCCACACCGGTGGCTCACGAGGCACTCGCCAGCTCGGGCTTTGTTCTCTCCATCGCTGGCTTCAGACCGGGACCGGGAGACGAGGGTCTCCGCGTCCAGCCCCGCCTCCACGATCCCTTCGCTGCTGCTCACCTTTCATTTCAGTGTCGAGCCCCGGGGGTAAATTCCGGAGTTCCCTTTGTCACGGCAGTGACATTTGACATCCGCCAAATCGAGCGACGCGCATTCTGAGGGACCGTCTCCCTCCTAAGGGCATCGCCGCAGCCCCGGGCATGAACTCCGTTACTCGGTTTTGCGAGCGCTCTGAGAACGGGGAGGCGATGGGAGGCAGACTCGCGCGGCCGCCTCTCTAGGCTGTGTGAGCACCTGCGGCGGCGGCGGCGACCCGAGCGCTTGGCGGGAGCCGTCTCGGCTCCGGGCGGCGCGGGCTACGTGCTCGCCCCGGAGCGCCGCGCGGGCGGCCGTGACCGTTGCCGTTGGCGGCGCCGCGACTGCCACCATTGTTCGCCCGAGCCCGCTCCTCCCCCGCGCGGCGGGCCGCCGCAGCCCCTCTACGTTCGCTGAGAGAGCCCTTTCTTGCTACTGCTCATAATCCACGTGAAAAGGTCTTCGGCTTGCCTTACTCTAAACGGTTCTGTGGAGAAAAGGAAAAGTGCACAAAGGTGAGGTTTTAATTGTAGCAATACGTCTTCCTCATCGGCACAGACCGTTAGCACTGGTTGTGGAAACGCACTCTCGTTCAGCGGGTTTGCGTGCTTTTTGGGTAAAGCACTTGTAAAGCCGCTTAGTTGAGGATGTCACAGAGTGAAGTCATGTATGGTTTTGCAATGTTTATTTCAGAGGGAGTGGCAGTTTGTTAAGGTGTGGCAGTCAGCAGTTTAAAAATGTAAAACAATCTATTAGTACAGTACACCTGTTGTTCAGTTGGAAGTATAACTTAAGGTAAATTACAGAAATATTAAGGTGACATTTTAAATTGTGACTAAAGTGGGAATTCACATATCTTGATGTATGACACCATGTTACGCAGCTGCACTGTCCAAAGTGATCGTGTAAAATAACACCTCTTAAACCAGATGATCTTTTCCCACAGTATTCATCTATGTGTGCTAACCTAGCTTGAGATACAGTGCATGTGAATGTAGCAGGGTAGTTCCATGGTATTCTGCAAAAATAAGCACGTATGTCCAGCTGGTGACAGGACTGGACCCTTAATTAATATTTATCTAGCTCTGTCACTTTTTGGTTTCATGCTAGACAAAATAAGGACGCTTCTCTACTATAAATAATCAACAAGAATTTCTGTTTTTCTAAAGCTCCAACATGGTTTAAAGCTACCATAGATGCAGGGCTGAAATTCATTTTTATGATACGTGAAGAATGAAATTTTAAGTATTCAACTGAAGTTGGGATTCTGCAACTTCTATTTTTGAAAGCATATGGAAAGCAGCCATATTTTTTTTTTGCAACCGAAGGCACGTTTGCCACTTTTTCTGTGCACACAGAAGGGGCATACGTTGTCTGGTCTTAAGGTGCTGCTGTGATGCTGACATTAGTGCACTTACTGTAGTGGATGTGGTGTAAAAAAACCCTATAGGCTTTAGAAAAGTAAGTCTACTTCTCCAGAAACTGGGCATTTGATACAGAGACAAAAGTAGGGAGGCTGACACTGCTATTGTTACAGAACTAGTATGTTTGCTTCAAAGGTGGTACCTGAGAAGATTGAACTGTTAGTTACTGTTGTATTTGTCATTAAAATATTTATGCAAGAGTTTATCTCAAGATTATAGGGGCTGTTTCTTTCTTGTTAAGAAGAAAGCCACATTAATACTTCTTTAAATGTAAAATTAGTATGCAGATCTACGGCTTATTCTTTTGCTTATGGCCCAGTGTAAGTGAGGGGTACTTGTTGGTAATGTAAGGTCATTAAGGAAACATAAAACAACCCCAAGAACCAAAACAAGAATGTAATCTGGTTTTCCTATGCAATGTAAAGAATGGGCTTCTAACATTTGCATTTAGATAAATTAAAAAAATAATAAGCACAACTTCCCCTGTAGAGCACTTTACCCAGATAATAGAATCTACACTGGTTAGTATTATTTGCTACACGGTAGTGTGAATTTACTGTGTCATTGCAGTCTGCTAGTAACTTGTGATGTACGTTACTTACTGTGCTGTAGGAGTGAACACTAAAATGGTTTGAGGCTTACTGGGGACTGAAGATTGAATGTTGGTATGGAACATCACCTACAGATACAGACAACACAGAATTACTGTATGGTTTATCCTAGGAGTTTTGAGAGAGAGATAAGAAAATCATGAAAGCTGGCAAACCCTTAAGAAAGGCAGATGCAGCAGAACTGGAAAACTGTCTCTGGTGAAACAGGGGAGGCCAAAATAGAAGAGCGAAGATTGCTGTGGGGCCTTGCAGGGAGGCCAGGAGGTCAAGTCAGGCACCGGTAAATATGGTAATGATTCTGTAGGGACCAGGAGTTTGAACCAGCCTTTGGAAATTAATGTATAATTCAACTGGCTGATACTTAAGCAGGGAAGCCACAAGAAATGCATTACTGTGTCACACCAGCAGCCCATCAAAATGGCTTGTACAAAATACCTAAGATTTAGTTGTAATAAATATGAATTAAGGATATACGCATTAGTGCTTTAGACCATCAGGAAAGAGTTAAAATCATGCTGAATAGGCAGATGTCAGTGACGTCAATGCAGAGGGTAGTTGTTTTATATGTAGAGAGCTATCACCAGGGTCTGGAGGATATTAGCCTAAAATTATTTTTGCAGGGGTCATTTCCTGCAGAATTTCAGTAGAGTTGGTTCGTTTTAGGATTCTTCACTCAAACCCATGGATAACATACAGCTTTTGTTTGGTCTGCTTAGATTTTAATACCCTTGAGCAAATATAGGAGGTTTGTGACTCCTATTAACATAGTATTGAGCAGCCTACACTTTTCATTGTATCTACACTCCCAACACCCTATGAAGAGGGAATCATTATTCTCTTAATTCCACAGCTAAGAAACTGAAGGAAGATCTCTACATTGCTCAGCGTAGACCATCTTCCTCATTTTGTCATTATACAGTTCTCACTGGGGTTCCAGACTGACTTCCAGTCTGAACTGGGTTCCCTACATGGAAGTTTGTTTTATTTTTGATAACCATTATTTATTTCTATCCTAGGAATTCAAGTTTGGGTAGATTTCTGCCATAGTTAAATTAATTCAGGAGAAGTTCTCAAGCTATACAGGTCAGTCTGTGTAGTCAGAAATGTCCTTTCTTCTGCTGACCATAAAGTACTGCTACGTAGTCAATAAGGGTATTGGCTAAACACAAATACTAGTTTCTTGTCATTTCCAGCTGCTCTTTTTATAACACAGATGCTCTCCTTTTATATAGACTGCACCATCACACCGAACACACCACCTACCATGCTACCTAGAATCACCTAATATTTCCTTCTAACTGATCCTGTATTAGTTTCTATGGCAACAGGAAGATAATCTCGGGAGCATGGAACACCACAGATTTAACTACATTTGCTCCCTTTGCTTTACACATTACCAAAGCAAGAACCCATTTATGACAGGAGGAATCTGGATTAAATACTGACAATACTGTCATGTCTGTTGTGGAGATTCTGAGACTGAGCTGCAGCCAGTTAAATGTAATCCTTTGCCTCTAAACAGGGCTGAGCTAGCAAAAGCAGAAAGCAAAGCAAACTGTTTCAATAGTTATGCAGTAGCCTCCCGTCTGAGCAGGCTTTGGCAGTATCCCAGTACTGAAGTGAAATTGTAAGTAAATATTTTGAATGTGCAAATCAACTGCTAACCCACCTCTTCCAATGCTAACCTCAGTTTGCACGTTTCACGTGGGAATCTCCCCGCTATTCCTTATCAGTCCTTAGGGAGGTGAATACAGTCTAGCCTAATAAGGCACACTGCAACAGGATGAAGGGAACAGGCAGAAGAGCATCTTCTGCCATGCATACAGACACAGGGTTCATTTAGTTCTGCTTAATGGTCTTTTAATTTTGATGTGGTAACATGAACTACTGATGGACTAAACCAGATGAACAAGACGGATGTATGCAAGTGCATATGTAGACCAATCTTAAAACGATTGGTGTTTGAAGATCTGGTATGGTGTTTAAGGTGATTTTTAGCCAAACGTGGTAATAAGACATGACATAAAGAAGAGTAAATGGATGTTACTGTTTCCCCATAGGTTTAATTTTATGAAATGCTGTGAGTAGGGCAGGTTCCCCCGCATTTGCAAGTCTAGCTCCTTCCCCACAACAGAACCTAAAACCGTTTTAGAGACCGTTCCTCTTAGAGCAAGCAAAGCTGGTTGTCCCGTGGGCCAGGTGGAACAAAGTACATGTCTTACAGGTTGCCCTGCTCCGCTGGGCAAGGAAAAGCGCAGGAATGGCCAGGGAGGAGGGTGTTGCCGCCTCTTCTGAGCCAGCCAGGCTCCGCGGGGTGCGTGCCGCGGCTGCAAGCGCTGCGCGGGAGCGCGGGCTCAGCCTCGCCCGCACGGGCTGCTGCGCGCAAGGCGGAGAAAACGAGCCGCGCGGGCCGCGCGCCCGGCTCGCGGGCGCCCCGCCCACCCGCCGAGTCACGTCCCGCACGTCTCAGTGCGGCGGCCGCCAGCGCGCGCGCGCCCTTCTGGGGCGGCCCGCGCTGCCGCACGTCACAGTGGCGGGGTCACGCGGGGCCGCGGCGGGCGGGCCCTGCCCTGGGGCCCCGGCCCGCCGGGAGCGAGCGGAAGCGGCTCCGCGCAGCCTCTGCCCGGAGGCGCGCCGCCCGGCGGCAGGGGGGGTGGTGGCGGGTAGCCGGGCCCCCCTCCGGGCTGCGCGCCGGATGCTGAGTTAATTTCCTGCCCGCCCTGGAGAAACGTGGGTCGTTCGTTTCTGGAAGGAACAAGCGTGCTGCCACGTAGCTTTTAACAGTGATTCATCTCAAAAGACACCTGCCACTTGGGATGGCTTGGATGTAGTTTACTGTGATGGTCCAGCACTGTAGGCGTGCAGAGACCCGCCATGTACCGTCTTTGCTACAGACTCAGTAAAGGAGACTGTCCCCGCCAGTGCGCAGGAAGAAGCACAGAGGTGAATGCCGCGACCCGTTTCTTCCTAGGGCTCAGGATTCCTATCCAGCACTGTGCAAGCAGTCTGGAGAAACTGCAGACTGCTGTTTTTCAACAAAACATGCTCACAGATTATTACTTTGCGTTGCCACTAGATGGTTAATACAAAAGAATAAAAGTTACACAATCCTTCCCCCAACATTTTAAACATTCATTCCAAATGAAAAGTTCTGAGAGTTTGGAAGTAGTGGGAGTGATGATTCCTCCTGCAGCCTGCACTCCTTCTTATTCCTGTTCTTTATACACTTCAGCCGAGATAACTTGAATCAGCATTTTCCCTGTTATCATTAATATTACAGAGCTACCAGTGTCATGACGGACTGCACTTTGTGCATCTACTCCGTGCTGTCTGGTTATTGCTTTAAAAAAAACCAAACCCAACCAGCAAAAAACAATCATTTTTTTGAAGAATGCTTTATACCTGGGATCATGCAGAAGCTATTGGGAAAAACAGTTTTGTAGAGTGGACAGATCTCAGTGTCAGGTGCAGAAATTGCCCAGTCCAACAAGCTATGCATTTTTACATACTCTTACAGCAATCAGCAAATCAGCCATCTGTAGTAGCAGGCACCCAGATGTCCAGTTTTACTGAGGTATTCTGTTTTGCTTGACATTTAACCATTTTACGTTCTAGTTGTACGGACTTAAGACAGATGACGAGTTTGCATCAACTAGACTGTTGTGCTATACAGAGTCTGGTTCTGAAATGGCGCTGTAAGAACTACACAGTTCCCAACACAATCACTGCATAGACCTATATTTCTGAAATCAGAAGCATTCTATAATGAGTAACATCATCTCTGATGTGCAGCTATGCTTGCACTCCTTTTTAGGCACTGTTGTAGAGAAACATTGACCCAATAGGAGTAATCTGCTTCAGGCAGACAGTGATACTGAGCATTGCTGCAGTTACTAACTCCCATCATCCACAAAAACTGCCTGTGCAGATTTTCATTGCAGTTTAGCTTAGGTACTTACTTGATGTGTGAAATCTGATAGCTCATCAGAAGCTCAAAGGGATCTATCTTTTCAAGATATCAGTGCATTGGGACTATATTGCTGTCCTCAGTAGGGAACAAAAAGCCTGGGTGATTTGTCCACTGTTGCACAGAATACTTGTGGATGCACCGTTATTTTGCATCCAGGTCTCCTAAATTATTGTCCAGGAGCTTAAGAGAACAAGGTCTTATAACAAGGATCCCACAGACTTTAATGCAGCAATTATGTATTTGTGATAGTCAAATACACCCCGAATTGCTGTAATGGCTTCAGTTTTTCTACAAAACAGTGATTTGGTTGAAATCCAGTTTTGACTTTGAGAGAGCTGTGAGGGGACGTTCATTTAAAACTCATCTGTGTGCATCTCATTTTTATGTATTTTTTGCAAGCTTTGTAAGGACTAAACCCAAACACGGAATAGTTAAGATTGCACTGCATTGTCAAGATTTGTATTTAAAATAGTCCCATATCTTATTTGTAACTTTAACTGTAGTACAATTTCTGCCTATTTTGGTTAGGTAATTGTCCCCGTGTCTACAGACTGTAATTGCTTTTTGTTTCTTAGGGAACACTCTTGAGCTTCGTCATGGGAGCTGTAGTAGCTGATGATGGTCCATCTGGTGTTAAAGCCCCCGATGGAGGCTGGGGCTGGGCTGTCCTTTTTGGCTGTTTTATCATCACAGGATTCTCCTACGCCTTTCCAAAGGCAGTCAGTGTCTTCTTTAAAGAACTTATCCGGGAATTTGGCATTGGATATAGTGACACTGCATGGATTTCCTCCATTCTGTTGGCCATGCTTTATGGAACAGGTAGGTTTCTGTTTTTGAAACAGTATTGCATCATACAATGATGTTTCTAAATCACACAGCCATTTATAGCATGAATCATGACTGCATATCATTACTTGTGTGCAAATAACGCATTCCAAAGAACTATTAGTCACGTAAATCCAAAAGTTACTTAAGCACACGCAGCTTGCATAGAAAATTAAATCTCTGTAACTCAGTAGGTACTAAAGATGATTAAAAATAAAAATTGCATGGCACTCTGAAGATGAAAAAGACTTAAATATTTGACTATAGAGGAAAGATTTTCTGTATTGGCTTGACAGTACGGACAAAGTATGGAAAGAATCACAGAATCATTTAGGTTGGAAGAGACCTTTAAGATCATCAGCTCCAACTGTAAACCTAACACTGCCAAGTCCACCAAAGAAGAAATGCAAACTGACATAAAATCATTTGTAAAAATTAGTTTATCTCAGCAACTGTAACTTGTTTTTCTTGCCTAGGTCCACTCTGTAGCGTGTGTGTCAATCGCTTTGGCTGCCGACCTGTCATGCTGGTGGGTGGCCTTTTTGCCTCAATGGGGATGGTGACAGCCTCCTTCTGCACAAGCATCGTTCAGATCTATCTCACTGCAGGTGTGATTACTGGTAAGTAGCGTGCATTGTTGAAAATGACTTAGCTAATGTCTCAGCTTTAGGTTGAAGTTTTGTACAAGTGACAAATACCTAAATCATCAGGATCATTCAAACAGGCTTTTATAAAGATGGCATACCAATGTGGAAATAAATTGTATTTTTTTTTTTTTTTTTGTGGTATGCTTAATAGCCACTGCTGTAATCAGTGAAGTGTAACCACGGAGTACAAGAATATTATGGAGGTGAAATGCTTTTAAAAATGTTATCTTGGAATTCTTTTGCCGTTTGAAATAAAATTCTTTTAAGTCACGAATCAGAAAAACTGTAATTATGTATTTTTTAAATAGTGCTATTGTAGGCCGGTATTAATTTTTATGTCGCTTGTTACAGGTTTGGGTCTGGCACTAAATTTTCAGCCTTCGCTCATCATGTTAAACCGTTACTTTGACAAACGCCGACCCTTAGCCAATGGACTATCCGCTGCGGGGAGTCCTGTGTTTCTCTGTGCTCTCTCACCGTTGGGGCAGATACTACAACATGAGTATGGTTGGCGAGGAGGATTCCTTATACTGGGTGGGATGCTGCTCAACTGCTGTGTATGTGGAGCATTAATGAGACCTTTGGAGCCACCCAAAAAGTCTGAAGCTACCAAAGAACCAGCTGAGAAGAAAGTGAAGAAAAAACTTCTGGATTTCAGTGTGTTCAAAGATGGTGGTTTTGTTATCTACACACTAGCAGCATCTATCATGGTGCTTGGCCTCTTTGTTCCCCCAGTTTTTGTTGTGAGTTATGCCAAGGATTTAAGATATCATGACACCAAAGCAGCTTTTCTTCTGACTATTCTGGGATTCATTGATATCTTTGCTCGGCCTATTTGTGGAATGGTAGCTGGTCTTAAATGGGTTAGACCACGCTGTGTCTACCTCTTCAGTTTTGCCATGATTTTCAATGGCTTTACAGATCTCATGGGTTCTATGTCTGTTGATTATGGTGGCCTGGTGGTCTTCTGCATTTTCTTTGGCATTTCTTATGGAATGGTAGGTGCTCTTCAGTTTGAAGTTCTCATGGCTATCGTTGGTACTCAGAAGTTTTCCAGCGCTATTGGTTTAGTGCTCCTGGCAGAAGCTATGGCTGTTCTAATCGGTCCACCATCAGCGGGTAAGTATTCCACTCAGTTCAGAATTCAAACTCGCCTGCATCGCATCCGTTTATACAAATTGTACAATGAGGGAGCAGAGAAAAAGACAAAATGAGTCAGTCGAGAAGTGCATATTGTGCTAGTGTCACACACACTTCAGTGACTTTCTGCAGTTACAATCTGAACTAGTCCAAGACAGGATGGGATGAATCTTTTCCTTCTTGAATCTGTTTCAGGATTGGTTGAATTGCCATCTGGAGATGCTGCGCTTTCTCCACTGAAAGCCTACAGTGGACCTCTCAGTAGATGGCTAATGTCGTATGAGATGAGTTTTATATATACAGTGAATAACTTTTGTGATGTTTAGACTTCTTTAGAGTTGGGATTCAGAATGTGAAACCTGTCCAATTTTTCTTTGGAAAGTACTAGGATAGACTCTCTATACCTATGGTAGATTTGGAGGAGGGAAGGAAACGTGAGGAGGAGAAAAAAATCTTACAAGGAGGACTATAAAACTGGACTGTTTTAAGGAAGGTAGACTGCTTCTGTTGCACGTGTCTCTCAACCCAAGAATAAGTGGACATTGCAGAATATTCAAACTCGTAAATTTGAATTCAAAATTGCAAATTAATTACTAATCAAAGAACACAAATTTTACAGACCCTGAACTGAAAAAAAAAAACAAACACCCAAACCCCACCAGTTCAGTGCCATAAAATGTTTACTGTTTATATAAGATACTAAAAAGCATCATGTATCTTTACCGTGACAGAACCCCTCATGGTAAAAACAGTACTATGCACCACTTCCTTTGATCTTCAGGTTTGGAGAGGCACTTCTTTCACCTTCACCAAGTCCTGTGAAAATTTAACTCGACTGAAACATCAGAATTAGTCAGTTACTCCAGACTTGACTATTAAATTAGATTTGCATTTTAAGTAGACAGTACACTGCCCGTGAAGGAAGGGAAATGAGATTAGGAGCGAGAGGAAGCTGATGATGCGGATCCTGGCCATGGATATACCCATTTTGATCTGAAATACATGGCACTTGTCTCATTTCTTGCATGTAAAGGCTAGGCTGTTTTTATTCTAGTTGAATTGCATGACTCTGTGCGTGCAGGGGAATATGTGTTTTAGCACGTGACATATTATCAGTGAATGTTAAACTGAATTGAAATAATTGAGAAATATTTTGTTATAAACTTGTTAAAATGCTATTTCAAAAAACATGCTTAGATAGTCATGGTACTTCTAAATAGGAGTCATTTAAAAGTTTAAAAAAAGGCAGAAAAAATTTCATTGCAGTATTTTTTAAATTACCTGGAGCATTGTCTTTTTCAGGAAAGCTCCTGGATGCAACAGGGAAATACATGTTTGTTTTTATTATTGCTGGAATTGAAGTTACCACCTCAGCACTCGTATTGGCCTTGGGAAATTTCTTCTGCATTAAGAAAAAATCAGAAGAACCACATACAAAAGAAGAAGCAGCAGAAAGAGAGGAATTAAACAAATCTGAAGACAAAACTCCTGAAGATGCCAAGGTGGACTCTATCGAAGTGGAGCAGTTTTTGAAAGATGAGCCTGAAAAAAATGGCGAAGTTGTAACTAACCCAGAAACGTGTGTGTGAGCATGACAGGAAACCCACAAAGCGTTTAGAAAAGAAAGATTTTCAGCACTATTTATTTTAGAAATAGAACTAGTTTAGGGCTGGGCCATCTGCTTTATTAACTGGAGGCCGGTCAGTTTATCAGGTCTATCTGGAAGCTGATTAGCTAGAAAACCTTTTATCAGAAAATTAGCTTTATCAGTAAAAGGTGGAACATTGTGGTTATACTTTTTTATGTAAACTAAAAAGCTTTTATAAACATAAGTAGAGTCTTGCTATGCATCACCAGAAACTTCTCCCTTGGAAGAGATATAGGAAGATATTTTCAGAAAAGCGGAATTATATGCATGTTGTCAGACAATATTGGTGAAATCACTGTGTTGTGCAGCTAAACATAGTTTCCCTTTCTGTGTTCTTTGTGAAGGGGAAAGAGTTGGAGATGCAGAAAAAACTCAGGAACTTAAAGGTCTCCATTATTGAATTTCTTACTTTTTTTTTGATTTTTAGATTAACTGGCTCAGCCCTAATTTAATTTTGATAATATCTGTTACTTTGATTTATGTAAATGTTATTTCTGAGTTTTGTCTAAACCTGTAATCTTTGTAATTATCATCTGGAAATACTGTACGTGCAAAGGCACATCACAGATACTGTCCTCAGCAGATCATAGAACTGGTATTCCGAGGTAGCACTGAAAGAAAAGAAAATGAGCAGAATCGTTTCTGACAAACCATAAGCAAACAAAGTTAGCCTACATTTGCATACACGGTTTTCAGTACAGTTTCCTTGCAGCACTGAAAAATATTTCAAGTAACATGGAGAAGATGGATATTAGGTTTAGTAGAATGTTGTGAAAGAGTGTCCATTTTGTATATAAAAGAAACAGTCCAAGTTTCCAGATGACCTATAAATCAGAGCAGGTAGACTTGAGGAAGGGACTGGACTATTTTGAAACATGCTGTCCGTCTTTAAAATGAAATGCTATCAACACAGGAAGGCCTTAACATGATGGGTTTTTTTGTTTGGTTGGTTGTGGGTTTTTTGTGGTTTTGTTTTATTTTTTTTTTCCTATTTACTCTACTTCCCTATCCTTCTGCATAATCTATGGAAGGTCAAAGGTGCCATTTTTGCTGGTTGAGGAAACACGATAGAACTGTTGATCATATTTATGACAGCAATGCATAAGAACCAATCAAGAATGGAGTCAGTTCTGCTACTCATTACACAAACAGAATGGGGAGTCTGGCCAGTCTTTAAATCTTCTCTGACATCGGTATGGAGGAAGGAGAAGAAACGGAAACAGAACAGACAAGGCAGTGACAGCACGTCTGAAGAAATGCAGAAAGGGAAAAGATTCATTGTGAGGATGCTGAATAGACAAGGAAGGTAAAAGGAAGGCATTTTATATTATCTTTTTTTTCACCCAAACACATTCAAGAAATGTAGTATTTTACACAAAGTCATGCTCCTGCAACCTACCTTTCAAGCATGTTTATAAAAAGCTCTCTAGGCTTTGTGACTGCAGTAACAATTTTCAAAACAGACTAACTGTAACGGTTTCAGTTTTCTTGTTGGCAGCAAAGGACTATCGGCCTTCAGGTACCAAAGCTGGTCCGCTTAATAACTGAAAAACTAAAAGACCCTAATCCATTAAAACCCTGCATCCCTTTTAAAAATAACATCATTAGTTATTTAATACTTGACCATTTTAACAGAAACATACAGTAAATCCAACCAAGTTCCAAAACCACGAGCTGTTCCCTAATGGAACTATTTCAGATTCCAGCTTCCATTCTGGTAGTTTCTTCAAAATGATTTTGCATTGTTAGAAGAACCTTGCACAGAAATTAAAAAGTTAGGATCATGATGAGGTTTTTTGAGTGATTTTAAAAAGGAATAGACGCTGCTCTGAATAGACTGCGTATTTTTATATTGCATCTAGTGCATTACTTTAAAACCTTTTATTAATTCACTGGCAGGAATTGTGCTGGCATGTCCTAGTTATAAGAACGCAGTCACTGAACTTAGCTTCAGTTTGCTAAAGACTAAATCAGTACTTAGAACACAACGCTGCTAGCTCTAGAAAGCCACCATAAGAAAAGGCAAGAGGAAAACGGAATCCAAAGAACAACTTATGGTATCCCTGGAGGCTGCTTCAGATGATACATGAAGGCCTGATACAGCTTTCAGATTGGAGTTCCCTGTTCTGCCTCAAAAAGCAAAAACCAGAAACCTTCCTGAAGGTGAATTCAGATTCTCAAATGGCCATTTCTGTCTTACTGTTGGTTTTAATCACCAGATTTCTTTGCTAGATAACACTATACTGTTATCACAAAACTAAACGGTTATTCCTTTGACCTCAGGTTTTGGCACAATTTTAACTTTCCATACATTCTGCAAATTGCCTCAAAAAATTGGCCTTACCATACCGGCTTTCTGGACTACGTTTCATTTTCCATACACAATACTTTTACGGTTAAGTTGGGAACAGGTATTACATTACTATTGTATGTGATTGGGGCAGCAGAGGAGGTTATGACAAGGGAAACACATTTCGAGACGACACCATAAATAATTTCTAAAGCAATTCTAGTGTTCACAGAGTGCCTTGTTGGCCTATGCAAGTTATTTTCCTTGACTCAAAGACGAACTACTCTGAGTAGGACTGCCAGTGCTCTTGTGCTATTTTCAGCACAGACCTACCAATAGATCGCAGTATTCGTGAAAGCAGGAGATGCTAACTGCATGAGAGAGATCAAATCACAGGACTCTTATTGACTGTGAGAAACAAGGGTTGGAATTTAATGAGCTAAGCCATTTCACACAGGCTATAAAATCTTTTACCGTTTTCATTATTTACAAGAAGCATCAATAGAGATGAGAAACTCCTAATGCAGATCTCAGCAACATCAAAATTGGCAGGCTTGAGAGTACTTCTGAGTTCTGGAGCATGTTAAGCTCCCTGCTTCCATTCTGTCCCTTTCAGGGGTGACATCCAGGTGTGTGCTAGCCTTCCAGTCCGCTTTTCATCCTTGGAAAGAGAGATTGATTATACTCAGGAAGGCAACCTCCACGCGTGCCAGATTCCTAGCCTGGACAACTGCGGGCCAGTATGCGAGGCTGTGCTGAGGCACGTATCTAACTGCTCCTATGGGCATGGCCACAAAGGCCTTAACACTGAGCTTCGGTTTTCTAGGCCTCCCTCCTTCCTATCCCAAGACATTAAAAAAAAAAAAAAAAAAAAAATGAAAAAAGCGAGCAGCGAGTCCTTAGGTTCCCAGTGCTGTCTTAGAAGAACAACAGCTCGGAACTGTTACATACAGGAGCATAGGATTGTACTGGAACCTTTTCTCTTGGCAAGACTAGCCTGGCACCATATTAATTTAACTCTGCTTATTGTAACTTCATAAGGAATTGCTTTTAAACCCCTCCAGGGGGTTTGGTACAGTATTTCTTTAGTCTCAATGCCACTGAGATCCCTGTAAGAGCCATCTGTGAGATGTGCTCTTTCATATATTTTGAGGATGCGTATGGTTGGAGTCTTAAAGCATTGCTAAAGAGACACTAACTGCCCAGGGACACGAGCAGAACAGTTCCATGCAACATCTATCTGGATGAACCTTTGTTCAACCTTCACCTGGTTAAAATTTTGTGATTTGAAAAAAGAAAAGGGAAGAAAAGGTGACAGGGAAGGCAGGTAATTATACAACTGAATTGCCAAGCATCCCAAAGACAACATAATAATTTGCTCCTGCATCACACACTACTGGAACATATATAATTCCTTTAGACACATACTTCATGAATCTAAGAAGTCTGTGAGGGAAACAATCAAAAAGCAAGTCCAAAAATTCCAAGTATAATACTATGAAACAGTTGAAAGATAGTTTTCATAGATCATCTCTCTGAAACTAATGAACGGTGTTTCAGTGTACAGGCTAGCATAATTTTAAAAGATTTTTAGATCTTTGTACATTCTATAAATTGTTTACTATAAAATTTATGGTTAAAATATTGTATGTTTGGTCATGTAACGGATTTTAGGCCTTTAATTTCCTAATGCAAGCAGAGGGTGTGTGTATAAATATGCCTGTAACACACAGAGAATATACAGAGATGTGTATACATATACAGATTGATACATATATGTATCAATCTATATATGTATCAAACATGCAAAATACCCAGTAGAGTCGAATACAGACAGTTTGTCTGTTTACTAGACAATGAGCAATGCAGAGTTAAAATTATTTTCTTCTTCCTCCTATACAAAGATCAGTCTTGCTTTTTTAAAATTCCTGAATAAAATATCTTGTAGCTATTTGGAGCCTAGAAGCTCTGAGCAGAACTAAAAATCTTAAAGTCATGCAGCTATCTGTTTAAAGTCATAATCTCTAGATTTTATTTTTCTCCAGTCCTTAAATACAATACAGCAAGTCTTCAGCAGTACCTGCTGCAAAAGCAGCTAGTTCTCTTAAGGTGTGAGGCTTGAGATGGTATGAAGGGATAGTATGAAGGACTGGACAGATCTTGTGCTTGCTAATACTAAATCTCATCCAAACAAATGTGTGTTAGAAAATGTAAAATCATTCTCTAAACATAAATTAAAACATTCTCCATACCAAGCAAACTTAAAAATGACAATCCGAAATACACTCACGTATGCACCTTTATTAGGTCCCAAAGAAAAGCTTCAGTTTGGTAGGCAATCATAAATAGAGGGCTTTCAGGAGAATGCCAACTCTTACATGTTACAGCAGTAACTACTGACTTGTGTATGTGTGTCTGTAGACAGACACCATCCCTGCTACACTCGTCTTCAGGATTATGGGAGTACACTTCCGTTTTGTGCGAGTGAGATGACTTTTTGTTTCCCGTTGATGCACTTTAATGTAATGTGTACATTTATATTCAGATTTTTTTAAAAAATGCTTTTCTAGTAAACTTGCAAACGTAGTGAATAAATATTTATTTGGTTATCAAAAACTGTAGGTGTGAGAAAATAAGCTTAGAACAAACAACTTTTAACACCCAGATTTGGAAATTTGGCTTCATTTGCACATGCTCAAATAGCTATACAGAAGCAGAACGCTTAGGGAGAAGAAAATAAGAAGTGGCACGGAGCTGAGAGGCAGCCAGACTTCAATGTGGGCAAGGGGACTGCTTTTACCATGATTCATAGTTTGGCCAATTCAAAAATAGAAATAGGCTCCTGCTGTAAATGATCCCAAAGACCATTTTAAAGCATTGACTAATTTAAAATAATAGCTATTAATTTTGTGATTCTCCCTACAGAAATTATTGTTCTCGTCCTCTGAAGAGTGCTCCAGGCTTTGTTTGCAGGTAGGGTTTTATGAACTGCTATGCCTTATATAGTCCTAAATATTCTGAGTACTGACCTGCCAGCAAGCTGTCCGTCGTTAAGTGATGCTCTTTAGAACTTGAAAGCTCCTAAAAAAAACATAGTATAAGAATACCTGTGTGGTGGGTTTTTTGGAATCCTGTGGTACCCCAGCTAAGACTGGCTCCTCAAGGTATAATCCCAAGGCTACACTCAAGTAAATAAAAATTACAGTCTCTTCAATGTAATTACATTTTGCTATCTAGAAGCCATCTAGAAGGCTCACGCTTACTCGTGCCTAATTCTAAGTACCTCTGCTGAGAAATTTTGGAGAAATCTCTCTAAGCTCAGCTTCAAAAATTTCTTTGTATATTTACACTGAAAACACTGTAGGTCTAGTTTATGTAAACCTCCACGGTTGAACAAACATATGACTACCTTCTTAATGATAGTTTAGTTAAATTAAGACTTAAAGTGTAATCAAATGCTCTGCTACCCTGCTGGCCAGATCAAGCCATACGCTGCTACAAGAACAAATGTTACCGAGTGGACTGAAATGATGGAATTTATTAGCATGCAGTCAGCAAACCCTTGTGACGGAAAACCAAAGAGTTTATCTTTGCCTCTGGTACTCTTTGAGTCTGAAAGAAAGGAGTCAGGCCATTCGCTGTGGAGGAAAACAGGCATGACCTGAGTTACAGAGCTGTTGTTCCCTGCTGTTGGACCTGTTGAAGGAAGGTCACCCACCAATATCTGAAGAATAAGCAACTTTGGCAATAGCAGAGGCACTGCGTATGAGAAGCAATAGCTTTGGAATACATTAATTTAGCAGCCTTCTCAATGCTTCTGGAATGGAGCTCATCTTTGTGCAAGTCGGAAAAAGGCATATCTACTGCAAAAGTCAGTGCTCTTAAAAGTATCTTGCTAGTGGCACAGACTGAGAGATCAGCAGAGCTGCATTTATCTGAGAAAGTATGGAAAGTTAAGAGGCAGACAGAGTAAAAAGCTACTTACCTCTAATTATATGCTCTTCGTTCCTTGACTGATCTCAATACCTGCTTCATCATCTCAGCAGCGTTCCAGCTGGCAACGTTTCTCACTATCCCTAGATGAATGCTTCGGAGCAGTAAAAAAATGAGGATAGCTTTTGCTCTTCTGACTCTTCATCTACTACTGTTTCAGCAGTTTAAAGCCTTTAAAACTCTGAATCCAATGAAAAAGCGTATCTAGATTTTAGTATTACAAATTCTTAAGTAGCAAAAGACTTTTCAGTTTTGCTGAAAAATGCGGCGTAAGATCCAGTGGTTGACAATGTCAGACAAACAACATACAATTTCTTAGCAATGAGAGCAGAGAAACATTTACTGCTTGGGGTCTTCTAAGAAAAAAAAATTGTGCATGACCTCAAAATACTGTGAGTAGCTGGTTTATCCTTCCCTTAAGGATTATGGGAAATACAAGAAGCTCTGCACTGCCTTTGTGCCTGTAATGCTTGCAGTTCTGAACCAAGCTGAGGACTATAAACAAAATGTTTTGTCTGATTATGAGATCAGGACTAGACGTATTCTTTCTAGCGCATAATGTACCAAATGAATTCCTTTTTTGTCCCCACCCCAAGTATCCTGGACCCCTCACAGCACAGACACAGTAGACTAGAGCTTCTTGCTTTAGGATAATAAACACAATTTCCCCCTTTTCCACATTCCTATTTGTCCATTACACTTTTATTTCTCAGACCTAGATCTTATCTATGCAGTTTTGAGTCAAGAGTTTTCCCAAAACTAGATTAACAAAGAACACTATCTTAAAAAAAAGATTTTTTTTTTTTGGTAGACTGCGTATTTTTGTACATGTTGTGTATACGTATTTCATCTAACTTTCGGTTGTCCCTCTTCCTGCAGCATGCAATGGTTTCATCAAAAGAACCGAAGCATGCTAGTCTTAATAAGGCTAAGCAGGAAAAAAAAACACCACCGTTTGAGGAAAAAGTCATAAAGTGTTACTCCTGTGCAAATATTTGCTGATAAAGTTAGTAGGATTTTGCTGTGAAACAGATTCTTACTGAAGATCAGGCCTCTGAGGACTCTCCTCGTACAAAACCACTGGACGATGCAAATAGTCCATACAATTCAGGTTCATACAATCACTTAAATCCAGACATAGACACGTCATGCCAGTAACTGTCACCTGAATGACCCAGGGGGAAGTGTACTCTCTTTAATAATGAAGTAATGCATTCTTTAACAGCGAACCCTTTCTATTATTAACTTGTCTTGTCCAGTGAATTTTAGAAGCTGCTTTTAAATTTATGGTGAATTACTCTTCGTCACAACTGGATTAAATCTAGATTTCTGACCAGATGGCTCAGCACTATTAAAAACGCAGCAGCATTGTCTGTTTTCCCCTAGTATTCTATACACATGAAGTGCTGCTTTTGTAAAGCAAAAGGTAAAGAACAAAATAAATGCCTTTTTATTTCATTCTTTTACAAAGAGAAAATAAATATTCTTGAAATGAACATCTACGCTCTAGCCGATGATCTGCATACAAATCTGTAAATTCCTTATACAGATTCTCATTGGGAAATCCAGTTTCTGAAAGTGTTGCCTTTGACAGATTTTATGGAGGAGCTGCCACTAAGAGGTCTGGAACGTATGGAAATGAAGACAACACAGTTGTGATTATGGTATTTTTTCCTACTGGAAAACGAAGGATGAGATGTCTCCAAGTTCTACATGCCTTCCTCCAAGGGAGATGTTGAGTACTTTCATGAAGTTAACATGGAATACAGGGACTCCTTAGTTGCTTACTTACTATCTCTCTTAAAGCATAGGATTTATTCTCGATTGCTTTCAACGTACTCGTACCACAAAGAATTCAGGGTCCCAGCAACCACCATGATTATGTAAAAAAAGCAGCACAAGTGGTATTTTCCACATAAAAACACAGTTCTAAATGAAAACTCTCAGGATAAATTACATATCCTTCAAACTTTTAAAGGCCTGCTAATAAGAAACACAGAAGATTCCTGAAAGTTCATTTTCCCTTATGAATAGACTTCTTGAGAATTACATACAAAAATCCAGGACTTTTATGTATGATACAGGGCACTGTGGCTAGAGCTCAATGTTTTTCTTGCTTTTATCCTAGCTCCCATAATTGATCAAGTCTCAATAGCAATTCTCTTCCCATACTTCCTACCAATACAATGTATTACTTGATAAAGCATTTGTAAAAAAATACTTCTGGAAAAGAAGCAATATCCAAATGAAAATGTTCACCTTTAAAGAGAAAAAAGACATGCTTTCTGTGAGCAAAGCAACAAATGCCTTCTCTTTCTTCCCGTGTACCCTAACTGCTGCATTCTGACCATGACTACCAAAATGCTTCAGTGAAAGTTTTAGTACTGCAACAATGTCTTCAAATGTTTGCAACCGACAGTGCTTTGTAGGGACAGAAACCCCTCTTTAAAAAAAAAAAGAGAGGAAAGAAAGAAAGGGAGGAAAGAAAGAAAGGGAGGAAAGAAAGAAAGGGAGGAAAGAAAGAAAGGGAGGAAAGAAAGAAAGGGAGGAAAGAAAGAAAGGGAGGAAAGAAAGAAAGGGAGGAAAGAAAGAAAGGGAGGAAAGAAAGAAAGGGAGGAAAGAAAGAAAGGGAGGAAAGAAAGAAAGGGAGGAAAGAAAGAAAGGGAGGAAAGAAAGAAAGGGAGGAAAGAAAGAAAGGGAGGAAAGAAAGAAAGGGAGGAAAGAAAGAAAGGGAGGAAAGAAAGAAAGGGAGGAAAGAAAGAAAGGGAGGAAAGAAAGAAAGGGAGGAAAGAAAGAAAGGGAGGAAAGAAAGAAAGGGAGGAAAGAAAGAAAGGGAGGAAAGAAAGAAAGGGAGGAAAGAAAGAAAGGGAGGAAAGAAAGAAAGGGAGGAAAGAAAGAAAGGGAGGAAAGAAAGAAAGGGAGGAAAGAAAGAAAGGGAGGAAAGAAAGAAAGGGAGGAAAGAAAGAAAGGGAGGAAAGAAAGAAAGGGAGGAAAGAAAGAAAGGGAGGAAAGAAAGAAAGGGAGGAAAGAAAGAAAGAAAGAGAGGAAAGAAAGAAAGAAAGAGAGGAAAGAAAGAAAGAAAGAGGAAGGAAAGAAAGGGAGGAAGGAAAGAAAGGGAGGAAGGAAAGAAAGGGAGGAAGGAAAGAAAGGGAGGAAGGAAAGAAAGGGAGGAAGGAAAGAAAGGGAGGAAAGAGAAGAAAGTTACACCAAGTAAAGATTCATTGTAAGTAAGTTACACCAAAGAAGAACAGAAGTTATTATGAATGTATTTACACAACTGTTAAAGTACACAAATACAGTGGTAGTACAAATGAAGTGCTCTGAGATACTGGTTTCCAATACACAGGTTTATATAGACAGTCTAACTATTTTCCACACAATGGAATTCAACTATTATGAAGGACAATAACTGCCCACAAGTGAGTACAATTCTAGAAGTCTGCAGTCAACTTTTAAGTATAGTACAGCAATCTAACGTTTGAGATACAGAGAGAATAAGAGGCTGCTTCAGTAAGTCCCTCTAACAGTACATTATTAATCACAAGTATTTACAAGGAAAGCACAGTGAAGTGCAGAACTGTTCAAACGGTAGCGCACATGCCTAAAATACTGAAGTTTATAGTAACTGAGGAAATAATTCTCTTATGCAAACTTATCCATGGATCAAACTCTTAAGCTTTTCCACTATATTCTCCCCAAACACAGGTTTCCCCAGTCAGAGCCAGAGTACACACAAGCAAGTAGCTAATGTTCTGAAAACATCCAAAGAAGAGTGACTAGTACTTAATAGGTGGACTTTTGAGAGGGGCAAAAAAGAATGCATAAACACCGAAACAATAAAAATTATTCTTCATAAAAATCTGAAGGCCAATAAGTCTTTACTGTTCAAACAAAATCTCTGTATATACCTTCATTTCCAACGTGGAACTTACCATTGCTTCAGTCATACTAATATAAACTGTACTTCTGATACTGTTCCAAATACCGTGAGGACAGAATACCTACTTTTATGAAACCATTTACAGTAACAAACAATATGAAGAATCTCCCATATTCTATCACCAAGAGGTGTTAGTATCACCTGCAACAGTTTTTTTTGGTCAACCTAAGCATGTTGAGTCATTCATTCTAGCTAACAATTCTGGGCACACTCAGGTTGAATACGGTTAAGAATTAAATATAGTATGCACCTGAATTGTAAAAATTCTCACAGCAATAATAGGTTGTTTTGATCGTTTTTTGTTTTGTTAAAAAAAAAAGTTCCTTTTTTGAGTTTGGCATGAAATGGAAAGCCTGAATCAATTTATTTATTTATTTATTTTTAAACATGTAGATGCTGGATGAAACTTGTAAATTCACTGAAGATTCAAAAGCAACGTGTTATTTTCCACTTGTAACGCCCTCCAAGCTAACCAGCCTCAGAGTGCAGAAACAAAATTTTACCAATAAAACCAATGTTTTAAACTATCCATTTACCCAAACTAAGCAGAGAGAACAATTTTTCAAATTCTAAATCCCTCAAATTCCAGACTTTCACTTTGTCTTTCATATTATTTACAAAAAAATACCATTATCACCATCTCTACTATACTTGGGCTCTCCTGCAGGGTATTTAGTTCTCCTCTTTTATAAAAAACAAGTATTAAAAATTCCTTTGTTACACGGAAAGTTAAATGTTAAGTGTGAATGAAGACAGCAAACAGCAAAGTAAAATTCTAGCAGTTTTAAAAATGTCACGAGAAAATGTCTCACTCGGAATGGGACCATACAAATAAGTCAACATTTTAAATAACGTCAGATGGTTTTGATTCATTTAAGTGTTCCCTGCCAGACTAATTTTTTTAAACAAGAAATTTCAAGTCATTGTCTGTAGTTTAGGTTTGTTTATATTCTACATTTTTAAATCAGACAAAAGCAAGAGTTCTTTACAGAGAATTAAGCCAATAATTTTAGCAAAATGATACAAAAAACTTTCTTAAACCAAGTAAAAGATTTATAGTTACAGTAGAATAATAAAAAGGGGGTAAAGTCTGCCGCCTGTGGAGGGAAAACTGAAATGGCCATCCGATAACAGGCGGTCAACTCTGTAAACCATCTTTCTTTCCCAGCCCTGTTACCACAGGGTTCTCTTAAGGTCATTGGGTTTCTGGCAAAAGCGTCCTGTAATGGCAGCTGCTGGAGTCTGTCCATGTTCCTCCAAGTGCCTTTTAAGTTACATGGAGAACTCCAATTGTAATGGTTCCGCTCTAGTTTAGGGTATTTTTGCTAGTAAAGCCATTGGTAACATAGGAGATCAGCCATGCATTATCTGCCCTCCATGGCAAAATAATTTTCATCGGTGCACAGCAGACTGGAGAACACTGGTAGTTACCCGAGCAGGAATCTACCAAAGCCAAAAAACAAAACAACATCAGCACATATCCTTTCAGTTAACATACAAGTGGCTCTCAATGTACTTCTAAATCATTCATTGCCAAAAGTAAGCGTGTGAATTCAAAATCCAATGAGCTGTATGATGTTTTGCACCCACCTGTAGCTACACGAAGTTCCCTGTATTTTCCTCCTTTATTAGAAGTTAACATGGAAAATTCACCTTTCCAGCCAGAGAGGATGTTTTGAAGAAAAGTAAACAGAGCATAAACATGCACAGAAGAAAGAACAAACCAGATGAAAATACTACCAATGCGTGGAAGTAGACTCAATGAATAATTAAGTTGTGGGGGTGGTGAGGGGTGCAGGCGGGGAGAAATCCCATTAAGAGCGTTAAAAAAATTTTCAATGGCTTTTCATTTTTCATGGGATATTGTGTTAAAAGACACTTTGTCAATTTCCATAGCTTGACTTATTTCAGCAACGGTGTAACATTATTTCAGCAACACTTTCACTGTGGAAATGAAAAACAACCACACATCCCTGCAATTTAAGAAGCAAGAAATGTCTAAGTAGCTGAATCAGTATTCTGTATTAATTTCAGTTGTAAACAGCTACTAAAATTAAGCCATACACTAAAGGCCAACCAATGCAGACACAACCCTGAGCAGACCAGCATCTGCACGTGTCACACACACAAGCTTTCCAACGCAAAGCTTTAGGGTTGCCTTTTTTCATTTTTGACTAAGGTCTGATAATTGGACGTTAAAGTATTAAGCTGCCATTTACAGTGAGATCTTTTTAATGTTACGAACTGTTTACGAAGCAGCTTGTGCACAGTCAGCCAAGCACACAAAGCAGGAGGAGAAAATGGAAGAGGAATAGCAGAATTCTTCACCAAATAGAGATACATGATTAGTGCAAGCTTAGGCTTTATAGAGAAAGTGAGGCAGCAGGCGAAGTTATATAACAGAATTTATTAATGAACAGAAAAATCTCACAGCCTTTTTTAACAAGATGCAAAGCAAAGAAGCTCCTGAAATACTTAAGAAAGCATCCTTCAGCCATTAAGGTTCAGATTCTGACTGAAACTTGTTATTTCCCTGATGAAACCTGTTATTGCCAAAAGCAGAACAGACTAGAAAGCCAAAAGCTGCACACAGGAAGGCAGAAACTTCTACTGCACTGAACAGCGGAAAGAAGTTCTAAATACCCAAATCCAAGTCTGTCTACCTCCGAGATGCCCAAGTTCCAAGCTATTCTCATTAGTATGTGAACATTTTTAAAATATAGATCTGAGTAGATCTGAGTATTTTTAAAATGACAATTCATAAGGAATGGAGAAGAATATAAAACAGCGAAAAATGGATATGGCTATAGTAGAACATTCCATTCACAACAAGACAGAGCCTCATTTGAGTTATATAGTCAATTAAGTCTTCACACAAGCATTTTGATTTTACAATTCTGAAGCAGATCTGGTATTGAATGGTTGACACACTGATGCATGAACATCCCTGGAAAGACATGTAATTCTCAAACAGCTAAAATTTAGACTTGGTTATTTTACTTTATTGTTGATGCTTGAACAATTTTAAGGACTTTTAAAATCACTATTTTCATCAGTTCTGCTTAAGAGTCCACGTGGAACAGCAGAATTCAACTTTTGGAAGGACATTTACTTTTAAGCTAGAGAAAAAACAACGCTCCGTCAAGCATCTGACCAGAAGGCACAGGTACAACTATGAGATAACGCGAGGAGAAGAAGCAAAGTTGGATGTTTCCAAAGATTTTTTTTTTCCCCACCCCATCCAAAATTTTGGTGTCTAATGAGAAGCACTCACCCAGTGCTGCCTTCCAACGAAAGGAGACGAGCAGCTACTTGCCATGGTGTTCGAAAGGAATGCTATTCTGAGGTAGGGGAAAAGACAGCAATTTGTAACAGTTTCACTGCCCCAATATATAAAGATGTCTAACAAATATCCAACCTAAGCTTCCAGTAGCAAACGTATCTTTTGAGGAGCTCTGAATTCAGACTTCTTAAGACATTTCTATCATATTAAGAGATACATAAAAGGAACAAAGCCTTACTCCTCAGAGAAAGATGACAGGGTCAGAAGAGCAACACAGAGCATGATGCCTGTTAAGCTGGGTATACGGAGAAAGACTTGCTCATGAGGAGATGGAAAATGCAGAGGCATTGGAAGTACGTTGCTTTTTCCCCAGGGAAGTGGCACAACACTTAAGTTGTTCAATGCCAGCGTTGGCTACAGCCTTCTGAAAACTCTTGTCAAAGAGACTTAATCAGATATTTCTTTGTGCAGCATTCCAATCTTTTCTTTCGACTACAGAGAGAATACCTCTATTACCAGTAGGAACAATACACAGATTTGACTGTTGGCTGCTGAACATGCTACATTCAGGAAGAAAAATTAAACAACTTACTGTATAACACAGGCAGTCGGGTTGAACCTTCTGTGAAAGGAAATGAAGGCTACTCACCCGTAACTAGATTCTTTGAGATGACCACTGCTTTCCGGATGCAGTCTGTGCAATGTGGACCAACAGAACTGATTCAAAGTAGCATTTACTGGAATACTCATGACCTCCTTTTACTATGTTTCTTAACATTTAAAGACTGACCAGGTAAAGGAGACTTAGTAAACAAATCACTCATGGAGTTTAAGAGCAGAACATGGAGTTTAAGAGCAGAAGGATTTTTTAACAGCTGGTATGATTTTCTGTCCAGCACATGTCACAACTCTTCATTGCACAGAGACCTGTAATTTAGGCTTGCTTTAGACCCAAATATACCACCTAGAAACGAACCCAGTTTTGATGCAAAAGCGAAGGGGACAGATGATCTGCTTCTTTTTGAGGTTTCAGTGGCTAACTGCCTTTACTCAAGACCTCTGTTTCACTTTTCTCTAAATGCGTGTGGTTTAAATTTTAAGCAATAGGTTCTTCACATGCTTTCTGCATAAATGTCAGTTCCTGTTAAAGTCATTGTTTCTAAAGTACTACACCAACTAACTCAAGATGATCTCTCACCTTTCAGAGAAACTGGAAGACGCCAATTTGAAACTCTTGTACCGTACAATCCGTTTTCCCAAGCTCAATTTTTATGTCTCTTACCTGTGTTACTTACAGTTTTTCAACAATTTAGGATACTAACTGAACTAAGCATAATATCCCAGCATCCGTCTCATTAATGACATGAAATAACCTCTCAATTTCTGTTCGCTACTGTAGCATACATAGATTCAAGGATGAAATTATGCCCTTTCATTATGCCATCACATTGACCACCCCAATATTACGCTTAAAGCTTTCTCAGTCATTGCTTACCACAGGTATAGTTCCCACACATAAGACAATGGGCTCCACTCCTTCAACCTAACCAGGTTTTGGAGTGCTGCAGTAATACACATCTTATTTGAACAGGCTTTACCTGACTGCTCAACTCTCACTAATGTTTATCGCTGTCAAACATCTCAGAACTTCCAGGTTTTTAGTTGCTGCATTCACTTCCATATAATCGAGAAAAGTACGGAATAATGCGTGCCATAGTGTTTATGTAATTTCATTAGAAACACATTTCATGAACAGTTTTGTAGACATGCTAGTTGTTACTCCAATAAACACTTGTTACAAAGCATTAGTCCTTCTAATGAGAATGATTTAGGTACTATGTGGACAATACCTTAGAGGCAGGGAATATACATGACACCTATTTTGCTATCCTTACCAATTACCATTTTTCCACGAGTGTTAAATTTCTCTGAGAAGACCTATTTTCCATATGAGAATTTTGGTTTGTATTATCTACATTCCCAGCCTTAGTTTTCAGTTTCAGACTGAACTGATCAGAACTCATTTTGGAAAAAAAGAAAGATAAAAATGTGGAGTCACCTTTAAGAACTCTACTTAGAGGTAAGTAGCTTTCATTATTTTTTTGAGTAACTTTTGCACATTTCCACTGCCCGGAGTTTAACAAGCAGTAGCCCACCCTCTGTATGATGAGGTGGGGATTACAGATGCAGTGTTGCCTTACCAAACCAGGGCATCCAAACAAAATAAAATAACAAAACTGATTTGTCAAGTTACAAATAACAATTCAAACAAATGTAGTTCTTTTAACGTAAGACATCTGTAGATCTGCATAGCATACTTTAAAAGCCGCTTTCTACCAGGAGTATGGCCTAAACACTTTCTGAAAAAGGAACAGTGGTAACATTACTTAAGACTTACAAAGGAAACTAACACACTTGGAACGGACATAAACAAACCATTACTTTTCTTTACTGTTCTCCAGATAAGAAGTGTTATGGATGATCTTCTATATTCTTACGCCTAGCCAAGCAAAATGCTCCTTAATAACTTTGCCATGCAAGCTGGATACCTTAGGTTTTTCTGACTAAGAACAAGGTATAAAGATAATGGGAAACCCGTGGCTTCAGTTGGTAATCTAGTTAACATCTGTGGATAAATTTTGATTACAGAAGAACTCCTTTAACGTTATGAAGATAGTAAGAGCATAAACTATGAAAACTTGCAACTTCAGCCACCTGGCCTGCTAAGCAGTAAGCGAGAACTGGGAAAACAAAAAGCAAATTTTCTCTCTTGAGCTCAAGGGGAAGTGTTACAAGGTAAAAGTCTAAGCAAATCTCTTTTGCCTTCCAAATCTGAGAGACCCGTGGAAAACTGTTTATATTATACTACAGTCACACACTTATACAGCCACCGTGAGCGGAGACAAGCAGTGATTCACTGCCTTGATAAGAACTAAATGAAGACAACAGATGATGAACAATTGGTTCTAACAAGCCCAGAGAAGATCCCGACTAGGCCACTATTGGGAATATAAAGTAGTCAACTCAGTGATGCCACACTTGGAGCAGAGCATGCAAGAGGGCGGGTATGGAAATGTGCCATTAAGTCAGACTGTACTTTTGACCCACAGCACAAATTACGCATCTGGTTATTTAAAGACTACTCAAAAAACCTCACAGTCCTACACAATCTCAAGGTACTCCCATTTTACAGTGGGAATCAAAATGTATCTGCAGACCCACATGGATTACTCGTACCTTACAATGTTTAGAAAAGTGTCACGTGTGCACTGAGCTACGTGTAAGTAATATAGCCAAAAAATGAAAGGTATACTCTCTTCTAGTATATTCAAGTTACATAACTGCACCTACTTCTATTACTCCCATTAAGCATTTATCTGACTGGTAACAGACACAAAGCATCTGAGATTTGATCAGAATGCCAGAGACAAACCCTGGCCATACACACTGTACCAAGAAACCATCTTTACCTTTTAATAAACGTTCAGGAGGTACTCGGCGTCACAGCCTCACAGAACAGCCAAGGTCAGAAGGGACCACTGGAGATCATCTAGTCCAATCTCACTACCCAAAGCGCAGTCAACTAGAGCAGGCTGCTCAGGACAGCGTCCAATTGGGTTTCGAGTAATTTGGAAGAGGGAGACTCCACGATCCCTTAGGGCGACCTGTTCCAGTCCTTGCCCGCCCTGACAGTAAAAAAGTTTCTTCTTATGTCTAAATGGAATTTCTTATATTTCAATTTGTGACCACTGTCTGTTGTCCAACCACTGGGTATCACCGAGAAGAATCTGGCTGCACCTTCTTTACATTCTTCTATCAGGTGTTTATGAATATTTGCAAGAACTATGCACAGTTCTACCCTCTTTGTTCTCATACTGCTTACAAACTTCAGCCGTGAAATATTTCAACATGATAATTTCTGGTGGTAATAATTGTAGTTCAGTAAACAATTTAGGCTGGCAAAAATTGCCACCAACAGAGAAAACCTCACCTGTCTCCTATTCTTGTCTAGTCCTTTCTGCTCCTGAACTGTTCATCCCTTGTGCAAGCACAAACATTTGTGCGGCTACATAGTGAAACAATTAATTCAGCTGAAAACCAACCCGAAAAATCCCACTTCACTTTTGTTACAGCAGAATTGTTTCTCCGATCCAGTTCACCCTCAGTCTTCATTAGAGACATCCACCTGGCCTCCATCTAAAAGAGCATTCCCTCTAGCAGTAAGATTTTGTGTCTAAAAACTCATACTATCGAAAATAATGAATTCTGCCAATTAAATGATGAAGCCAAAAAGAAACTGAGTTACTTTTTATTAATAAGTTCCATCAACGAGGAATAAAATGAGTCCACAGCAAAAATTATGCAGTTAGAACTCCAACACAGCACTGAGGAGTGATGGAAAAAGCCCTAGGCGTCTGCACCAGTCCTCCTAACAGACTGCTCTCCCTGTAATGTTGCAGTACTCCTACAGCACAGGTGATTCCCCATTCTGTAAGACTGAAGGTAAGCTGTACAAAGCCAGGCCACACGTTACTTAGTCTGTGTAGATACCCTGAAAAAGGAACGTTTCAGCTACAGCATAAAGACTTAAAAATATATTTACACATTGTCAGTCTTAAAAAGAAGCATTTCTAAAATTTCTTTGCTAAGTCACCATGACCAATGAAGACAACTTCAGTGCTGACTCTGGCTCTGAATCACTCCATCATTCAACCTCCTGCCATCCTCTTCAAATGGGCCTTCCACAACCTATCCATCATTCCACATATATGTGGCTTCGTATTTGCTCTGAATTACAGTACTGCACTACAACATTTCTTCACTTTTGCACTTTTCTATTCTTCACTGACTATTTCTTGTCTATGCTGCACCAGCATTTGGAAACAGAAGTCACAACTGCCCTCAACCTACTCTGCTTCTGCACTGATAACAGATGTAAGAAATTTAGTGAGCAAAGGAGCTAAACACCGTAATTGTAGGTAAAAACATTGTATCTGTAGGATTTTGCATCATCTCATACACCAATGACTCTGTGTTACTTTGAATATTTTACGCTTACTGCTGCCAAGGTACAAGAAAAAATATGTTTTTTTCTTTACAGTAGTCAGTCTACAGCCACATCACACATTCAGTTAAAATGTCAAGTATCTATATGAGTTAACATCATCTGTAAAATCATCAATGAGTATATTCTTTTGGCAAATTAACTTTATGAAATCACTCTTATTTTTCCATTACACAGAAATTTTTTTACCTGCGAAGTTGACATGCGAGAGGTATCTTGTCGGCCTGTTAAGTCAGATGATGAGATATTGACTGGGGCACCGCGATGCAATCTCATACTCACTTTCCTTTCTCGTTCCACACCAGATACTGGCCGAGGAGAGGTGTTGGCTGTGAGAAAAAACAGATTAGATTCTCATAATGAGAAACGGGTTTAACATGGTCACTGGAAAAATTAAACTCTCACTGTTTGCATATAAAACTTCCATAGAGTCAAACAAGAGAAATCAAGGCCTTTGTTTCACATTTATAGAAATCTAAGTAGCAGTTGCCAGGTAAAAAGCGTATACAGTTACCTTCTATCTACTGAAAAGCAAGAGGGGTGGGAAAAAACCAAACCAAACCAAAACCCCCAAACCCTGCCCAGAGACAAATACCACTCAAGTACCCTAATCTTCCCTTCAGATTTCCAATGACCAGGAACAAACTCCAAATTAGAGAAGTCTACAAGATGCATCTATCCAGGTGTTTGCTTACTTACCAGCATGTGAAGTTGGGGTAAGAGGAGTAGGAGCTACATCTTGTGTCCCTCTCAGCCTGCCAGAAGCAGTGGAGGGTAATCCACGCACAGCTGGATTTCGTGTATGTCTCAGTCTTTCCTCTCGTTCTCGCCTTTCACGCTCAGCATCTTCAGCTGCTCTGCTTGCACCCTACGGGTCAAGACTAGTGAACAACTGTGGGTATTATTGAGTTTACATCTATAGATTCAAATAAAAATACTGAAGATAAGAACTGGACAACGCATGAACTGAAGTTTGATAGGGCATTAAGCATTTTGGTAAAATTTCCTGAGAAATGCCATAAATTTTGTTCATACAACCACCGGGATAGTCTTCAAAACGCTAACGTACACACACACTATTACGGCAGCCGGACGCCTCAACAATTGAAAATGACCTGTGCTGAAGAACAAGGTAGGAGAAAATAATGATTCCACAACCTAGCCTGGTGACTGCCCTGAAGGAATTATCTCAGAAGCCTTACACATTTAAAACCCTGTAACTTCAACTTAGTTGCCGTTCAACCCCCATCTCATTGCTCATATATCTTCTGCCTTTCCTCACTTCTCTTTTTTTTCTAGACAAAAGAACTTCCAGGAGGAAGAAGGCAAGACGATCTTACAGTATCAGTTAAGATACTCAAAACTGACAATGTAGTAAAAAAAATACCATTAAAAAAAAAAGAATTTTAGAAAGCTACGTCAGGTACTCACAAACTTCAGCATGTTCCAGTCAAACACATAGTCGTAAGAGAAGCCTTGACGGTGGAAGAGGTTTCTGAATAACTGCCTTAGATAGGAATAGTCTGGTTTGTCATCAAAACGCAAAGAACGGCAGAAATTCAAGTATGTGGCAAATTCAGCTGTAATAAAAGAAAGCCTGTTTTTTTTTCCTTCAGCTTCACATTTGCTTTTAATAATTCTGAATCACATAAAAAAAAAAAAAAACAAAACAAACCAAAACAAAACCAACCACCCCAAAACCCAACAAACAGGGAATCTTCTAAACATAAGAAAAATAATTATGACCTAATACTGGAAATCTACGGAAGGCAACACTACAGTCCATCTATCAAGTCAACTCTGAAAAGGAAATTATTTGTCTATCACAGGGTAGGCAAAGATCTCGTTTGTCAACAGTGGGGGGGTCAGGGTGAGGACAGGTTTAAAACTACAGTTGAGCAAAGAAAATAGATTTTTTTTTTTTTTTTTGCCTTTCTTTGCTTTGAATATACTTAAATGCAATTTCTTGCAGGACATGGAATAGCATCTCTGATAAGTTGCATAATGGTTCACGTCTGCTACCACACAAAAACTACAGGACCCATATAAATTTCCTATGTAAATCATGCTACAATTTTAGATTTGCAATAATCTAAACACCTGTTTTTATATGGCACACAAAATATTAGTTACACAGCAAAAAAAAAGAATACTGCTGTGAATCCACAGTATCAAAATACCAGCTTTTGAGTTCAAAAAAACCTGTGAAGAGTTGTGTCCATTTTGAGGTGGGGGGTGTTAGCCTGTCTTTGTAGCTTTGGTTAGTCTGACTTTACAGACAAAAGGCCATATAGCACTGAAGTAGCTCCTTAATCTCAGAAAGGGAGAGAAAGGGGACGGAGAAGGAAGGGAACGATGAGAAGTAAAAAGGGGCTAGTAAAACTCAGTGTAAAGAAAAAAGACATACCACCAAACCATGTACATGTAGGCCTAGTGCCACAAGAGTAACTTACAAGGATATCCTTTACACAAAACCTCAATGGGTGTAGACATTTTCTTTTCACTGATACGTTCATATTTCTGCCTCTTTGTTGCTGCTTTCAGTCCCTGCCAGGGGAGGGAGCCCAGGTTAAAATACATCAGTACATAGCCCAAGGACTCCAAGTCATCTCTGCGAGATTGCTCTACAACAGCATAAAAAAGTGGACTCATTAGGTTTCATTTTGTACTGGAAAAACAAAAGACTGTACAACAAGACCGTCACGAAAACTCTTAGAGAAACAAGAGATAACTGAGAGTTACTGTGCCCACGATAAACTCATCCAGTACAAGAAAAAGCCTATCACCCTTGCAGTTATTAAAAAAAAAATGCTCTAAGTCATCAGAATTACAAACTGACCAAATCCCACCCAATCAAGAGGTATTAGGCCAAGCATGCTGCACTCTTAGGGACCATCTTCTATGCCTCCATAAAGCAACATCTGCTTGCACTAAGATTATGTGAATCGACAGTTTTAAAATTTCTATTTATTGCTGTCCCCAGCTCACCAATTCCAAGATGAGTGTTGATGGATGCGTAACGAGCAGTTCCTGTTAAGTTTTTATTCTCACGATATGGAATATGTTGGTGAGTTCGAGCATCTCGATACTTCTTTGCTAATCCAAAGTCTATTATGTAGACAAGATTGCCTTTCTTCCCCAGGCCCATTAAGAAGTTATCTGGCTTCACGTCTCGGTGGATGAAGTTCTTAGAGTGAATATATTCAATCCGACTAATCTAAATAGAGGGGGAAAAAAAAAAAAAAAATCATCGTCGAGAGACTGGGCATACACTTTTTTTTCTTATAAAAACACTAGCAACATTGTCTTAATGATAAAAGAGGTAAAGAAACTTTTTACTGTAAAATGTAAGGGCATTAAAGAGAGTAAAATTTAGATGACAATAGATAAACCTTCTCTCCAGCTGTTTCTCTGTGTCCATTTTACATTTCTTTCCAGAAACTTCATTGGGAGAACTTCTTTGCCTTTGAGCAGTGCAACACCTGGTTTGCAAATAGCACAGGTCCAGTTTTTAAAAATCAAATTAATACTCTGTAACCACTTTTGATGGGACACTTTATATTTACAGAAACAAACCTAATTTTGAGTATTTTCTCTAATGATACAGCCTATTCATCTCTAAATTACAGAAATAAAACATAGATGGTTATGATCTCTCACCAAATTTTAATATCCCAACAGGCCGCACTATCAAGATCAACAAAGCAGTTTCCTACCATTTGGTCAGCAAGTAATAAGACTGTCTTGAGACTAAATTTCCTTGAACAAAAATTGAAGAGATCTTCAAGACTCGGTCCCAACAGCTCCATCACCATTACATTGTAGTCCCCTTCAGCTCCACACCACTTAATTGTGGGAATACCCACTAGAAAAAAAGGAAACAGTTTATTCAGTGTAACAATACACTTCATACACACAAATCTTCAAGGCTCTTAAGAGGACTTCTAAGAGGGTCATTACTGTGAATGTTTGAATTTACAGTGAAGCTTAATATTTATGCTACCTTCAGCCATTCTGAAATGACAGGTTTGATAATTTCACAGCAGAACCAATATAAAATTATAGCAACAGAGCAATATAAAACCAATATAAAATTATAGCAACAGAGGTGTAACAATAGACTTTTTCCTCTTCCCCAGAAACATCTTTGCACTTAGCTTTTAAGTTGAAAGTGTTCAGCATGTTTGCTGGATTTGAACCTTCAGTATTTTACAAGTATTAATACTCATGTAGTCTCTAAAACAGTAGTAAGGAGCAAAATGGAAGTCTGAAAATAAAGACACTGACAAATCACTAATATTATTAACGAAGAGTATCACGCCATAGCTAAAACGTTGCTTCACTCCTGTTCACTACTACTACTGTCATTTTGTCTTAGAATTCCCACAGCAAGGAAATGTTTTTAACTCAGAAAAAAGAATACAAACACATATAACAAAAATTAACCTGAATTTACTAAGTTTAAAATTGCGCTACTGTAACAAGCAAGTCAGGTTAAACATTGCAGAACATTCCTTGCCATCTTTCACTGGCCCATGAGAAACAGAAGCCAGTCAGTGTACTCCCAGATAGGATCAAACCCTGTTCCACACTGCTCGAAGTTTTCAAGTTTTAATATCCTGGGACTGTGAGCAACACCGAAGGATCTTAGTGGTTATCATGAAGTTTGGTAGCCACGGATTTGGAACTGTGACTCTACCTCACTCACAGAAGTGCTGAGGTACTGCTCTTCACCTGCCCTGTCACCCTTCCCACCTTCTCCTAATATGTCCAAAGAGATCTTAACCATTAAATACTTCCAGGTGGCAGACACAAAGACAAAAAAACAGTTAAATCTCTGAAGAAGAAAAATCATTTGCTTGCCTCCACCCTGCATCATTTTGTAGATTTTACTCTCGATGTGGAGCTGAGGATGTTTGGTTTTCACACATTCCAACTTAATCGCAACCTCCTCTCCAGCAGCAATATCAGTTCCTAAAACCAGAAAAATTCAAAGCATTGGTAACAATATTTTTTAAGATGCATTTTCTTTGTCAAGACTGAAACAAAACAAATATTGACAAACTGCTTCTCAATGGCAAACATCCAGACATTAAGTTTTTTCAGCCACAATTATCTGAAACTTCTTCTGAGGCCTTATAGATTCCTTCCAACAGACTAGGAGTTTAAGAGACAACTATTAGACACTGTAGCACAGGAAGCCAAAACTGCCGCTATCCCATTCAAAAAAAAAAAAAAAAAATTCCCAAAACAATGAACTGATCTTATGAGAGGTGTCTTTCCACTTCTAGTTTGCGGTGGAAGCACTCAGAATGAATGTTTACAGGTGTGGCATGTATCCCTACCAACCTAAGAAATGCTAGGAATTCAGATCCCCTTCTCTTATGCCCTGGAAACAGAGACTACAGCCTCTCTAAATCTCAACATACCACAGATGTATTCTCACACCTTATGATTTTATCAGGTTGGAAGGCAGATTATCTAGAATCAATAAATTGTTCTCTCAAAAACTTAAAAAAAAAAAATCTCATTAACTTCTTGTCTCAGGAATCAAGTGACCAAAACATTGGCCCACCTGTTCAAAGTTTAAACATACATAGGGAAACCGTGACATTATTAAAAAGAAACACAGAGTCAAGAAAATACATACTCTCATAGCCAAGCAACTTAGGAACTTCAGGGAAACAGGAACCGGCAAAAGGAGATGCATGACACTTTCTAGACATATAGCTGAGTCTCTCTACTTTCAGAATCTGGCTTTCTCTGTTCTGCATTACCTCACAGTTTAGGATCACGTGAAGTACGTCACCTGGTGTTTGTTCCGATCCCCACTCTTAAAAGCTTAACTTGAGATCCGCTAGCTTTTGTTTGGAAAGAAACAGGAACCATTTTGTATTCACGTTCTCCGTGATATTCAGAATTTCATAGACTTCTACCCTGCCTCACTTTCCCTTAACTCTTTTCAGAGTTTAAAAACTCTCCTCATGCTTCGTATAGAAGTAATTTTTAATTACCCCTAATTACTCCTCATTTCACTTATCTGTACCTTTTCCAGTTCTGTAATGCCCTTTTTGAGAGTCACACAAAGCAATTAAGACAGAGATGCACAATTGTCATTATTTTCTGCTTACCCATTTTTTTCCCACATGCTTTTTTTTGACCACTACAGAATACCAAGCTAATGCATCCACTTAACTATTATAACTGCAAAATCTCGTTCCTGAGATTAAGGAGCTACTTCAGCGCTTTATGGCCTTTTGTCTATAAAGTCAGACTAACCAAGGCCACAAAGACAGGCTAACACCCCCCACTTCAAAATGGGCACAACTCTTCACAAGGAACTGATGGTGCATAGAATTGCCTATGAGTTCATGCAAGACTCTTAGTTTCTTTTTTTAGGTAAATAAAATGTCTTTTTGTGTGCGCACACATATGAGTATTAAGATGGTGTTGCTGGTACAGAGAGCTGTTCTGAGTGAACACCAGAGTCAATATTTATTAGGCATTTCACAATGCACCTTAAGAAAACAACCCATCCAAAGCTCACCCTAGGTACAATAAGTACAACTCAAGGTGAGCAACTGGAAGACAAAGAAAAATAAGGATCTCCATGAATCTGTCTCATATGACTCCATTGTAACTGGCGTAATAGGTGGCAGGACACCCCGACTGTTACTTTGGTCATTGCATAGTCGCAGCAACTGGAAACTCTTCTATCTGTAATCTAAGGTTTTCACATTTTATGAATACATTATTTTGGTAGACTTCAAATGAGTTATGGTGCACATCAATCCAGAAATGTGAAAGGACAGATCAACAATACAAGGAGGAAGGCATTATCTTCTGATTTCATACTGACCTCCACTCCTCAAACAAAAAACCTGATTTTGAACCACAGAACTCCAGTCCTTTCTTGCTTATCCCTACATTCACTACCTGATCTCCACAGTCCCACAACAGCCAAGATCAGGGAAGGTGTGGACCAAAGACAGTATTATCTCATAGGCGATCAGCAATATATGCAGTTGTTTTGGGGTTTTGTTTGGTTTTTTTTTGTTTGTTTGTTTGTTTTTTGTTTTGTTTTGTTTTTTCCAAATTTTCCAATCCAAAACAGACACAAATTGCTGTCCAAGTATACTGAAAGATACATCTCTGTATAGACAGCTGAAGATTTTTGTGTTTGATTAGGGCAAAAACTGCACAGGAGGATCAAGACCCATATTATCGGTATCAAGGTCTGCTCAACGCGGTATTAAACCATTACTTGATGGACCACTGTCTTGACCTAGTAGGTCATTTCTTAGGATAGTTGCTCCTTCCAAGCTTTTATCACCTCTGATAACCAAGATCCTTAGTCTGAACTCCACTTCCATGTAAACCCTTTCTTTCAAGACAACAGATTTTGTATTAAAATAATGAATTTAAAGTATTTGGGTCCAGCAAAACTCGTGAGAGGGGGACAAAAATACAAGTAATTCCTCCAAGCGATCCAGTGCTTGTCCCCAAGTAGGGACTTTGTCCCCACTTAAGCCCTGGGACGCAATTTCTAAAATCACAAAAAAGCTTAGCTTTCTTTAAGGAAAACATAATAATATTCAAGAAGTAGCAAGAAGCGGTATTATGAGAAGAAACAATAATTGAAAAGTAGTAACAAACAGTATAATGAGAAGTCACCATTTGTAAGTGAAAAATAAAAGTCTAGAGTTGTGAAAGTATTTTCTTTTGCACTGCAAAATTCCAATTTATTTGGAATTGCAAAATCCTCTACCATAAGGAAAGCCTCGGAAATTATTTTAATTAGTTGACATCCCAAGATTCTTTCTTAAGAAAAATATATACATCATGCAAAAATAATTAAAACACAGTGACTGAAATGCCCTAATGACTCATATCTATTTGACCTCATGGACTAAGCAACAGGACAAATGTTTACTCTGACTCCCCCCTAACCCCCTTACCCCTTGTCCATCTTTTATATTACTTAGAATATCTGGGAATCCATTCCTTTCATATATTCCTCTGCAGGGTAACTTCAAAAGATACAGGTACACTAAATTCCTAAATGTTATTTTAAGATAAAGTAACTTTTTGTTTACAATAGCACATTACATTTCAAAATCCTGTCCCAGACACTGTCACTCTGAGCAAGCAAAGCTGAGGCCATTGCAAATTCCAGAAGACATATTCTGAGGTATAAGGGAGAACACGAAAGAGCTATGATAATAACAACAATCACTGGCTCCATATTCCAAAGACCAGAGAGAACAGAAAGACCAGAGAGAACAGAAAGACCAGAGAGAACAGAAAGAGCAGAGAGAACAGAAAGAGCAGAGAGAACAGAAAGAGCCAGAGAGAACAGAAAGAGCAGAGAGAACAGAAAGAGCCAGAGAGAACAGAAAGACCAGAGAGAACAGAAAGACCAGAGAGAACAGAAAGACCAGAGAGAACAGAAAGACCAGAGAGAACAGAAAGAGCAGAGAGAACAGAAAGAGCAGAGAGAACAGAAAGAGCAGAGAGAACAGAAAGAGCAGAGAGAACAGAAAGAAAGTCTCTCCCCTCTACTCCGGAATGTCTTCAACACCCATTTAGCTGCATTAAAAAAAAAAAATACAGGGGGACTTGAAACGGGCAAAAATAATAAAATCTTCATTTTCAAAGCATAAAACCGAGCCGGAAATCTGCACTGAGATAATCTACAAATTCACTAATGTCTATAAAAAGGCAGGTGTACTTAAAAAAAATTCATGGCTTCTGAAAGAATTTGAAAAGTTATTTTAAGGCATTTATGTAATACTGTACAGTTTGAACAACCAAGTAGAAACTTTCTTAAAAGAAAAAAAAAACACCACTGCATTTCCTTATCACAAAAAGCATAGAATTCTGTTTTACCAGATAATGGTAGGCAAACCAAATGGGGCTCTACAAAAGGCTTCACTTCTTGAGAGACAGTAATTTCCCGTGGATAAAGAAACCCGTGCCATTAGCTGGATCTTCCAGGCACAGAATTCTCTGCTAGTTACTGGCTCAAGCACATGTGCAGCAAGCCCTAAAAGTAAATCCATGCTGGCGACTTAGAGATAAAAAGAAGAGGTCAAAGCCTGAGGATGAGTAATTCTTGCGCAAACTGTAGCACGGCAGTAGTACAGAGAACTATTATCTCCTGTGCAACTTTACTGATGGGGGCTGTATGCATAAAGATAAGTGACAAATAAAAAAAGTTTATTTTACTTGCACTTTAAATTTATACTATATATGTAATATAAACTGATTCACTGGAGCAGTGAATCCAATGCTAAAGTAGGAGTTTCTCAAATCATCTAAGTTTTTTTCAGATTTTAACTGGTGTCTTAATTTCCACCCAAAATCCCAGCGGTAGCTAATGAGGATTTTTGCACACGTTACCACCATCTCATCTTTCTCACAATCTTTTATGCAAGCATTGCAGAGAAAGAATCATGTTCTCTGCCTCTAGACAACCACATGCCTTCAGCTAGAAACATGGATTTTTCATCAGGCATGTGATCTATATTACGGATAACACGTACTTCATTATCAGTAGCTAGCTTTAGCTAACAAATTATTTTGGAATGCCAGCTGTGTGCTGCAACATGAAGCACTCCTGTCTAGGAAGAAAAAACATTTCTCATACTGCGTACACTGCCAAACATAACATATATGTTAGCTAATGATGTTTTTTTACCATCCAGACATATGCAGTTAACATACCTTAGATCCTGCAAGTTCCACCTCCCTCTGCTTTTTTACTTGCTTTTCTAAGTTAACACACTTTTGACATCCAAGTTACTCATTTCTATGTGGCAGGATATAGAACTTACATTTCTCTGAACTTATCCCATTTCTTTTCATTTGAGAGTTTGCAGAATTTAGTGGTATTTTAAAAATACTTGCTTTTGAAACTTGTACCCATGACCGCTTGTCATAATCGTTAGCAGTGAGCCATTAGGATAAGTGCGCTACATAAACAGGCAGGCAAAAACAATGCTAATCCTTCAAATTTTACAATTGCATAGAAATCACAGTAGCAGAATGACATATACGCAATGGGGTACTAGGGAAACACTCAAGCAACGGGATAGCCAAACTATGATGATTCTTTAAAGGATTTGATTGGTTTTTTAACTGCAACCTAGTCATCCGTAGTTGTGCAATTTTTTTTTTAGGCCTCGCAGGACAAACAACCATCCATGTGACAGCAATTTTTTCTAGTCCACTGCAGTTACATTTAACCCTGATACACATATCTTTTCCAACCCTTTTTTTTTTTTTTAACGTGCTGGGGTTTTGTTTTGTTTTTGTTTGTTTGTTTTTTTCCAAATGAGGGGATTTACACCCTTATCCCCATTTCACAGATGAGAAAATTAACGGTGCCCAAGGTCACAAGACAACAACGGGAAGAGGCAACCAAATAAGCCAGAATTCCCGTTTTCTGCACTATCCAAACTAGGACATGATGTCAACGAAACATTAAATTGTTATCGCTCTGCCCCTAGCAAGGTACTTCATTTCAAAAGGCATTTCTTGAACAGCCGTGCAGCCTGAGCTCCAGTCAGGGTGAAATGAGGTCCCGAGGGTTACCCCCGACCCAACCTCGCCGGGGGCTGGGAGAGGGCACGGCAGCGAGCAGCACCCACCCCGGCCCGACCCCGACGTTCTCCACAGAGACACAGACCCGCCAGATACATGCCCAGCGACTCACCCTCCTTACCCAAGTAGATGTCCCCGAAGGAGCCGCTCCCGATCTTCCGGCCCAGTCGGTACCGGTTCCCAACCCTCAGCTCCATGGCGGCAGATCAGTTCGACAGCGACCCGGTTCTGTCGCTCCACCCGCCCTGCCGGCTCGCCCTCTGCTGCCTCACAGCCCTGCGGTTCCTGATGCCATCGCGGTTTGGTCCCGCCACTCGATACCAGCGAGAGAAACAGCACCGTCGCCTCAGCTCCCGAGAAGGATGGACGCGGATTGCCCGCGAGACCACCGCCTCACCCCCTCCGCCTCCGAGCCGCCATACTGCGTGACCTCACTTCCCTAGCAACGAGGGCGGGGCGCGCTGGCCGTGGGAACGGGCGCGTTGCCTCGCGTGACTAGCTGCGGCTCGCGGGTGCCGTCGCGCCTCACGTGTTTAGACGTCGTCGCCGCGCGGCCCCTGTGGGAGGAGACGTTCTCGGCGGCGCCGGCAGCCGCACCGCCAGCCGCACCGCCAGGTGTGTCTGTGTTAAACTTTTTCCTGTCCTGTACCTCATTGCTTTTTAAATTTTCTTTCTGTGACCACTTTTAACAGGCCTATCCTTAGTTTTTATCTCTTTCCTGTCTTTTAACAAGTCACTTTTCAGTTATCTATGTCTCCTCCTATCCAGTTGGTGGTTTTGATTATTTCTTGCATTTCCTTAGTGCTCTCGCTTTCAAAATTTTCTCTCCACGTCTTCGTTTATTTAGTTCGTTCTCTCTATTTTTACATGCTGCTCTCTCTAAATCCCTTGAATTTTCAGATTTTGTGTGGCAATGCTCATGCCCAGTGTTTGGATCGAGGTCAGGCTTCGTCCAGGACTTTTGCAGGCAGGGTGATGTTTGAGGCGCCCGGGAAGGGTGTTCCCAAGGAGGGCCGCAGACACAGTATGATGGCCTGTTGTGGCAATCAGGTGGTAGGACAGATGAGGTGAGTGAGGGGTGGTTTGGGTGGTTGCTGCACGAGTGCTGTGTTTAGAATGTGTCAACCTGTGTGTGATTGTCTTATGTTGTTTGGTTTGCAGGTTTTATGTGAAGTTGAGTTTTTGGATATTTAGGAAAAAAAGAAATTAAAACCCCCAAAACCAGCTGGTGTATTTTTTTGTTTTTTTCCCCCTGGCTGGGATTTTTTTTCCCCCTGGTCCTAGCTGCTCTATCTGGAGATGATCAGTGCCAACGTTAGGGTGCACAGATTGTTCTCAGGCTGGTGTTTTTGGAGGCGGGGTGGTTTTTGAGAACCCCAGGAGTGCTGCAGACGTGGGGTGATGGCCTGTTGTGGCAGTCAGGTGGCAGAATGGATGAGCTGAGAGTTGAGGGGTTGTTTGTGTGGTAGCAGAACAAGTGATGTATTCTGATTGTGCCTAACTAGTTAGGATTTATTTTTGTAGTTTTCCCCTGTGGGCTGTATGTGGAGTTGAGATTTTTTTATTTCAGACACTAAAAAAACCAACACCCAGCTCTGAGATTTTATTGTTTTCTTTCCCAGCTGGGTGGTTTTATCCTGGTCCTGACTGCTCTGCATGGTGATGTTCATCACCAATCTTTGGATGGAGGTTTGGCCTGGGCTGGGATTTTTGCAGGCAGGGTGAATTCTGAGGCCGCTGGGAATGCTGTTTCTGTGGAGCGCTCCCCTGGCCTGTGGCAATTGTCCATCGTTGCAGGGAGGTGCGTTTAGTGGACAGTCAGGGGGAGATGGTTGGTGCATCTTGCAGTTGAAGGGTGTGGGGAGATGCACTAGAGTGCTCCAGTGCTGAGGAGGATGGGGTTGTGAAGCAGGTGGGCCTTAATTTTACATTGGTAGGGTTGTAAGTTCTTTCAGTGGGTGGTGTGGTGTCTGTAATGCTTTTTGAATTTGATTTCTGGGTGCAGGCATGGAAGTTGTGGGCCTGTTAAGATGAGCAGAGCTTGCTTGCTTTCTGCCTAGGCATACAAATTTTGGAGATGTAGCCTTAAACTTGTATGTGTAAAGTGATAGACTAAGTATGTAATGGGAATGAAAAACGTAGAGAAGACTCTAGCTACTGTGTAGAGAATCGCAGGCACTAAGTGGTTGCAATTAAGGTAATGATGGATTTTTAGCAGTTACCTGTATTTATTAAAGAAATTACTAAAAAGTGAATGAGTGTAATAGTAATTATTTGCTCAAATGAGACAGTAAATACTTTTTATCATGGTAGCACAAGAACATTGTGGAATTGAGGTGTGTGTAATGATATTAGCGAAGTTATTTGGAGTCAGTAATGGGCTAACAGAAAGATAGGGACTGTTGGAAAAAAAAGATAGGCAATATTTTATCCTAAGCAATAAATGGTAGAGTATTGCCTGTCTCTTACTGCACCACACTTAGACTTTTTATATTTTTACTTATCCAAAACACACAATTGAAGTAACTGGCACACATACATTAAAGTAACATGCACACGCTACTAGAACCAGTAATTGCTGATTATAACACAGCTGCACTATAAGTCTTCCAGCTGTACTGGAAGTCCCCACACAGAACTGACAAGTGTAACAGCCCAGTCCAAGCCTAAAGAGGCTGAACTACCCCATAAACTGTAAACATCACCCATAATTCCATAAATAGACTCCAAATAAACTGTTTATTGCAGATGAAGCAGCTGACAACTGCAAGAACAGCCCAATTACCTGATGTGCAGGATGGGCTCTTAGTACCTACATGTTGGGATCAGAGGTCATTACTGGGGTCAAATGTAAAAACATGATTCAAAGGGATATTGCATGGTCAAAGGTAAGGGTCAGCTTGGGGTCCAGGGTAAGCTTGGGGTCAAGGGTAATACATTGACTCAGGATCAAACGTCAGCTGCCTTTGACCAGGTGGTCTGGAGAACCTCTCCTGCTGACTTATGGTGACAGGCGTCATCCTGGACTGTGATGCTGATGGCTCTTCTGGGACAGCCCTGGAAGGACCCAATGCAGGGATGCCATTCACTGGTGTTCCCTCACCTGTTGGTGCCTCTGCTCATGTTTATGTGGATGAGCTTTTTATCACATAACCTACCAGGAAGCCATAGCTAAAGCTTTGGAAAAACTCGAACACTCTAATACTAAAATAACCTGGAGAGAATTTTGGTAGTTTGATTAATTTGCAGGATAACATCTCGAGGGCCAGCAACTTAAAGAGAAGTCACTCTGCCCATTTTATTAATTCTAGTTCAAAGGAAGCATGTGCAGAAGAAGCCTAAGAGGGGTAGCAGCCCAACAATCCCTATGCCCCTCTAGCATGGAGCCCTGTTTTTGAAACTTTCTCCATCTGTCTCTCTGGCCCCTGTTTTTTAACTCCTCCCTCTCTACCCTGTTGCCCCTGCGATCTTTTGTCTTTCTTTGCGTCTTTCTGGCCAGCTCCTTGTCCCTATTTATTAATTCCTCCCTCTCCACCCTCTAGTCTCTTGCTTTTATCCTTTCTCGATCTCACTGTCTCTGGGTCCTCAACGACACTATTCTTTCTGTTGCTATTCTTTTTCCTCTCCCGCTGTCTTTCTTTTTTTCTCGATCGCTGTCCCTCCTTCCTCTCTGCCTTTCGGTGTGCAGCTCTACACGCGCCGCGACACCCATCACCGCGCTCGCTGCGAGCAACAGCTGGTACTTGGGGCGCCGCCGCGCGCGTTTCCGGCTGTCGCCCAGCGACCACGCTGCGCACGTGTGGTGGCTGCCCCGTGCTCAGCCCTGCCGCGCGCCAGTAACGGCAGCGTGACGGGGCGGTGCTGCCGCGCTTGTCGCTGCCCCGCGGTGAGGAACCGCCGCCGCGCCCTGCGCGCGCTCTCGCGCCGATCGCTGAACTGCAGCGCCGGTGCCCTGGGCACGCGCCGCCCGCCGGGCGCTCCCGGCTGCTGCGGCCGCTGCCGCCGCCCCGTGGGCGAAGCGCGGCACTGCAGCACGGCGTCCGCGCGTCGGCAGTGGCCCCTCCGGCGCGCCGTCCGCGGCCGGAGCAGGCGCGGTGCCCGGGAGCAGCGTGGCGGCGCGTAAGGGCCGAGCGAGCGGGTCGGTGGAGTGAGCGAACGCCACCTCTTCGGCGCGTGCGTCTCCTGCCCGCCGACCGCCCGGATGTGGCGGGACAGGAAGCTTCACACCGCCCGCTGCGGCAGGCTCCCAGCGCGCTGGGGGCGAGCCTAGACAGGGCAGCCCCAGGGAGTTACAGAGGGCCGGTAGAAGGGACGAGGGGAAGGAGGCGGGCGTCCCCAACTCGCCAGAGCTCCCCTTGAGCTGGCCCCGGCCCTGCTCACCCCATGCAGCTGCCCCAGGCTCCAGCACCTCCCCTGAAGCCTGTCCCATAGCCCCAGGTTGCCCCTGAGCCCTGTGGTGAGGGCAACAAGCTGGTCCTCGATGTGTCTCCAGAAGCCCCTGCAGAAGGAGGAGCTCCAGCCAGTGGTGATCTACGGTAGTAGCAGTCACTGCTGCTTTTCCTCTCCCGGAGGCTGTGCTGAGGATGCAGTTGTCCATTCCTGCCCTGGGGATGCCACTGACTGCCCCCACCTCAGGCTTGCATGAGTTGTCTGTGCCTGGCCTCGTGCTCCTTGCAGTAAGGGGCAAGAAGGGACAGGTCCACAGAACACTTACTGGCTGTGGTCAGGAGCTGTGGTGGCTGAAGCTGGAATGGCCAGAGAAAGGTAAAGAAGAAGAAATTGAAGGCTATCTGGTCAGCTTCAGCGTCCCACTACAGGGAGAGAGAGGCAGCCTCTCTAGGTGACGAATGATCCGTCTTTGTAGTCTGCAGCAGGTAAGACCACTAATGTGCACCGCGGGCTGTGTACATGTCACCCAAAGCGTGTTGTGGCCATTTAGTGTGTGAGCGAGTGAGGCTGCATGTGTAGGGAGCTTCATCTTGTAAGATCTGTGAGACACCTATGTGTTCTCTTAGGTAGAGGACAGCTAAATGACTGGATCTAGAGAAGAGGAAGGGAGAAGAACAAAGAAGCGTCTGAACTGGCAAATTCTGGCAGCACTGAGAGTGAGAGCTGTAGTGAGTCCCTGGCCCGCAGGAGCCCTGTCGCCCCTCTCGTGCATCCCAGGACCTCCTCTGACTGATTTTCTTTGTTTCCCATTACTTCTCCTCTCTATTCTTCTATCCTGCTCCCTCTTCCTTTTTTTCATCCTCTGTCTCTGTCCTGCAACCCACTGCTGTTTTTCTTCTCTCCAGCTATCTGTCATGCCCATCCTAGGCTTTTCCCCCTCCTTGTTTGTCCTGCTCTCTGTCTCTTATTTTTGCCTGTCTTTCACTTTGTCCTGCTTCCCTTTCCCTTTTTTCTCTCTCTGTATCACCTTGTCTTGCTCCTTGTCTTTGTCTGACAATCTGTCCTTCTTGAACTTTTTTTTTGCCTCTGTATCATCCCCCATCCTTCCTCCTATCTGTCTTTTTTCTTTTTCTATCCCTCTGCCCCAGTGCTTCTTTCTTCACCTCAGTCCTGCTCTCTGTGCCTTGTTTCCTCTCATCGTGTCTCTGTCCTGCTTCTTGTCCTCATTTTTTTCTGTCTATTTCTCTGTTCCACTGGCTGTCTGGTTGTTTCTTGCTATATTGCTATACCTCCGTTTCTAGCTGGCTCTCCACTTTTCTCTTTGTCTCCTCCTCTCCCTTGCTGCCTGGCCTGTTTTTCTCTTCCTCTGTCTCTGTCCTCTAGTCGGTCCTCTTACGCATCCGTTGTCTCAGTTTTGATGGTAACTTCTAACGGGCTGTAGAAGCATTTCTGACGGAGAATGGCCACGATATTTTGTTGCAAGGTTTGGACAATCCAGGCCTGAGATCAGACTGCTAACAACAGCTGTGTTATGAGAATGATCTTGAAGGGCTGTTTTGTGAGGAACTGTATCTGTTGAGTAAAGATAAATGAGGAATTTTCCCAGCTATGTATCTGGCTAAGTTAAGCACAAATATGCAGCAAACAGCAAGATGCTAGCCTTATCACAGTTTGCCTTTGGGTGCGTGATAAGTTGCTTATGACCAATAATCAAGGGGTATGGGGCGTGTGAACAGCAGGTGCTTGCTGTGCAAAGTATATAACCACGCGATTCGGGCAATAAAGGTGGAACGACATGTAGCCGCATGGTTGTGATTGTTGTTACTCGGCCGACTCTCCGAGGGGACCCTGTTGTAACGGGCCGTTATGTTTGACTTTTTTTTTTTTTTTTTTTTTTTTCTGGGGTTGCCATTGAACCTCCTTGCTTCACGGTTGTAACCATCTAGGTCTTCTTGCTTAGCAGCATCTCCTGTCTGGGAGTCATTCTCAGAGTTTTCTCTCATCGTTGAATCGCACTGTGCGTACTGTCAATCTGTGCATGTGTGCGTTTGTATTGGAGGTGGTCTGCCCAGGGGTGTAGAGTCAGGGGTAGACTGAGTAGCGGTAGGAGTCTAGGGTTAATATGTTGATACGCATAGACCATTTTGGCAATGTTTGTATAGTCACCTCGGATCAACTAGACATCATCAGGCTGTTTGAACAGTCATTTTTACAGTGTTTTATGGAGATGATTTGAGCTCTGTGGGAGGGGCTGTTCTGCAGGAGTGAAGCAGATTGAATCTCAAAGGTGTTAAGGCTTGTAGGTGCGGGGCTGACAGTTCGGTGTAGGAGTTGGTTTTGTTTTTTCAGTGGCAGGCCTGTAGTTAGATTCTAGATGGTATTCCTAGCTGGCATCAAGACCTTGGGATTTCTTAAACTGTCACTTGGTATCTGGGTGACTCATCTACTAATTTTTGTCAGGTGCAGAGGGATGAGATGCACACCAGAGTGATGAAGTAGGTGAGCAGAGCTCCATTAGAAGGTGGGTCAGTGAGTGGTGTAGGAAGTTGGCACTGGTGCTATGACTAGCTTATAGGTTTTCATTTTGTGTTTTGTTTTGTTTTGTCTTGTTTTGTTTTTTATGTTGATGATGGAAAGCTGTGAGTGAAGTGGGATATTGGCACCAGAGCTGGCTTGGGCAAAGTGAACAAGGGCTAGGGGCCTGAAGTAGCAGTCATTTTCCAAGTGTCCTATTGTTGGTGAAGTTAGAAGCGTCCCTTGTTGTTTGTGTCTTACGTATGGTGTGCAAGCCTCGATGTGGCAACCTGTAAACTGCAGAGATGGGGTGGGTGAGCAGCTAAAATAAAGGAGCCGGAGATGGCAATTGGTGTGAGCAGGTGGTAGTTTCGGGCAGTATCTTAGCACATGTGCCTTGCTTTGGTTTTGGCAGGTGCCGCAGGTAGCCTCAGAGGGGCAAAGTCGCATGCTGATAGGCAGTCCAAGAAGGTGAGGAGGTTGTTGGCTGGGCTGGTGTCTAATAACAAAGTATTATATGGCAACTTGGTTAAGCATTTACCTCAGTTTTGCAGGTGCTGTGGGAGCCACCTTTGGAATTGGATGAGCCTTTGAGGTGAGCTGTGGTAGTAGCGAGGAGGATCGTGGGCCTTACGATGTCTTACAAGTGCAATGGTAATTTTGTCTCTTGGGATCTTAGGTACCAAAAAGTGATGATGGCCACAGTGTCTGACTCTGAAATGAGTAGGTGAGTAGAGCTCAATGGTGCTTCTGAGGGAGGTGTTGTGGATGATGTAGGCATTGACTGGTGTGATGCTGACTGCCATTTCTGTTTGGTCTTTTTTTTTGTCTTCTTTTTTTTTTTTTTTTTTTTTTTTATTGCAGGTAAAGAAGAACCTGGCCACTGCAGGAACATCCCAGTTAGCTGATATGTTTCTTTTTGTTAAGGATCCACTCAGACCCCCAGCCCTCTGAAAGCTAAATTGAGGGACTGGGGCTGGGAGGAGGGGACAAGGTTGGGAATTCCAGGGAGGGGTTTGAAAGTTAGTGTAGGGGAGAGGGCTGTCCAGGAACAGCACCCTTTGGGCAGGTAAAGGGAGCAGATTACTTTTCAGCACAAGTCTACCATGTGCCAGGCAGGGCAGTTTCAGATGGTGTCTGTGTTTGTGTAGTCTGTCTTCTGTGTCTTAGACCTTCCTCAGTCTTCAAGGTCCTTGTTGCTCTTTGCTTGAGGAACACAGCACATTCTTTGGGCGTCCTCCCTAGGGTCTCGAATGCCTGTCCTCATTGACATAGTACCAGTTGGATGCTTCATGTTCTCAGGTTTCAAGCATAAAGCATGGATAGATCTTGGAACTTTCCAGTCAGTTCCCTTTTGCAGCATCGTTCCAGGCTGTGGCATCCGCTCTGCTCTCTAGGCATCCATTTTCCTGGACTGGGAAGTCTTCCCTGCATCCTTACATTCTTAGGTCTTGAAGCCAGTTGTTTTGTGCATTTTATCACGTCTGTTTTGACAGTAACTTCTTGTAACAGGCCATTGCGTTTGACTCTGATGCTGCCATAGAGCCTCTTAACCTCATGGTTGCCGACCATCTAGGTCTTACTGCACAACAGTATCTCCCATCCAGGAGTCATTATTCTCGCTAAGAGTTTTCTCTCATCTTTGAATCACACTCTTTGTGGCATGTTTTGTGTACTGTTAGTCTGGGCATGTGTGTTTGGCTTGGAGTTGTTCGGCCTGGGTGGTGTAGAGTCAGGGGTAGATGGAATAGTGATAGAATTGTGTGGTTAATAGACTGATAAGGCTACACTGTTTATGCAGTGTTTGTACAGTCACCTTGGGTTGAGTAGCCACCGGCCGGCTGTGTGGACAGTCGTTTCCATAGTGTTTTAAGGAGGTGATTTGAGCTATGTAGGAGGGGCTGTTCAGCAGTAGTGAAGCAGGTCAATTCTGAGGTGTTAAGGATTGTAATTGTGGGCCTTACCGTTTGGTATGTGGGGGATGGTTTTGTTTTGTTTTACTGCCAGGCTGTAGTTGGACTCTAGATGGTATTTCTAGCCGGAATCAAGACCTCGAGATTTCTTAAGTTATCACTCTGCATTTTTTTCAGGTGCAGAGGGATAAGATGCATACCAAAGTGATGGAGGAGGTAAGTGGAGTGCTGTGAGAAGGTATGTCAGTGAGCGGTGTCAGAGGGAAGATGGGACCGGTGCTATATGCCTAGCTTTTTGTTTTTGTGGTTTTCTTCTTTTTTTGAAGGAGTTAAGTGGTGAGCAAAATGGGATATTGGTACCAGAGCTGACTCAGGCAAGCTGCCTTTGGAATTGGATGAACACCTGAGGTGAGCTGGGGTAGCAGCGAGGAGGATCATGGGGCTGGTGACGTGTGCAATGATAATTTTGTTTGTTTGGAATCTTAGGTTATATAAGCAACAATGACCATAGCATCTGACTTTGGAATTGGTGCAGAGCAGGGTGAAGGGAAATGACACAGTGCTTCTGAGGAGGAGGATGTTGTGGATGATGTAGTCATTGACTGCTGTGATGCTGACTGTCAACTCGGTTTTGTCTTTTGTTTTTTATTGCAGATGAAGAAAGAGGAAGCTGGCAACTTAAAGGGACATCCCTGTTAGCTGATGCTGTTTTTCTGTTGATGATGGTTTCAGACCTCTGGCCCTTTGAAAACTATGATGAGGGGACGAAGGTCTGGAGAAGGGTTGGGAGGAGTTGAGTGGACAAGGTCGGGAACTGCAGGGAGGGCTATTAAAGTTAGCGTAGGGGAGTGTACTGTCCAGGAACGGTATCCTTTGGTCAGGCAAGGGAGTGGGTTACTTGTCAGCATGACAATAGTTTGTGTTGGGCAGGGCAGGTTCCAGCCTGTGTCTGTGCATGTAGCTCACGTAGTCTGTCTTGTGTCTTATACCACACTGTCCTCGGGTTTTAATGTCTCCATAGCTCTTTGTCGTGAGCAGACACCTCAGTAGCCCCCCTGAGAATCTTGACTGCATTGCTTCACTGGCATAGTGTCTGTCGAGCCCTTCTTGTCTAGCAGTTGTGGCCTAAAGGATGGATTTGTCTGTGTTTTGCATTGTAGATGTTCTTGAGCGTTCACCTCTTGTGCTGACAAGCTAGGCGATGCCTGCAACTCTTCTGTTGAGAGTTCTCTTTGCACACAGTAGTCTTCTGGGGTTTCATCTCTGTGTCCTTAATGATCCTAAGTTTCAAAGCCTAGCTTCTCAGGTATCCATCATTCTGGTTTTGACGGTAGCTTTCTCTCATGGGCCACAGTAGTTGCCTCTCATTCCGGGGCCGCTATAGAGCATCTGCACTGTCCTGGCACCGTTGAGCTCCTCTGCTGGTGGCATCTTCCCTAGGATGGCAGTTCTCTCTCATGGTCTTCTCACATCTCACAATTGTGTTGTTTGTGGTGTCTGTCTGTGTCAGGGTTGGAGCTGCCCTGCCCAGGGGTGTAGCAATACTAAAGACAATGGTAGCATAGCTTTATGGTTGTATAGTAATATGTTGATCTGCCCTGATACTTTTGGCAAAGACTGTACGGTCCATCTCCGGGAAAATAGCTGTAGACAGCTGCTAGAGTTGTTTTCACTGTGTTTGGCAGGTGCCAGAGGTTGGACTCTGGCCTGCTGGGAGTGGTGGTCAGTGTGGTAGTTGAGCGGGTTGAATCTCAAAGGAGCCTTACATTATACGCGGGGTTCAACATGTGGGGTTTGGTTGTTTTAGCTGTAGTTAGAAGGCATATGCAAAAAGAGAGACCTTTGGTCTTGTAAAGCTATCAGTTAGTGTCTAGGTGACTACCTTCACGTGATTTGGGTTTCTCAGATGCAGAGTGACGAGCCGTGTGCCGCAGGGTGACAGAAGAGGTAAGCAGAGTGCTGGGCAAAGGCGGGCCAGTGTCCGATGTCAGAGGATACGTGTGACTGATGGCTCTGATGGGCTTATGCTGTTTCGGGTTTATTTGCTAGGTGTGAATAGATGAGTGAAGTGGGATATCTGCACCGGAGCAGACTTGAGCAAGGTAAGTGGTGACCAGCGTGCCGAAGTAGTAGTTTTTTGAGGTGTCACACCCACCCTATTATGTACATACATATCCTATCCAATAGGGATATATAGGGATGGGGTATGTAGACCAAAGAATCTGAGTCTGAGCAGCTGAGGTAAAGCAGCAGAGGAGAAGTGCTGTGAGCAGGCTGAGGATTTGGGTGGCATCTTCCGTCTGATTTTTCCCCTGTTTTTTGGCAGGTGCTGCATTCCTTTGCAGAGGGTTGAAGCTGCACAGCTATGAGCAGTTTGAGAAAAGGCAAGAGAGTTAAGTGGTCCACTTGGGCTAAATTGCTGAGGGTCCATGCAACTGTGATGTATTACTTTGAAAGCTGGAGCAGAGCAAGTGAATGCAGCTATTTAGGGCTGTGGTCTCACGGATGAAGTGTGTATTAAACAGCTTTGTTTTGTTTGTGAAGGTAACAGAGCGGCATGAAGTGATTACAGGAACCTCGCATTTAGGCAACAAGGCCACTATCGAGGATGGATACTGAGCATGGACCGTGAGCTGTGGCACCATCAAAGCTAAGTAGTGGGACAGATCTGTGGGGAGCGGAGTCCATGTGTGTCCAAACGTTGCCGTAACGGGAGGGTTAGTCTGTGGGGAGTCAGCCTCGTGCAAGTGGAGGGAATGATACGTTTCACGACGTGTGCCCTGTGCAGTATGTCTAGTGTGTGTTCGTACGTGTTCCTTAGTTACCTGATGTGTTGATGTTTGTCTTGGCCTTCATGTCTGAGAAGCCTCAGGCATACTCATCCTACTGCAATCACAATAGCCATCCGTTGCGTCTCTGTGGCCTCCCGTTATTGGCATGGTGCCAATTCCGACTTGTTTAGCAGCGTGACATAGAAGCTCAATGCTGTTGGTCTGGTTTAGCGTTGTAGGTGCATTTGGCCAGTCTTTCTTGCAGCTCTGGCTTGGGCCTAACCATCAGGTCTCATCTCGATGACTCTTTCTTGAGACTGCTTCCAGAGTACCTCCTGTGCCATCCTAGTCTTCAGTCTTTCCCAGCAATTTGTCTCCATCGGTCACGGTGGGTTTATCAGGCCAGGCCAGAGTGTGTGCATCACGTGGCCTCGGCACTGTAACGCGTGCTGTCAGGCCGCGTCTTTTGGTCTGGCGTTAACTCTACTCTGTCTGGTATTCTTGCATCCTTAGGTCACGTTTGTAGTTTGTATAGTGTGTGTGTGAGGTGGAGCTGCTTTGTCCGTTTGTATAGCAATTCTTGTTGATGTTGGAATGATCCAAGCACGGGATGACGTGATGATTAGCATGGCCTGTTTGGGTGGAGGTTGCATAAGCTGGTTTTGGGGATAGCCTATAGCTATTGGTGAGCAAGTTCTAAAGTCCCTCATTTTATCTTTTGCAGGTGTCTGGGGCCATTGGGATTCTGGGAGCAAATCCTTCCGTGAGGCTTGCTGGAACGTGCACTTCAAAGAACGGGAGGAGTAGAAGTGGTGCAAAGAGGGAAACGTATCCCTCTGCGTGCAGTTAGGAAGGGTAATGCTGTGAAATCGTGTGGACCGGTGAAGTTGTGTTGAGGTGCACAGTGATGCAGTTCCAGGGATGGTTATAGAATTGGGGTGATCTGCCACTCTGGCAGGTGATGAAATGGATATGTTTTGAGTGAGGGGTGGAATGAGCAGATGCCGAATGAGTGTTAGTTTTGGAATGTGTCTATCCTTATAGGTGTGGATTTCTTTTATTTCAGGTTGTACCAAATGTAGAGGTAGTTAATGTTTCCTTAACAATAAATAAAAAAAACCCTCAAGCTGGGTGGTGTGTTTTGATTGTGTCTAAGTTGTTGGGCTTTGGGTGTTTGGTTTTTTTTGTTTGGTGGTTTGTTGTTTTTTTTGTTTTGGTTTGGTTTTTTTTTTACTTTTTCCCTGTAGGCTGTATGTGGAGTTGAGATTTTTTTTTTTTTCAGACACTGTAGGAAGAAGACCAACCCACCCAGCTGTGAGACTATTGTTTTCTTTCCCAGCTGGGTGGTTTTATCCTGGTCCTGACTGCTCTGCATGGTGATGTTCATCACCGATCTTTGGATGGAGGTTTGGCCTGGGCTGGGATTTTTTCAGGCAGGGTGAATTCTGAGGCCGCTGGGAATGCTGTTTCTGTGGAGCGCTCCCCTGGCCTGTGGCAATTGTCCATCGTTGCAGGGAGGTGCGTTTAGTGGACAGTCAGGGGGAGATGGTTGGTGCATCTTGCAGTTGAAGGGTGTGGGGAGATGCACTAGAGTGCTCCAGTGCTGAGGAGGATGGGGTTGTGAAGCAGGTGGGCCTTAATTTTACATTGGTAGGGTTGTAAGTTCTTTCAGTGGGTGGTGTGGTATCTGTAATGCTTTTTGAATTTTGATCTCTGGGTGCAGGCATGGAAGTTGTGGGCCTGTTGAGATGAGCAGAGCTTGCTTGCTTTCTGGGTGGGAATGCAAATGGTGGAGGTGATGTTGCCTTGAAAACTTCTACATGTGAAGTGATAGACTGAGTGTGTAATGGGAATGAGAAATGTGGAAAAGACTCTAGCTACCGTGTAGAGAGTTGCAGGCACTAAGTAGTTGCAATGAAGGTAATGATGGATTTTTAGTGGTTACCTGTATTTATTAAAGAAGTGACTAAAAAGTGAATGAGCATACTAGTAATTACTTGATGAAAGGAGGCAGTAAATACTTTTTATCATTGTAGTACAAGACCATGGTGGAATTAAGGTGTATGGAAGGATAACAGCAGAGTGCTTTAGAGTCAGTATTGGGCCCAGGCAAAGATAGAGATGGTTTTAAAAAAAAAAAAAGAGATAGGCAGTATTCTTGCCCAAGCAATAAATGCTTATGAATAAAAAGTTCTTTGTCTTCTTGTATCTTCACTTATTCAAAACACAGCATTAATGAAGGAACTGGCACACACTGATTACACTACAGCCCTGCCATTCATCCTCGTGCTGTGCTCCAAGGCCTCCTGCCCAACTGTCAAGTGTAACACCCTAGTTCCACCCTAAATAGCTGAAACTATCCCTTAACCTGCAACCGTTACCCATAATGCCAGGAATCCACCCCAATTCAAACTTTCATGTTTAGGGCAGATGAAAAGGAAGCTGTGAACTGCAAGAACAGCCTGATTAGGCAATGTGCAATCTAGAAAAAGTCACAGGTCACCCTCAGGACAGACAGGACCAGAGGTTGCGTGGGAACAGAGGTCAAAGGTCATCACAGGGGCCAGAGGTCAAAATCAACTTGGGTTAGAGCTCAAATGTCTACCTGGGGCCAGAGGTCAAAGGTCACCGAGGCCAGAGCTCAAAGTTCACACGGGGCCAGATGTCAAAGGTCAGCTCAGTTCCGATGTCAATGGTCACGTGGGGTCAGAGGTCAAAGGGTACCCAGGGCAAGTGGCCAAAGGTCAATTCGGGGTCAGAGAGCAGAGGTCAAAGGTCAACATCTGGGCAGAGGTCAAGGGGCAATTTGCAGTCGAATGTCATCTAGGGTCAGAGGTCAAAGGTCATTCGGGGATGGATGTCAAAGGTCAACCCAAGACAGAGGTCTAATGTCAACAGGGGTCAGAGGTCAAAGGTCAACCTTGGGTCAGAGAAGGTGGGTCAAAGGTCTGCAAGGGGCAAGATGTTGAAGCCGACCATGGGTCAGAGATCAAAGGTGACATCGGGGCCAGTGGTCAGACATCACCCGGACTCAGGGGGTCAAAGATAAAACGTCATATAGGGGCCAGAGGTCAAAGGTCACATCGGGGTCAGAAGTCAAAGTCCAACCTGGGCCAGGGGGCAAAGGCCACACAGGGGTCATGTCAAAGGTCAACTGGGAGCAGGTGGTCAAAGGTCGCAGTGGGGTCAGAGATCAAAGGTCACATTGGGGTCAGAGGTCAAATGTCAACAGGGGTCAAGGGTCACGACTGGGCCAGAGGTCAACGATCAAGGGTCAATAGGGGTCAGGAGTCAAAGGTCACATCGGGGGCAGAGGGCAAAGGTGTTTTGCCAAGTGACGGGGTTAACACAAAGGACACAGACACCAAGCTAAAGAAATAGGCTTATTTTACTTTGGTTTAAAGCAGCAGAAAGAATAAGCCAGGTAACGCACCTAGTCATTGCGACATAAAGCTGGCTATAGTGATTAAGAAAGATCCATTACCAATTGCCCTCCTACTTTACCATCATCCAGACCCGTGCATCAGCTGGGGAGCCCCGTCACAGCGAAGGGTCGGAGAGCCTTTCCCGGCAATTGGGAAGTCCTACGCAGTGCGTCCACTCGCAGGTGAGGTCTCCGTCTTCACTGCAAGAGGGTCCGGCTTTTATACAGTTTAACAAACAAGTCTATACAAAACGCACGGGAGATAGCTGGGAGGTTGACGTGCCTCGCTCAGGCACGTCCGGATCCGGCCAGGATCCGGGCATGTCTGAGGAGTTTCCATTTTTCTTTACATTTGGGATTTAGAGTTACTTCCTGTCGTTTACTGATTGTTCCCAGGGATCGTTCCCAGGGGTGCATTTTCACGCTGATAAGACGCTGGTTGCTTCATGCTGCTGATAAGATGCTGGTTGCCAGTCAGGGAATTCACTCAGAAGTCAGCTTTGTTTTGAAGCCTATAGTTTGGGCCTTTTTTTGTTTGAAAAGGTCACATCGGGGGTCAGAGGTCAAAGGTCAGTCAGGGATCAAATGTCGACACCGGGTCAGTGACCAAAGGTCAAATAGTGGACAGCGTTCAAAGTTCAACCAGGGTCAGAGGTCAAAGGTCAACCTGAGGTGAAAGGGCAACGTGCTTCTGGAGGTCAAAGGTCAGTGCTGGGGTCAGAGCTCAAAGGTCAGCCAGGAGTCAGAGGTCATATGTCAACAGTCACTCTGGGTCAGAAGTCAAAGGTCACCTTGGGATCAGAGGTCAAGGGTCAACAGGGGGTCAGAGGTCAATTATGTGCCGGGAACAAAGGTCAACAGGGATCAAAGGCCAAATGTCAACTTGGGGTCAGAGGTTAATGGTCAACCCGGGGTCATATATCATGTGTCAGCTCAGGGTAAGGGGTCAAAGGTCAACTCAGGTCTGAGGCCAAAGGACAACTGGGGGACAGAGGCCAAAGGTTAATTGCGTGCAGAGGTCAAATGTCAAATTGCAACTCAGAGTCAGAGGACAAATGTCAACCCAGGGTCAGACGTCTAATGTCAACTTGGGGTAAGAGGCAAACTGTCAGCTCGAGGTCAGAGGTCAAAGGTCAACAGGGGTCAACTCTGGGTTAGAGGTCAAAGGGCATCTCGGGACAGGTCAAAGGGCAACTCGGGGTCAGGTGTCAAAGGTCAACTAGGGGTCAGATGGCAAACGTCGGCCCGGGGTCAGAAGTCAAAGGCCAATCGTGGTCAGAGGTCAACTGACTCCCGGGGTGTAGTGGTTTGAGCCGGGTTAACAGCCAACCACCACAGATGGGCACGAGCAAAAGGCAGGCTCGTTAGGGGGGGAGCAAAAACCATACATTTATTACAGACACTAATAACACGTAACAGAGTAGGACAGTGAGAAGCATTGCCACATCTTGAGAACACCTTCCCCCCACCCCTCCCTTCCTCCCGGGCTCAGCTCTGCTCCCGATATCTCTACCTCCTCCCGCAGTGGCGCAGGGGCAGGGAATGGGGGGTGCAGGCAGCGCTGCCACTTCTTCCATATTTGGTGGGGGGAGCTTCCGGAACTTGTTCCCCCTGCTCCAGCATGGTCGCCCTCTCCCAGAAGACAGTCCTCCACAGGAGTCTCTCTCCCACGGCTGCAACCCTTCCTGAGCTGCTCCGGCGTGCGTGGGCACCCCCGCATGCTGCAATCCTCCCAGCGCTGAGTTGCAGCAGCAGGGTCTACTTTTTCCCACAAGACCCCGGCCTTCTTCGGGCACAGCACTTTGCTCATCCAGGTGAAAACAAACACAGGCCATAAATCAATGTCTGCTCCACCGTAGATCTTCCTGGGTGGCGGGGGGGGGGGCCGCCCTGCCGTCTCACCACAGGATGCAGGGGGGTCTCTTCTCCGGCACACCTCCCCCCTCCTTTCTTCCTCCGTTCCTCCACTGACCTTGGTGTTCACGCAGCTGCAGCGACTCCTCCTCACAAGTCCGACTGCCCGTCACCACGTCCCTTCTTAAATACGTTATCGCAGAGGCGCAGCCGATGGGCTCAGTTTCCAAACAGAAGTGGAGCTGACGTGGAGCTGGGGGAGCTTCGAGAAGCTTCTCACAGGGGCCGCCCCGATAGCCCCCTCCCCTGCCACCAAACAAAAAATGCCACCACTCACTCAACCGAGGACATGGGGTCAGAGGTCAAAGGTTAAATTGGGGCATAGGTCGCAGGGTAGCACTGGGTCAGAGGTCAAAGGTAAACTCTGGGTCAGAGGTCAAAGGTCAGCCAGCAGCACGAGAACAAAGTTCAATTCCTGGTCAGGGGTAAAAGGTCAGCTGGGGGTCAGGGGTCAAACATCGGCATGGGGGCAGAGGTCAAAGATCATACCGGGGTCAGAGCACAGTGGTCAGCTGGGGTCAAGGGCAAAGGTCACCCCTGCTCAATGGTTAAAACCCTGTGGCCCCTCTGGCCCATGTGATACCTGCAGGTGGGTGGCCCCACCCCTTTCCTGGTGAATTGTGGGAAGGGCAGTGGGTGGGGCCCAGGCTAGACCAGCCCCAGCCTCTACTCACGGTGCTCCTTCTGCTCCTGGGCTTCTTTGGGCTCAAGGCTCCCCTGTTCCTTCCTTTGACAGCAGCTTTGGAGCTGCCTAAGCTTTTAAGTCTTTTGACCTTCAGAGGAGCATGCGTGC